CTCCTGGACAAGCCATTCCCAGGTTCAAACCTGAGCCTCAGTTTTTCCTCGGTTGGGACAATAATAGCAGGCAGTTAATTAGTAATAGGAGGTCATGAACCCTCATAACTACAGTAGGAGGACTCATCGATCTGACGGGTGTAAAGCGCTCTGCATCGTGCCTGGCACACAGTGGGTGCCCGTGGTAGAGAGGACAACAAGGTCACAGGGCAGGGGCAGTGAGGACTGGGACCCTGGGAAGAAGGAAAACGGCAGGTGCCTGGGCCTGGGCGTGGGGCGGAGGGACCCCTACGGTCAGCTGCCAGGTCCGACTGCACCGGCAATGTGGGCCCAGGGAGGGGCACTTGCTGCTCTGTTGCTGTGCAGAATCCACTCCAGTTGCTTTTCGGCCCTTGAGTCGCACTCCTTGTGGTGCCCCACATCCGCAGGTCTGTGCGTATGTCCCCACTGCCCCATGGCCCCAGGAACGAGCAGCCCTGGGGGCCTGGACCATTCATCGTCCCTTTATCTCTTCCTTCCTTAGTTCATTCACACAATAGACATTTCCTTAAAAATTTTCTTAAATGTTTATTTTTTAAATAAAATGTAGACATTTAAGCTGGACAACATGATGTTTGTGGATGTAGTGAAATGATTAGTGCAGTCAAACTAATTAGCCTACCCATTGCCCCCTACAGTTACCGTTTGTGAGGTGTCGGTCAGACGGTGCACAGGTGGGGTTATGCAGGACGAATGAGAGTGGAGGTCTGAGGTGCAGCGTGGCGACCGTCAATTAATAATAAGAATAATGTGTCAAGTACTCGAAATTTGCTAAGAGAGTAAATTTCAGCTGCTCTCGCTGTAACAGATTTTTTTTTTTTTTTTTTTTTTTGCATCTCCGCTATGAGCCAGGCTTCAGGGCGAGCACTGGGGACAGCAGCCAAGGACATGGACATGTCCCTGCCCTCATGGAGGCCCCCAAACTAAACAAATAATTATAGAATTCTTGTATACTAACGAATCACCCTGTCATTGCAAATTGTGAGAGCAAAAATGCACAAATGCAGGGTATCTGGGAGAGAATAACGTAGGCAACTAGACTAAGAGTGGTGTGATCAGGGAAGGCCTCTAAGAGGAGGTGGCATTTTGTCTGGAATCTGGAAGATGAAGAGGAAATTGCTGGCTTAAGAATGGGAAGAAAGTGTGTGTGTATGTGTGTGTGTGTGTGTGTGTGTGTGTGTGTGTAAAGGCCTTGAGGAGCTGTTTTTGTTTTGTTTTGGGAAATGAAACCATCACAACTGAATCAGTGAGTGACTGGGGAGATAGGTGGGATGATGGAGGAGGTGTGGGCTGAGGGGAAGCAAGGGCTTGCAGCGCCTTGGAGGCCACATTCCCGGGAGCTGGGTGGGAAAGGAAGCGAGATGGGAAGGGAGGAGGAGGGCCTGGGGAGTGGGTAGCCCTCCAATGTGACCGTGCATGTCACGTGTCCAGGTGGCAGCCACGCAGCCCCAGGGTGCCCAGCAGAATGTTGACTGATTGCCCAAGGCTCCCCTCCAGGGGCAGACACCTCTGTCTGGCTGTCCCTGTTTCCCCAAGGCAGGACCAGGAACCACACCTGTATTTGTGCTGACCAGCTCAAGGTCAGGCAGTCTGCTCTGGGGTGCAGAGTGGGTCAGAGTGCAAAGAAAACACAAGCTTGTCGGCGCTGATTTCTCCCTGCCAAGGCAGCCACCATCAGCTTCCTGTCGAGATGGGCCTGTTCAGGCTCATGCGCTACAGCTGGAGACGGAGGGGAGCAGATGGCCCTGCCTGGCCCAGATTCCAGCCAGATTGCCAGGGAGGTGTGGGCAGAGCAGCAGCGCTGGCGCCAGGAGCGGGAATGCACAGGAGGAGGGCGGGAGCCACCTCTCTGCCATCGCCGTGGGGCCTTGCCTGTACGGAGGGCGTGGAGACATTGACGGTGGGCTCCCTGTGGTCCTTGAGTCAGCAGCTGCTCAGAGGCCCCCTGGAGAGAGATGGCTTCTCTCTTTCATGATTGCATGGAGAAGCTTTGAGAAATGCAGCACGTCAGTGGTTATGTTCCCAGCTCCCGGCACAAGGCGGGATCAGGCAGCAGCTCATTGGTTGTGCTTTATGTGGATTTCTAGAAGAAATGACAGGAGTAGCTTTCTGGTGCTGTCTTACGTAATCCTCATAGCAGCCCCACAGGGGAGGTGCAGTTGTGACCCCGTCTCACAGAGGAGGACACTGAGGCACAGAGAGGAAGAATAACTTGCCTAAAGCCACAGCTATAAACAAATGCGTGAGGACAGATGGGTCACTCTGGCAAACAGATGGCCAAGCTTGGGGGCAGGGAGCAGACCTGAGTGTGGACAGTGAGAAGTGGTAGCTGAACCCGGCTGGAGAGGAGAGGCTGACTCCTCTTTTGCTCCCTGAGACTTAGCTGACCCCTTAGGCCCTGCCAAGCCAGCTTCCTCCACTGTGCAAGGTGCTCAGAGAGCAAGAGATCATCCTGGAGGGGCGGGGAGACAGGGCTGCTGGGCGCCGCTGAGCGGGCTGCGCACCGCACAACACCAGAACCAGCCATTCCTGGGCGACGGCACAGGTTCCCCGGGGTTCGGCAAGGCGGTCATCCTGTAGGCAGCGCCACACCGTGCAGGACCCAGAGGACCAGGGTCTGCAAACCTTGTCGGTACAGAGCCAGGGAGTAGACATTTCAGGCTGTGTGGGGCACAGGTCTCTGCCGTAGCTACTCAGCTCTGCTGCCGTGGGGTGACCGTGGTCGTGGGCCATACGTAAATGAATGCTTGCAGATGCGTTCCAATAGCACTTAGTTTACAGAAACAGTCTGCCTGCCAGATCTGGCCCACGGGCCATAGATTGACAACCCCCGTGAAGGCCACAGAAGGATTTTGAACTTCATCTAAGAGCAACGTGGAGCCACAAGAGGGTTTTAAGCAGAGAGTGAGAGGGAACCGATTTATACTTAGTATGGCCCTGAGAAATATAACCGTGCCCCACCCCCGCCCCAGGCAATATTTCTTCTGTCCTCTTTTTGGTTCCCTAAGCCCTTCTATCTGCAAGTGGAGGCTTGGTCTGTGACCTGAGGGCCTCTGATGCTTAAGAAGGGGATGTTGCTTTCCTTTTGCCAGTTACCTCCTTCCCCACACCAGCTCTCAGCGCAGGTCTGGCCACTCAGTGGGGCCCCAGCCATGCTGGTTCCCATTCCCCCCCTCGGGGGGCAGAGCAGAGCCGCTCTGTGCCCATAATAGTGGGCTTTGAAATCTGAGGGTCCGATTTCCTCCCCTTGGCTGCGTGTGACTGTGAGCTGCACTTTCCTGACCCTCTGTCTCCTCTACTCCTTAAGGGGAATAATTACAGATGAGAATCCATGGCAGAGAATGGTTCTGCCTTGACCTGGGTGCATAGGAACGACTCAGTGAGAAGACACTGTGAGCAGAAGGATCGTTTTCCTTGCTGAACCCCAGAGGCAGGAGAGCCTGGTGGTGCCGTGAGCGGCGGGGTCTTTACTTCAGGGAGCTGTGTCCAGAGTTGGGCTCTGAGCTAGTGCAGAACTAGAACCACTGAGAGGACTGTGACTCATGAGTAGTAAGGGCTCCTTAGAGATGGAGTGAGTTGTCCCACCTCTTGGGCTGAAAATAACTGCCCGGCGTTGCAGTAATTACATATCTTGGTTTCCCACACAGCACGGAGGACACCCCAATAATTACTGTGCACACAAGTCGATTTTGGCAGCTGGAGCTTAATTCCTGCCTCAAAGAGTATGTCCTGGGCAGACCCACCCCTGTGGGATTTGAGCCCTTGTTCATGTGACCAGGACTTTCCTGGACAGCGACATAATGGCCACCTCTACTCTCCAGAGGCCATTGCCAGTCCCAGGGCACCCTCCCTGGCCCACAGACAGGCCGGGCCTTGGCAATCAGTGGCTTTGCCATAATCTTCTTTCATGGTACTTAGGCTGTCACCAGCTACCAGGTCACTCATGGCTCCGCAGGAGGGACCATGGGCTACGCTGCTTATCACAGACACAAAGAGCCACCAGAGGGTGGCTTGCTTGGCCTAGAGAGGGAGACTCTCTATCCAGAGACTGTGGCCTTGGGCTGAGCCAGGGGGCTGCTGATGAGGTCAGGGCCCTGGAAGGGGTGTTGAGGACTTACTGTGCGCCAGACCGAACAGAAAGAGCAGTCAGTGCTGCCCTGGTCCTGCCCTCTTAGGGCTTAGTGTCCTGGAGCAGACAGAACCAAAGCCCACAATTACCCAAATAGTTCTGTGATTGTAGTTGTGATAAGGCTGTCCCTGAGAGGCACAGGAGTGTTGGGCGTGTCTAACAGGGGGAGCGCCCTCCTCTGGGGAGTTTGAGCTGAGACCTGAAGGATGTAGGGTGAGGCAGCTGCATGTGGGTGTGTATGCGTGTGTGTGCATGCAGGTCCTAAAAATGGATGTGTGGATGAGGGTGGGTGGGTGGATGGTGGATGGGTGATGAATGAGTTGATGACTTCCAGGCAATGGGAACAGACTATGCAAAAGCTCAGAGGCCAGGGGGAGGTATGGAAACTCTGTAGCTGACTAAAGACCACTGTGGAAGGTAAGTTTGGAGTTTAAGAAAAGAGACTGGAGAGGTGGGTAGGTAGAAGCACTGTGCAGAGCTGAACAGGCTGGACACAGCCCTGCCCCAGGGGCGCCAGTCTTACAGACCACGGTGTGAGTGGTGCCCACTGGAATTCTGCAAGATGGGGCCTGCAGGCAGGGGTAAACCCATGGTAAGGGTGTATGGTGTTGTTCCTAGAGGGATGGGGAGCCGTGGAAGGGCGTTAGCAGTTGGTGATGGGACCAATGTCCATCTATAATGGCCCCAAGTGGTATAAGCAAACAGCATCCTTTGTGTCAGGACCTGGGGAGAGTGGGTCTTACCTGGACCCACCCTGCCTCCCTGCACCTGCCCTGTCTACCTGCGCACCTGGGGTGTGACGGGACGCTCACTCCTGTCCTCTCTGTTGCAGTCCGCTACTTTCTGAAGAACAAGGTCAGCCCTGATTTGTGCAACGAGGATGGACTCACAGCCCTACACCAGGTAAGGCCGGTCTGACAGGAGTCCCTGCCCCCTGCTCCCCACGTGGGCAGGTCCCCCACCTTCCTGCTTTTTCCTGCCCAGAACCCTCAGGGAGGTCGGAGGGATGGGGAGCTGCAGCTGCCCCATCTGAAAGGCTCTTGTCTGCTTTGGAGACGTGTGCGTCTGTTACAAACACACCCACAGAGCCCCTGTGCACGCTCACACGGCGTACGCACAGCCTCTGAGCACAGGGAGCCTTTGTCCACTGCCTCCTCACTGCCCAGCAAGGCGTTTGGCAAACAAAGCAAGTTTGTTTGGAGCTTGACAGTTTACGAAGCACATTTGTTCACAGCCACCAGGGCATCCATCCATCCTGCTGACAAAGGTGATTGACAGAGGGGTTATAGGACCTGTTTAAGGTCTCACAGTCGTGAACTCTAGCTGTGAGCCATGTGCTAGCACAGCAAACATCCTTTCCAGGGCAGTGGGATGGGCTCAGCCCCCCTGGTTGGCTGTCATCTCTCGCCTGGATGCTGCATCAGCTTCGTAACGGGTCCCTAGCACTTGGTTGGCCCTGCCGTGATCCCTTCTTCATGCAGCAACCACAGGGGTGCTGAAGCCAAAAATCTTCTGGTGTTACTCAGAGCACTCTGGTGTCTTCCCACATGGCCCCACGAGGTCTGCCCATGCTTCCTGGCTCCCTGAGCTCCAGCCAAATGGCTCTTTGGTTACTGGCCACACTCTGCTGATCCTTCCACACTTCCCATGTGTGCTGATTATCCACAGTCGACAGCAGCAGCCCGAGAGCTATGGTGTTACACACATATCCTTTTCTTCTGGGCTCCCCTTTTAGCCATTAGTGCGATCCTTTGGTGCTGGCCCTTGCACCCAGATTCTGAGCTGCACAGGGCAGAGCCCATGTCTCCTGCTCGTTGGTGCATCCCAGCATCCTTCCCCAAGCTTGATATGTGCATGCTGACCTAATGAATGAACACACGGAAGGAAGCCCTGCTGTGCCCTGGCCCAGGTGTCTGAGCAGGTGGGAGGCCAGGCTACCGGAAGCCTGGGTTGGGGACAGCCACTCCATCTTCCTCCCTGAGGGAAGGGGTGAAGAGCGACTAGCCACTGCCCTGCCCATAAGCCCCAGGGGCTGGTCCCCACCCTCAGCCTGTAGCCCTCTGGTTCCCTGTGTGTCTTTCCTCTTGTCTCCTCCTCCTGTCCCTTCAGGGGTGCACAAATTCCAGCTATGTGACCTTGGGCAAGTTGCTTAAGCTCTCTGACCCTCACTTTCCTCATCTGTCACAGAGGAGTAGTAACTCCCCATCTCACTGGGTTGCTATGATGGTTAAACGAATTCACATAAAAGCCCCATGAGCATCCTTTGATACTGGGTAGATATTAGATATTATTAAAATTTGTTACATGTCCATTTCTCTGTGAGGGCACTTCACTTAGGTGAAGTGGGGGCTGCTTCTCACAACAGCCTTCTGAAATAGGGCCCCAGTTCATAGCTCAGGACACCGAGGCTCAGGCACAGCATTGTGTAGATCTGTGATGGCATGTTCTGTGTGTCCACACGCCTGATGTGGTGGCCGACAGCCAGTGTCTCTCGAGCCCTCGAATGTTCAGAGGACGAGACGAGGCAAGGCATGGGCAAGGGTTGGTCGGCAGGGTGCACGGCCCTGGTCACTACACAAAAAGCATCAGCTCTTCTTACGGATGAGGTGGCGTGTCAGCATCAGCACCGCTGTTGCCGGGGCTGTCATTTCCGTTGTCCGTCATTGTCACTGTTGCTCCAGTGCGCCTAAGGAGCACATTAAGAAGAGCTTCCCGTGCCTGCGAAGGGGGTGCATTTGCTTCGCTTGGCAACAGGGAGCCTTCACTTGGCAACTGAGAGTAACCTGTCTGATTACGGAGGAACCTCTCCTGAAGGGGGTCGGGAGGGAGGTGGGAAGAGGTGAGCAGGCCTCCGCCAGGGCCGAGGGATGGGGCATCAGTGGGAGGGGACCCCAACCTGGTGGTAGACTGGACATGGGAAGTGAGGGGGTGGAGGAGTCATCCAACTCCCAGGTGCCATTTCCCACCTTGGGGACTGCAGGGGAGGTGGCCTGCTCTCTCCACCATGCACTCCACCCCCCTGCACCCCTGTGCCCAGGCCCCAACCCAGCCCTTGCGCAGACCTGGTCTCCCAGGTGCAGCCTATCATCACGAGACTGCAATTCTGGGTTCACAGTCCTTTCCCCCTTCAACCTAAAGCCCCTCCCCCACCCTCATGTTTTCTGCAGCTCCTAAGGGTGGGAACTCTGGCCCTCCTAACCCCCGCCCCCTAGGGCCCAGGGCTCTCCTGACTCAGGTCCCAGTGATAGACCTGGCTGGGGATCTGGCCTTTCCCCTCTGCTTCATTCAGGTGCCTCTGGCGCTCTCTGTAGGCCATTCCTTGCCACTGCATACTTCTCCCCACCAGCTGAGGCAGCGCCCCACCTCCTTGGGTCACCTGGACTCCACGGTTGGAAGAGATGCCAGCAGACCCAGCCAGTCCCAGACTGGCTAGCGGAAAAAGAACACCACCTGTGCAAATGAGTCTTTTGCTACGTGTTCTGCTGCTGAGCCCAGGCTCCAGCGGGGGTGGAGCTGGGGAATGTGGTGCTGCGCCGTCCCCTCCCCCATCTCCACACCCACCTGGGGCCATGGGCTCCCACAAGTGCCCCTCTCTGGGGCATCCAGTCACCCCTCCTCGTGCCTGGTGCCTGCCGTTATTTCTGTAAGCCAGGCCATCATCTCTTAACTGGGCGATATCAACGTTGCTCCAAACCTTCTCTCTTCTTTCCAAGGAAGCTGCACTTGCAATCTGTTCTCCACACGCAGCCAGAGGAGGGATTTAAAAGCTCAAGTCTGGCTGTGCTGTGCCTCCCAATATAACTCTGTACTGTCTCCCACTGCAACGATGGCCAAGCCCTTGCCTGGATGGGCAGTGCTGGGCACAGTCCCCCTGACCTTTCTCCAGCCCCTGTCTTCCTCCTCTGTCCTTGCCTCTCCCTGCCCATCCCCCCTGGCTTGAGACCTCTCTGTCCCCTTGGATTCTTTCATTCTCTGTCCCTGGAGTTGGGGGCCCCAGGGGCCGTTGGACCCCTGAGTCTATCTGGGGCTGCAGGTTCCTGGCCTTCCCTCTCTCTGCAGCTGACCCACCTGTGGGCAGGCAGGTGCACAAACATGGCTGCCTCCTTGGAAGGACTGTCTCAGGACTCCAGCCCCCACCCCCAACCCCAGCCTTCATGCATAGCTGTGTTCTCAAGGGGGAGGGTTGGTTACTAGGGGTTTCCCCAAGAACTGAACTTCCGAGTCAGAAATTTCTAAGTCAGAGGTTACAAACTATGATCGACCTAGGGCTCCGCTGCTGGGAAGGGGAGCCCCGAGATTCCCAAGCTGCCCCCTGCCCCCTGCTCCACTGAGCAGCCCTGCTTGAATCTGTTGGTTATCTTAAGTTGGCATTTTCCATACAATTTCATTTGAAGAAAGCCTTCTTGGAATTTAAATTTTAAAGCCTCACTCAAAAATTTATCTCATTCCACCAACACTTTCAAAGCATTGTATAGCTGACTTTACAAAAACAATATTTTTATCCTGTATGTTATTAACTTACAAGGAAGAAGGCTCAGATAGGTTAAGTGACTTGCCCAAGATCACACAGCATATAAATACTGGAGCTGGATTCAATCTCGGGCTCCACTGTCCTTCTCGTGGCCTCTCCAGGGGAACTGGTGTGTTGCCACCTGGGTCGGGGCTGACCCTGCCTGTGTCCCCATTACAGTGCTGCATTGACAACTTTGAGGAAATTGTCAAGCTGCTCCTTTCCCATGGTGCGAACGTGAATGCCAAGGACAACGAGCTGTGGACACCCCTGCACGCCGCGGCCACCTGCGGCCACATCAACCTGGTGAAAATCCTCGTTCAGTAGTACGTGCCCTCTCTTCCCCAAGAACAGCCTCCCCTCTGCCTTTGGTTTTTTCCAAGTTCTTTTTTGTTTTTCTCTCCTTCCTTCTTCCTCTTTTTTCCCCTCTGTTTGTCCCTTTCTCGGTCTCTCGGCACCTGTCACTTTCTCTTTCTCCCTGCGCCCAGTGTTCATCGCTGCCTCTTTCTCTCTTTGCCTTTACCTCTCTCCTCATCTTCCCTCAGCTCCCTTTTCTCCCTCTCCATCTCTGTGCCCTTTATCTTTTTCTCTCCATCTCCGTGTCTCCTTCACGCTTGGTCTCGCTCCATCTTTTTCACTCAGGCTCTCTCCCTTCATTCTCTTTCCTCCTAGCTTTTCTTGCAGTAAAGTACACCTAAGATAAAATGTATTACCTTGACCATTTTTAAGTGTGCAGTTCAGTGGCTGTAAGTAGGTTTCCATCCTCGTGCAAACCACCAGATGGCACCACTGCCCTCTGTTTCTAGAACGCATCCGTCCAAACTGAAACTCTGTTACCATCGACAATAACTCTTCGTTCCCCTCCGCCCTCCCCTGGTAACCACCATTCCACTTTCTGTCGCTGTGATTTCGACTCCTTTAGGTCCCTCATCTAAGTGGAATTACATAGTATTTGTCTTTCTGTGACTGGTTTTATTTCACTTGGCATATTGTCCTCAACGTTCCTTGTGTAGTAACATACGTCAGGGTTTCTTTCCTTTTTAAGTCTGAATGATATTTCATTGACTATGGATATACCACATTTTTCTTATCCTTTCATCTGCCAATGGATGCTTGGTGGCTTCTGTGTTTTCAACTATTGTGAGTGATGCTGCTTTGAACATGCTTCAAGACCCTGCTTTCCATTCTTCTGAGTACGTACCCAGAAGTGAAAGTGTTCGATCTTAGGTATTTCTATTTTTAGGGTTTTTTTGAGGAGTCACCTTACTTTTTCTCACAATCGCTGTGCCATTTTACATTCTCACCAAGAGTACACAAGAGTTCCAATTTCCTTACATCCCTGCAACCACTTGCTTTCTGTTTTTTAATTGTAGCCATCGTAATGGAAGTGAGGTTGCATCTTATTGTGGTTTTGATTTGCATTTCCCTAATGATCAGTGATGTTGAACATCATTTCACGTGCTTATCAGCCATTTGTACATGTTTGGAAAAATATAGAGTCTTCAGCTGATTTGTAAATGGGGTTGTTTGTTTGTTTTTGTGATTGTTGTTGCTGGATTTTAGTTCTCTCTGTATTCTGGATATTAATCCTTTATCACATGTATAATTTGTAAATGTTTCTTCCCATTCTGTAGGTTGTCCTTTTACTCTGTTGATAGCGTCTTTAGATGCACAAAATTTAAACATTTTCATGGAGTCTATTTTATCTTTTTTTCCTATGTTATATCTAAGAAATCATTGCCAAATCCAATGTTGTGAAGCTTTTGCCCTATATTTCTAAGAGTTTTATAGTTTCAGTTCTTACATTAAGATCTTGATCCTTTTTGAGTGACTTTTTTTTTATATGGTGTTAGGTGAGGGTCCAGCTTCATTCTTTTGCATCATTTCCAGTTTTGCCAGCACTGTTTACTAAAAAGACTTTCCTTTCCTTGTCAAAATCCTTACATCATGTATGTGAGGGGCTCTCTATTCTTTCTGGGCTCTGTGTTCTATTCCTATAAGCCTTTATGTCAGTGCCGTATTGTTCTGATTACTGCAGCTTTGTAGTAAGTTTTGAAATCAGGAAGTGTCAGTTCTCCATATTTGGCCTTCTTTTTCAAGGTCTTTTTTTTTGGGGGGGGGTGTTGCTATTTGAGATTCTTGAGAGTCCAAGAACCTTCAAGTCACCGTCCTTGCTGGGGCACACTCTGGTGGCACTGAGGGTACCGGGTATGCAGTGGGGTTGCGGATGAGAGACTGGAGGGCAGGGGTAGCCACCCGACCCTAGTCACTCCCACCTGGCCCTCACCCTACCCTTTCTCTGCAGTGGGGCCGACTTGCTCGCCGTCAACTCCGATGGGAACATGCCGTACGATCTGTGTGAGGATGAGCCTACCCTGGATGTCATCGAGACGTGCATGGCCTACCAGGGTAAGAGCATGGCACCTGCCGCACAGTGTGGGCTCGGGGCAGCGTCACTGTGAGCATCTCTTACCCACCTGCCTGCCTCCTGCTCAGTGCTCAGGAAATGGGATGGGTCCCCATTATTATCACCGTGTGATTGACAAGATGACGACATGTGCTGTGCGGGAGGGAGGTATTGTTCTCCTCTGTGTCACAGCCACATGCGGGCGGCCTCAGCTGGCCTTGTCCCTCTTTGTCAGCTCTGACAATTCAATAAGCATTCACAATAGAGATATGTTCCCATTTGGGAAAACTATAAAAAGTCAGAACCACTTGCGGGTGCCTGCCAGGCACCATGCTGGCTGCCAGGGACCGGGATAAACAAGATGTGGGCTGATGTGGGCTGTTCTCAGTCACAAATGACCTTCAGAATGGAAACAAGCGTAGCCATCAGAGCGGCCTGCGCCCTGTCCCCACGACCCAGCACACAGACTCTGAAGTTCCTCCTCAGGAAGAAATCTCAAACCCAGCCCCCGACTGCAGCTGTAGGTTCTGTCCGGGGCCCTGCCCTGTGGTCCTCCCCAGATCTCAGCAATAACCGCCGGGTTGCTGTGTCCATTCCCCAATGTCCAGGGTTTAACTGTTCATACTCTGTAGGGGCTCTTAGCAGTTTTTATGCCAATCTTGTGAATCTGTGGACCCCTTCTCAGAACAATATTTTTAAATATGGTTATCAGACTCATAGGATTATAAAGGAAACCAACTATATTAAAATAAAGCTACCAGAACAGCTTTAAACGTGTCATATACAAACTGTTACTTCATGAAATAATAAGATGATATAATATGCTAATACCTAGCTTCTGTTGGTGAGAAAGTCAGGTCACGGCTAATTCTACTGTGGCCTTAAAGTGTCTTTCTGGGCCCCTCCACCTCAATTTATTTAGCTCTCCATTTGAAAGTAATACAGGGGTGGGCAAAAGTAGGTTTACAGTTGTGAGGATGAGAAACACACAGTTTATTCTTGTATTATTATTTATTAATGACGGCGTTATATTCCATGCAAGCAACTGAGAACCCACTCTTGCCCACCCCCGTATATTCATTAACTCAGTAGTTTCCTGTAACAAAAATTCACTGAGCCTTGTGCCATGTGTTGTGAAAACAACTGTGAACCAGATGAAGGATACTGACCAAGGGACCCTGGTCCGATAGGGCGGTCAGGAGAGGGCAGCTGGGGAGGTGGGCGAGCCGGGACTGACCCAGAGGATAAGGCAGAGCCAGCCATTTGAGTGGCGTGAGGTGGCGTGTGGATGGCAGGGATTTCCAGGTAGAAGAACAGCACATGTAACAGTAAGTGATATTGTTACAGTGTCTACCAGGTGCTGGGAAAGCGCGGCCTTTGTTTTGTGGGCCAGCACATGGTGTTGGTGCTCATGGCGCCTGGAACACAATGATCTGTGGGCATGTCTGCCTACCCTCTTGACTGGCAGGCCCTTGGGAGCAGGCGCCTTGCCCTCCCCTGTCTGTGTCTCCTCCCCGCAACTTGGGACCTGGCCTGGGGTGCTGACCAAATCCCTCCCCCGACTGCAGGCATCACTCAAGAGAAAATCAACGAGATGCGGGCGGCTCCTGAGCAGCAGATGATTTCGGACATCCACTGTATGATTGCAGCAGGCCAGGACCTAGACTGGATCGATGCCCAGGGTGCCACGCTGGTGAGGACACGGGCCAGAATGAAGGCCAGCTAGAGCCGATGCGGCCAGCACGTGGTGGGGGGCTCACCTCTACAGCGGGGGGCCTCCGTCTCCTCGCAGCCAGTCTTCCGCTGACTCCCTCGGACTCTTACCTCTGTCTCACACCTGGTTGGGCAGTTGGATTCTCTTTGCCTCATTCCTTTCTCGGTCCTTCATCCATTCACCTGGTGCGCTTCGTGAGCACTAAGGGCTCTCTAAGAACGTTAGCCACTTCCTGAGTGTTCATCACGTACTACTTTATGTTTTTTCTGGGAGACTGAGCACAGGGGCAGCCAGGGTCTGCCATCGGAAGTCTTGAGTGGTGTCAGGCAGAAGAGCTGGGGCCTCAGCAGGAGGCGTTCCCTCATTGGATGTATTGGTTACTATTGTACACAGCACACTGTCCCAAAACTATCATCGTAAATAGAGGATGAAATATTTATCATCTCACAGAGTTTCTGTGGGTCAGGGAATCGGGATCAGTTTGGCTGGGAGGTGGTGGCTTGGGGTCGTTTATGAAGTTGCCGTGAAGATGTCAGCCAGGGCTGCTGTCATCTGAAGGCTTGACTGGGGCCGGGAGATCCACTTCCAGGGTGGCTGGCAAATTAGTGCTGTCGGAGAAGGCCTCGGTTTCTTACCTCCTTGGGACCTACCTCTCTTTAAAGGCTACTCGGGGGTCTTCACAAGATGTCTGCCTGCTCTAGAGTAATCGATCCAAGAGAGTAAAAGGTAGAAACAGCAATGCCTTTTATGACCTAGCCTCAGAAATCACACGCTGCTCCTTTACAATATCCTATTCATTAAAAACGAGTTACTCAATCTGGTCCACATTCAAGGGGCAGTTAAACTCCATCTTTTAAGGGGAGATGTGTCAGCAAGTTTGTAGACATATTTGAAAACCACCCTACTGGACCCCTGAGGCCCCTTCCACAAGGCTTGGGGGGTATATCGTAGGGACTCCGTAAATGCCGCTGCCCCGACCACAGGAGCTCTGAGACCAGCCACAGGGGAGAAGAGCTCACCTCTCTGCCTTATCTCCCAGGTCCGTACTGCAGATGCAGTCATTCTCTGCAGTGTGGCTGGTGTTTCCACCTCTTTCTGTTCCATTCTACTGGCCCCCGCATGATTCGAGACTTGGGTCAGGGAGGGAACTGTCCCACCTCCAAACATGGGACTGGCCCCCCGGGGGTGTGCTCACTTCTTTCCCCTCCTTCAGCTGCACATAGCTGGAGCCAATGGATTCCTACGAGCAGCCGAGCTCCTCCTGGACCACGGAGTGCGCGTGGACGTGAAGGACTGGGATGGCTGGGAGCCCCTGCACGCGGCTGCCTTCTGGGGACAGGTAGTTTGCACCCTCGGGGCTGTGGCAAAGGCCAGCACAGGATCAGCCTGCTGTCCTTTGGTCTGGCAGTTGGTTCAGAAGGACACAAGACCCCTTCACAGTGTTGACTACAGCCAGTATGTGGGGTGTGAAAAGACCTGGGGAGTTTGCAAAAACATTTGACAGGTTGTATTTTAACAGGATAATAATCAAGTTTGCCAAATGAGAACGCTCCCAGCGTTTCTGCTATGAGTAATTTCTCCCTGTTTCCTGGATACAAAACCCTGATGGCAGCTGTTGCAGCCTTTCCATAGACACCTGACCGCTCTAGAATTATGGCTGACTCCTCTTCCTCCGTCCCTTGGTCCAGGCACACTGGAGGAGGGGTCTGTCCATTGCATCTCAGGATTCCTGGCTCCAGGGTTTGAAGCCTTCCTTGGGCATCAACGTTGCCCCACTATTGGGTCACATGCTAAGAGGCCTCGGGTGCTCTCTCCACCTCCTAGGCCTTCTGAACCCTGGGCAGTGGGAACGTGGCTTCTTCCTGTGTTTCAGATGCAAATGGCAGAGCTATTGGTGTCTCATGGGGCCAGTCTCAGTGCCAGGACATCCATGGATGAAATGCCAATAGGTAAGTCCAGCATGACACCTGGCACATGATAGGATCTTGTGAATTTTTTGACGGGTAGAGGAATAAATGGATGCGTATATGGTGGGATTGATACTGGATTGGTGTGCTGATGGATAGATGGATGAATGAATAAATTAGTGGACTACAAATTAATGGATAAGTGAACAGGTAGATGATGGACAAGAGGGATGGATGGGTAATGTATGGACAAGTGGATGAACGTATGGATAGACCATGAAATATGGGTGGGTGGATGGATAAGAAGAAGGGTAAAGGACAAACCTACGGAAGGATGACTGGGTCACTGAAGAGCTAGATAGATGAAAGAAAGAATTAGGTGGGTTGAGTGGGTGGGGTACATGATTTCAGCATCTTTGCTTGGGCTTCAGGGTATCTGCTTGTTTCTGTTGACACTTCCTATGACATTGGTGAGTTGATAAGTCCTACCAGAAACTATCAAAGGTGTATGACTCCTGCAGTCAGAGCTGGGAACCTCAGGAGTTGTAACTGCATGGAACCTGGGTTTCTACTCCAAGGATTCGGTTGTAGCCCAGGAAATAAGGGTGGCATTGTTTTCATCTCTCCCTGCATGCCCCAAAGGATGCTGGGAGTTTTCAGTCAGTTGGGAGGGCAGCCCACCTGGTGTGGGGGGCTCTCTGGGGGGCCACAGGCGCCTGTGGTGCTTCCCACAACAGACTCCCCTGTTTTTTCAGACCTGTGCGAAGAAGAGGAGTTCAAGGTCCTGCTGCTGGAGCTAAAACACAAGCATGACGTCATCATGAAGTCACAGCTGAGGCACAAGTCGTCCTTGAGCCGGAGGACATCCAGCGCAGGCAGCCGTGGGTGAGTCAGGGGCCGGGCTGCCAGGGGTCCCCATGCATGCTTCTGCCTGCAGCGCCCGGATGCAGCCTCCAGCACCCCCTGTCTCCCTTCAGGAAGGTGGTGCGTCGAGCCAGCCTCTCGGACAGGACCAACCTGTACAGGAAGGAGTATGAGGGCGAGGCCATCCTGTGGCAGCAGCGGAGCGCAGCCGAGGACCAGCGGACCTCAACCTACAATGGGGACATCAGGGAGACCAGGACAGACCAGGAGAATAAGGACCCAGTGAGTGTCCTCATGCCCAGTGTCAGCCACTGCCTTGGGAGGGGGACAGGGCCCTAGGCTGGTCTGGCCTCTCCATCTGAGAGCCTTCAGAAGGAGGTTAGTTGGGCAGAGTATTTAAACCAGCTGGACCCAAGCTGTGGTGGTGGCTACTGTGGGTGCTGAGGGAAGCATTGGGTGTATTTGCATCAGAGCTGGGAGCTACGGCACCCAGTAGGGTCTTATAATCAGCAGGCAGTGAGTGACCACCATGTGCCTGCTTGTGATGCATCAGATCTAATTCTGGGCTTCCCAGAAAAGAGGTTCAGTAGGGCAGCCACCCCGGGAGCTAAGGACACTGAAACTCCTGGGACATGGTGGGGGAGACAGCAAAATGTTGAGAATTTTGTTTGCTAGAACACATTTGATTCGAAGGGGTCTTTTTAAAAACTGAGTAGGGTTGTGGCAGGACCTCTAAACTGCCTGCCCCAGTGGTAGCCAATGGCCCTGGGCTTTCCTAGAGGGTGGTCTCTCTACTGTGGCCTAGGTCTGAGCAAGGTGTCAGCAGGGTTGGTCCCTCCTGGGGACTCTGAGGGGACTCTGCCCCATGCCTCTCGCCCAGCTGCCGGTGGCTCGGAGACACTCCTTGGCTTTGCCAGCAGGACTCCAAGTCCTGCCCCAGGCTTCACACAGCCTTCTTCCTCGGGCGTGTGTCTGTGTCTCTGTTTTCTCTTATTCCAGGGACTCCGGTCATTGGATGGGGGCCCACCTTGATGCAGCATGACCCCATCTTAATCTAACCGCATCTGCAAAGGTCCTACTTTCAAATGAGGTCACAATCAGAGATGTGGGGTGGCTGTGAATTTGGGGGAACACTATTCCACTCTGTACTGATACACTGGGGTCCGTGCCTGGCTGTGTCTACTGCACGGGGCAGAAGTTCGGGACCAGAGCAGAGCAGCTGGGGACAGGAAGGGAGAGGCCGACCCTACCAGCAGGGGCCTGCCATTTCGGTGCCACCTGCACACAATGAGCAGCACTTGAAAGCATTTCTGGAGAGTATTGCTTTGGTGGGATGCAAAGCGATCAGTTGCCCACTGTGCCCACGCATCTTGATAGGACCATGTGTCCTCAGTGAACAGACAGGCCACACGTGGCTTTTGTCTCACCAGCAGACGTGATGGTGTCGATGGAAGGGAACCCCCACCAAAGCCCCCGTCCGCGATGGAGAGGGCAACCCCGGGGGCTTTGTTCGCAGTCTAGTCCCCAAGCTCGGGGGCTGGGGAGAAGAGTTGTAGAGACAGAAATCAAGTCACCCTTCAGATGCCTCCAGCTGTGCTTTGTTTATTTTTCTGCATGATTTATGTATTTCTTGGATATCCTCGGAATCCCGAAGTCAGCTCACGCGGACTGCCTTCATTCTTAGCTGCAGAACATTCCACTCTAAGGACATGCCTTTATTTTCCCCCTGGCTAATGGTGACTTTCAGGCTTTGCTCTCCAGGGGCCTGTATCTGTGAAAACAAGTCCTAGAAATGGGCTTGCTGGCGCAAAGCATTCGTTCTTCTAAAACAAAGAGATTGTAGCAGTTTACATGCCTAGCTATTTCCCCACACCCTTGCCAGCACTGAGTAATGACGAATGCTAAAAACACCCAGCAATGGCCCTGGCTGGGTAGTTCGGTTGGCGAGAGCACCTGTTCCGATGCACCAAGGTTGCAGGTTTGATACCCAGTCAGGGCACATACAAGAATCAACCAATAAGTGGAACAACAAATTAATGTTTCTCTCTCTCTCAAAATCAATTTATCACTTGTCAATGTGATAGGTAAAAATTTTGTTTGAATTTTTATGTCATTAATTATTTAGTGAGGTTGAATATTTTTTTCTGTGTTTACACACTATATTTTGCCGTGAGCTGTATATTAGTGCCCTTTGTTGATTTTTTTTTCTTTTGGGTAGTAGGGGTTTTTTTTGAAGATTTTATTTATTTATTTTTAGAGAGAGGGGAAAGGAAGGAAAAGCAGAGGCAGAGAAACATCAGTGTGTGGCTGCCTCTCATGTATCCCATACTGGGGACCTGGCCCACGGCCCAGGCTTGTGCCCTGACTGGAAATCAAACCAGCAACCCTTTGGTTTGCAGGCCGGCACTCGATCCACTGAGCCATACCAGCCAGGGGGGTAGGAGGGCTTTTTAAAATGGACTTTTAAGAGCTCTTTATTTATTTGGGAAATTAGTCCTTTTTCTGTCATATATGTTGCAGGTCTTATACCAGTTTTGTCATGTGTCTTTTGACTTTGTTTATGGTGACTTTTTGCTAGGCTTCACATTTTTGTTATCGTCAAATGTATCAACCTTTTCACTTATAGTTTCTAGGCAGCTCTAGTTTCCAGGGGTTTCTGGGAGGAAAGGACCGTTGGGTAAGAGTGTCGGGAGTGAGAATATGCTGGGAATACAGAGGAAGGATTGCCAGTGACCAGATACCAACCGAAGTTGACTTACAGAAAAAAGGAATTTATTGGCTCAGGCAGCTGGATCCAGGGGCTCAAAGCACATCACCAGGGCGCTCTCTGTCTCTCCGTCCATCTTCCTTCATGTCAGCCTCACTGTAAAGCAGGCCCTTGACATGGTGTGTCCCCAGCCCCCGACTTCCACCGTTGTCACCACACACAGTTCCTGTAAGAACAGACCTCCTCTTTCCCAGTCATTCTAGCAAAAATCTCAGGGGTGAGTCTCATCAAAGCAGTTTCAGTCAAGAACCCACCTCTGAACCAATGGCTGTAGTGAACGTGTGGACTGTCCAGGCCTGGGGTCATGTTCCAGCCCTCAGAGCAAGGACGGGGGGTGGTCCGCTCTCCTAAAACAGCGATTGGTGAGGTCCCCAAAGCAAAATGGAGATCCTGTTACCCAGTGAGGGAGCACGGAAGGAGGGCGGGTCCAGACTAAAAAGCCCTCAGCGTAGGTGCAGGTGGGGAGTGGGTTGAGGTCCTCCAGCCAGCTGGTAACGTTGTCCTTTCACTTGCAGAACCCCCGGCTGGAGAAGCCCGTGCTGCTCTCAGAGTTTCCCAGCAAGATCCCACGAAGCGAAATGGACATGCCTGTCGAGAATGGCCTGCGGGCTCCGGTCAGCGCCTACCAGTATGCACTGTCCAACGGTGACGTCTGGAAAGTGCACGAGGTGCCCGACTACAGCATAGTCTACGGCAACCCAGGCATGGCTGACGCCACCCCACCCTGGAGTGGCTACAAGGAACAGAGCTCCCAGACGCTCCTGGAGCTGAAGCGGCATCGGGCTGCAGCCAAGCTGCTCAGCCACCCCTTCCTGAGCACCCACCTGGGCAGCAGCATGGCCAGGACGGGCGAGAGCAGCAGCGAGGGCAAGGCCCCCTTGATCGGAGGCAGAACTTCACCATATAGCAGCAATGGCACCTCGGTGTATTACACGGTCACCAGCGGAGATCCCCCGCTCTTGAAGTTCAAGGCCCCCATAGAGGAGATGGAAGAGAAGGTCCACGGCTGTTGCCGTATCTCCTAGTCTCCCTGTGACAGAGGAGAGATGTTGGGGAGGGGGTCCCTGGAATCCAGGCCAGCCCAGCAGCCCTGGTTGGGGAAGCTTCAGAGGGCAGCACCCAGCGGGGAGATGGGCTCTGCTTTCCAGAGGAAGGCCGACCCCACCTCTCAGCCCGCTGCCCATAGCATCCCCAGTGCTTCCTGCTGCATTGTCTGCCGTCAGAGACAAGGTCCCTCGTGGCTTCCCAGCTCACCCTGCGGTATGATTTTGGGAGGGAGGGCTGGGTTCCGGTTCTGTTGTGGGTGCAGTTTTCTCTGGACCAGTACTCGCATGTCATGTAACACACACGCATACTTCACCAACATGTGTACAAATGACCGGGCGACTCATGGAAAGCAGGTGGGACAGAGAATCTGTGGGCTATTCCCAAGAGGACTGAGGTCATGACTGAGAGTTTTGGTCACCACTGCCAATGTGGCTTTAGCAGAGGAGGGGGCCTGCTAAGCTGAAACCCATAGCCCTGCCCAGAGTCCTACCAGGGTCTGGGCCACCATTTACATCTGACAGGCGCAGGCAGGTCTCTCTGTGTTCAGAGGCAGCCTTGAACCCACATGGGTAGATGGAATGAGCACAGGCCTGCACGCCACAGCCTCGCCCACGCCAGGAGTTAGCTGTGCAACGCCTGGGGGCTGAGGAGGAAAACCAAGCTATTCCATTCCTGGAATAATCCAAATCCCATTCTGTTTTTGGATGGAAGCATCGAAAAGTGGAGAGGGGAACCAAGTGTTTCCAAAAGTGCATTTGATACAAGAATTATTGAAGACTGTTAAACTCTATGGGGCAGGGAACTGAATTTGACTGCTTTCATGGGTAATGCCATGATTGCTGAGTTTTACTGACTTGTGATGGAAAAATGAACTTGAAGAGCTTCCGCGGGAAGGGCTTTTCCAAGGAGAGGAATGAATTCGTATTGGTAAATTCTTGGTGAGCCCTCCTCAGACTGAGCCATCAGAGGGAGCAGTGAGGGGCTGCTGACTACCCCCGACTCCAGCCCGCACTCCCAGAGTGAATGCTCAGGACCCCAGGCTCAGCTTTGCCTTTTCCGGAGTGCCCAGTGAAACAAGTTGCCAGTCGGCCCTCATGAGTTCCTGCCTGGCCCAGGGGCTGCCTGCCTGCCCCTGCCAAAGTGGGGACACCCCAGGGCTGCAAATCCAAGGTGCCCACGGCCAGCACCCTAAGCTGCATTCAGGAGAGTGGTGGTGGGACTGGAGTCGGTCCCATGCCAGCCCTACAGTTTCATAGTCCCGATCTTCCCCACTGCTGGGGAGGCCGGACACAGGCCTGCTCCCCTCAGCCTTGCCCATGCCAGCAGCCAGCTGTGGGACCACCCATTCAGTTCACCCGAGGGGCAGGCTGCCCACCACTCTCCACCACATTCTCTCATGAGCCCCTTTGACACTGTCGCCCGTGAGATGGGTGCTGTCCACTGGCTCAGCCAAAACCCATTGGTGTAACTAACGAGCAGGTTTGCTCCCTGCTCTGTGCGCCTTTTATTTGTCCTAAAACTACCTCCTTAGAGCTCTGAAGGTGCCCCCTAGATCTAGATTCTGTGACTTGGGGGACAAATCTGGGTTCCCTTTAATCCTCTTCTTTCTGAGCCTATGAAAAATTCTCTCTGGGTGGGAGGGGGGATACCTAGGCCAGGGGGCTGTGGCTGGAGAAGTTCCCCTTGTACCACAGTCTTAGTGATGGGTCTGCTGTTTGCTAGTCCCAGTCCCCACTGGGGCCCCTGCACCCTCTCCCCATAACCTAGAAGGGAGCTGGCTTCCAGGGGGCCCAGCAGATGCCCCACCAGGAGTGGGGCAGCTGGGCAGGAGAGCATGGGCCTTAGGAGGGTCCCTGTGCCCCTGGTGGCTCTTGGGTGCAGGGAGGGTCACAGCACCAGGCCACCCTGACGCCAACTCCAGGGCAGTTCCAGTAGAGGGTGGCGGGGCTGGTCAGGAGACTTCAGATATGTGTATGATACCTCCTGTGTCCCTGGGGTCTAGGGTGGGCTCTCCATCATCCCAGCCTATGGCTGGAGCAGGGCAGGGATGACCTAAAACACACATACCTTTGGCTTCAAAACAGTGCTCAGATTAGACTAACACTGCAAGTCCTCCTGAGCCGACTTAAGCTGTAAGCTGGCAGTGCCCAGGGGAGCCACATACTCCTCAGGAGAGAGCTGGGCAGGTTTTTTGGACCTGCTTGCTCAGAGCCTAGAGACGGAAGGCATTTATTGCCCACTCTAGGCCCTTTGGCCATTCTCCCCTTGCTTCCTGCCTCCTGGGCCGTTCCTCTCCACCCAGAAGGCTGGGAACTGAAGACGTGAGCACAAGCTCATATTTTCCACCAGGGACAAAGCATTCCCTGTTGGCGCTTCCAGTACCTGTAGGTCTTGTGGGTGTCGAAGGGCAAGCTGGGGCCAAGGTCATCCATTTATTCACTCATGAAGTTTGTTAAGTAGCTGTGACATACCAGGCGCTGTGTTAGGTTTTGGGGTTAAAGGAGGAACAAGACAGAGTGAGGAGAGTGCCCTTCATGGTTTTCATGCATTGAGGACCATGGGTGTCAGCAGTAGCCCATTCAAGTTGTCCGAGTTGACTGCTTCCTGGTCCAGCATCCCTCTGCTTTTCAGCTCTTCGATTCCCTGGAGTTTGAGCCAGCAAACAGCTGTCATGGCCACCTATAGAGGACATGTGCCACTAAATAGAGATGCTGGATCTTGGTTTCCAGGCTGACACCATCCCAAGTCTATATGGACCTCTCAGGGCTCCTAGCTGCCTTCAGGCCAGCATCTCTGAGGCACTATAGAATAGTAGTTTGAGGTCAGTGTCTGGAAGAATAAGGAGTCTGGAGTTTGCTGCCCAATGCATCTCAGGTTTTTAAACTCATTGTCTCTCACTCATTTTTGCTATTTATTATGTAGCCTTCCTTCCCCACCAATGGATAACGGGAGGAAAAAGAGCTTCTCCTTTAACATTGAAGCCTTCCTTCTTGAATCTGCCTCTCTTCCTGGCAGGTATGAATCAAGTAGCTGGGAGAATGCTGGCAAGGTTGACCAGATGCCCAGCTCCTGCCAAGACCCAAACTGGTGCCAGTTCCTGGCAGATGGAAGGAGCAGGGGCCACATGGCTCACTGTGAGCTCTGGCCCTTGCTCCTACCCTATGCCCCAGACATTGAGAACTGGTGGCTATCACCAGAGAGTGAGTTTCTGGCCAGTAGCTCAAGGAGGCTGAGTGAATCTAGACCCAGGTCTGCTGAGGACTTCAGAGTATAGTTCTCCATCAGTTACGCAGCATCAGTGAAACTGCTCTGCACTGTTTGATCAATTTAAATGGCCTCAGAAAGCTAACAAGGGTGTGTCCCCTGTCCTATCCCACCACAGTTTGCTGGCTGTGTAGTATCATAAGACCATTTGAGTCCCTGGTGTCAGATACCTTTTGATCTTGAGCTCTCTCTTCCACCTGCTTTCCCAGAGCAGGAGACTGGGGCACTTTCCAGGAGGAGCCCCTTACAAGATGCTCAGAAGGACTATATTTAACTCCTGCTATTGTAGCCTGGGGACAGCCCTCCCCTCCCCCAGGACACATAAGAGCAAAGGGTCGTGTGGTCAGTGAAGAAGTCCACAGAAATGATCCTGTTACCAGAAGCTCTAGCCCTTTCCTTGGTAGGAGTCTCTTGCTGGCCAGGTGGCCAGAGGACCTGCTTCCCACGGGCATGCAAGTGCGGGGCCTGGCTCTGCACACCCAGGAAAGGTCTGCAGACCCCCAGCCCCCCGCAATAATTCACCAGACCAGAAGCCACTGATGTGCAGAGAACACTTAAGAAAAATGTATTTTATGTGAAAAAAAAGTTAAAACTCTGTATACTGTATCAGCAGCTTTGTGTAAAAATGGCAATCAAGAGAGTCTAATATATTTAAAACTTTTTTTAAAAAAAAACATCCTTGCGGATCTTTGATATTGTATCGAAATAACTTTCAGGTCGCTCCTTGCCACGCAGCAGTGGTGGGCCTGTGTCCAAGACTGCGGCCCAACCACGTCCCAAAGGGGCATGACCCTGGAGTTGCTTCAGCTGCCAAGGCCTGTGACGGAATTCGCTGTTGAGTTTTTAATTAAGATTATTAAATTCCTTTTAATAACACCTGTTGATGTGGCTGTGGTCATTGCTGTGAGCGCTCTTGAATTATGCTGCGTGGAATTCACAAAGAGGTGGTGCCTGGGATAGAAGGTGGAGGGTCCCTGCTCCCCAACACAGCAGACTCCCCGGGGGTCTCCTGACGGAGAGGGAGCTCCGAGGTCTCAGACATGGAACAGACGTCTTTCTAGACTGGGAGGTGGTGAAACCTGGTGAATTCAAAAAAAGATAAATGGTTGGGAATGACCTTCACTCTGTCTATGTTCCCTCTGAAATTAACCTAGGATCCTATACTAGCCCATATATGTATTTTATACTTTCAAAGGTTTGTCTGATGGCATATGTAACAGGGCTGCCCCTCTGTTCTGTTCTGTTCTGTTCTGGGCATCCCTGACCTGTCCTATCCTCTCCCCTCTCCCCCACTCCATCCCACTCCAGTCCTTTTCCTCATATAGCTTCTAGTGAGGAGGTAAAATACTATACACTGCTTCCCATTATTACGACAACACAGCAGGTGAGACCCTGGGTATTCTCACTTTTCCCTCAGGCAACAGAGGCATGGACAAGCTGTGTGGTTGCCTAGCCCCAGACCGTGGTCCTTGACCTTGTCATTTGCTGACATTTATTGTATCTCAGAAGAAGATGGAAAGAGTGCTTTCTTGGACCATTCTGGACACTGGGTGCTAGAGCCGGGACACATGCAAGGCCCCACACTTGGGCCTGAAAAATTTCGCCAAAAGGCTGGGGTTGGGAAGAGGGTAGGGAACACAGAAGTATCGTTGCAGCGGTGGGCATTCATCGCCTTAAAAAGTTTATTGGTTTCTAAATAATAATGCTAACCTCTCACTTGTAGGGAGCACTTTACAGTTGTGCAGATGCTTTCTCATTTACACACAGAAAATGGGGCCTGAAAATTGACTAGGGGATCTAGCACTGTGGAGCTCACGATGACCTTGACGAGGTTTTGGTAGAACAAAGGAAGCAGCATGGGCTTGACTGGACAGGGTTCAAGAGGGAATGGGAGGAAAACTGGAGATGGCAAGTATACACAACTCACTTGAGGTTTTCTGCTATCAAAGTGGACAGAGAAGTGAGGAGGAAGGTCTCTCGGGTGTTCAAACTTTTGGTGTCTCTGGGCCACTGGAAGAAGAGTTGTCTCGGGCCACACGTTAAATACACAAACACTAACGAAAACAAAACAAAAGAAACCCCTCTCATGTTTAAGTAAATTTACGATTTTGTGTTGGGCTGCATTGATAGCCATCCTGGGCTGCATGCGGCCCGTGGGCTGTGGATGGGACACGCCTGGGAGGAATGTAGGGCCAAGAGAGGGTATGGTGAAAAATATTTCAGCATGTTTGAATGCCGAGGGGAATGCACCAGTAAAGAGAGGAAGTGGATGATCCAGGAGAGAGAGTTGCTGGAGACGCACGGGTTAGTAGCAGAGGGGCGGGCAGCTGGGGCGCAAATGGAAGGGACAGCTGATCAATAGTAACAGAAGACTCAATGGGTAGGCAGAGGTGAGGATGGATAGGTACATGTGGAGAGAGCATGTGGAAATCTTCTCTGATTGCTTATATTTTCTCAGTGGGATAGGAAGCAAACTAAGAATAAGAGAGAAGAAAAGGTGGAATGAATGAGGGCAACGTATGCTAGCAGGCACTTGAGATCAGAAATTTAAGGCAGTCATCTACGTTGTGTTTTCTTTTCCCCAGCACTGTATGGCAGCTGCCCAGGTGCAGAGGCGAAGCAGGTAGAGAGCAGGTTGAGGTTTTGCCTGGCAAAAACACGATAAAGTGAGAGAAGAGAACACTACCTGAGAGTATAATCAAAGGAGTGGCAGTTATGAGGGACCGGAAGTTTTGAAGGAATGAATGATTAAATCCCAGTGTCTGGGTCTGAGCGTCTCGGGCCTACGAGAGCCGGCCGGCAGGGGGAGCGTTAGGATAGCGGTGCCAGGCTCTCCGGCTTTAGTTCGGGCTCCGCAGCTTGCGCCACCACTCCGGGCAGTACGGTCAATCAGACCCGTCCCCTCTTTAGCTGACCGAAGAGATCAGTGCCCCGCATGGCCGAGCAGGACCACGTCTGAGCAGAACAGAATCCTGAAATTTAAATTCCACAAGCAACCCGGGAACGGGAGGAAAGGCTAAACCGCCAAGGCAGCTAGTGCAAAGGCGAGGGGCGGAGCCGGGCCGCGGGCCACCCAATGCAAATCAAGGGGCGGGCCGTAGCTGCCTGAACCACGTCCAGGCTCCACCGTTAGAGGAAGACAGCCAATGGAAGAGCCGGGGCGGGGCGGGGCGGCCAATGGAGCGGGCCGGTTTGATTCAAAGGGACTATAAAGTGGCTTGCTGGTGCATGTTCTTCCCAGCCTGGTCCGGTCGGAGAACCACCATGGCTTTGCTGTCGGAGGCACTGGATGAGCTGCCCGCTGCGTGCTTGTCGCCGGGCGGGCCGCCCAACCCAACCGAGCTGTACAGCGAAGCGCAGCGCCTGGCGCTCGAGGAGCTGGTGGCAGGCGGCGCGGACGCCTTCGCAGCCTTTCTGCGACGTGAGCGCCTTGGCCGCTTCTTGAACCCCGATGAAGTGCGCACCATTCTGCGGACTGCCGAGCGGCCCCGCGAGGAGGGCGCGGGAGCAGAGGCCGAGGACTCTTTCGTCTCCTCACAGGACTGCTCATCCGGCACCTACTTCCCCGAACAGTCGGATCTGGAGCCGCCGCTACTGGAGCTTGGCTGGCCGGCCTTCTACCAGGGCGCCTACCGCGGTGCCACGCGCGTCGAGGCGCACTTCCAGCCCCGCGGCGCAGGCACTGGGGGCCCCTATGGCTGCAAGGACGCGCTACGCCAGCAGATCCGTTCAGCGCGAGAGGTGAGCAGCCGGGTCCCAGCCTCTTGGGAGACCTGGGTGCCCGATCGGACCGGAAGCCCTCTTCAAGAATAGGAAACGGGCCTTTTGGAAGCGCAGGCCGGTGGCCTCGGGGTCCCCGGCTTGCCCCCACCCTGCGTGTCACCCCTTGAATTCCTGATGTCCTGGCCCCTCCTTTTATGGTAGGGGAGAGTGGGAGGAGTCTCAGTCACCAAGAATGTGAATTATGTCGGAGTTCCAACTCTTTAACCTTCCAGCCCGTGGGGGAAAGGAACCAGAAGTACTTCCAGTTTCAAATTTTAGTTAAACTAAACCACATTGTCACTATTCCTGGCTGTGAACCAACACTAGATTCCACTTTCAGGGGCTTCTTAGTAGCTGCTTTACTTAAGTTCATTTCCTAGGGGAAAGGCCCTGAAAAATTGTGCCCAGAGACAATTTTGAGGCGTTAGGAATCTATAATTGCTAGTCACCACCGCGTATCTCCCGTTGTAGAAATCAAATACATACAAGAGTGGCAGTACATACACAGAGTGGAGGGAATGTGCTGCTTCTGTGAATGGGTGGGGCAGGGGTTGGTTTTTCACAGACTGGGCGATGTCCTAGTTAGCAGTGGCTTCCTAAAGTGCAAATCCCCTGCAGCAGGGCAATTCTTCACAGTGGGTTTTGGTGCTATTGTCTGATTGTTAGTGTGACATGGTATTGGGGTGCAGCCAGGATGGGACTGCAGCAGGGTGTCATACTCCGCTGTAGTCTTGCTTGCTGCCTGACTGGCAGTGCTCAGCGTCCTAGCTCTGTGCTGTGGAAATGGCAGGAAAAGCCCTAGGCCTTGGTAAGACTTGTTAGGGATTGTACTTGAGTGTGACTGTGGGTTATATCTGTGCAACTCGACTTGGAGTTGAAATAGCCAACTCCGGGAGCAGGCCCCAAGTGGTTCTGATGCTGGCTGTTCTCTGCCTGATGATGGGGCTGTAGCAGGTAGGGGATACAACAACCTAGTGCCTTGCCTTTGGTGGCGCGTAGATGTGGGCTCCAGCTTGCCAGTATCAGTCCTGCAGTGCGTCATCGGCTGTGCTGAGGGTCCTTTGGATGCTGCAGACTCTTGTGGTTTCAATGAGAGATTAAAAAGATGGGAAAAGGCTTGATTGTAGGGTAGGTGTGCATTCCCAAATTGTACCTCCAGGATGAGAACCTGGGCACTTGGAACAGGCTGTCACTCAGACTCTCCTTTGCCTTGGGGGCGTTCTGTAATGCTGACACTCCTGAGTAGAGCCTCCTGTGTCCCCTTCTTTGCCCTAGTCCAGCCACACACTCGCATCTTTGAGAGTCTATATTTGGAATCTGGGTGATTAGAACTGAGAAAGGTGGTACCTTACCTTTATGTCCAGTTACATATTTTCAGTGTCTCTGCCAGATACTTAATACTTGCTTATTCACTGCCTGCTGTGTATCAGACCTTGTGCCAGGCAGAGGCTGGGTCCACAGGTGGAGAGCATGGTCCTCGCCTGCACTGGGGAGCAGACAGCCTGCTGTGAGAAGCAGTGAGGAGGTTGCTTCAGGCAGTAAAGGGAGAGGCTGAAGAAAGGAAGCCTCAGCACTGGTGTCGATTTTAGAGCTGCGTTCAGGAGGATGGGTGGGGCTTGCCAGGCCAGAGGATAGGGACTGGCTCAGAAGTGTGCCAGAGCCTGGCGTGTTTGGGAGGTAACCAGGGTTCTCATGACTGCAGCAGAGTCTCCGAGGGTTAGTGGTAAGGGAGGAGGCTGAAGGGGGATGTGGGCCAGACTGCCAAGAACTTTGCAGGGCACCTGAAGGACTAGAGGAGGGAGAGGTGCAGGATCAGATGGGCATTCTTGAGCAGTAGGAGGGTGGGTTAGAGAGGGATGAGGCGGGATCCAGGATGGTTGTTAGGAGGGGACCACCGGGATCTATGTGTTAGAAGGACGTCTGTGCTGAGGCCCTGCTGGGGCAGGGGGTGGGGGCAGGGAAAGAATTTGAGGTAGAACTGAAGGACTCGGTCATTGGATGGCCCGGAAGGGCGGTGAGGGAGGGGCAAGAGAGTGGACAAGGCCAAGGAGAGGAAGGTATAGGACGAGTTAAGAAGGACAGATGTTTATACACACATACACATATTTGTTTATATTTTTAAAAATGGAAGAATAGCCCTGACTGGTGTGGCTCAGTGGGTTGGGCATTGTTTCACAAAGCGAGAAGTCACCGGTTTGATTCCCATTGGGGCACAGGCCTGAGTTGTGGGTTTGGTGCCTGGTTTGAGGCGCTTACAAGAGGCAACTAACTGATCAGTGTTTCTCTCTCTCTTCTCTCCCTTCCCCACTCTCTAAAATAAATAAATAAATAAATAAAATAATTTTTTTAAAAAAAGGAAGAATAAACCAAAAACTAATTAAAATGATCATGTTAATGAGGAGAGAAGAAGGGAAAGGAAAAAAAGGAGGGAGGGAGCAAGGATGCAATCCGGGGTCTCTGAATGTACCTTGTCTTGTAGATTGGATTTGCAATCAGGCAGATGTTTTCTGTAATTATAACGTACAAATAACTCAGAATGATAGACTTGACAAGCTCCCTCCCTCCACCCCCCCCACCCAGAAGAAAAAAAGGAAAAAACACCTCTTGATGCTTTTCCTTCCCTTTCTAAAAGCCCAGCCCACCTGTCTGCTTCAGGCTGGAACAGTGCAGAGGCAGTGTCTCTGTGTGTGTGGTGTCAGTCCCTCGCAGGCCAGAGAGAAACCTTGCCCCTCCCCTCCCCCTTCCCAGAGCGGCCCTGTGCCACTCTGCAGATGGAGGCTCTACCAGCACCTGAATCTGCTACTTGAATTGTTCATTGTACAATAGCAGCCTGCAAAATCTAGAGAGAACACACACAAGCACATTTAGGTTTTGCTGTTGAAATTTACTTTTTTTTGTTTTGTTTTTAAACCTTGAAGATGATATCAAGATAGGTTAAAGATTTTTAAAGAAATTCCAAGGAGAGAATTTCTGTTCTCTTAAAAAGTGTAAAAAAATTGGGAGAAAATATATCTTTAGCTTTTTTAGCAAGAGCGTCTTCCGCAGAAGTGGCAAGGGCCTTAGGGAGTTGCAGGAAAGCGACTTCGGGTGTCAGGTGGTCAGCGTGAGGACACAGCAGACAGGCTGTGTTGACCACTGGACAGGCTGACGCATCTTCGGATGGACGCAGAACTTTGGTAGAATTCCAGGCATGTCGCACACGTGTCCTTGCTTCATGACTGTGGGTGGGGAGGGAGGGAAACTGAGGTGCAGCAGGAAGGGGTGATTGACATATGCATCCTGCGTCACGCAGAGGAAGAACTGGAATGTGAACTGGAATGGCTGACCGAGGGGCCCCTTGAGGCTGCTCACATGGCAGGTCAGGGCCCAGGCCAGCCCCTCGAGGGTGCGTGAGTCCGACTTCAGGGCTGGAAGGGGCCCTGTCTGAGGACACTGAGCTCAGGTAGAATGACTTGCCCAGGAATAGTGGTAGAATTTGGACTGACTACGGCTAGCTGCCGTATGAAGGCTTTCTTTATGCCAGGAGCTGTCAAATGTGTACGCGGGTTCTCTCATTGACTGAACCCCCAGACACTACGAGTTACAGGAAGTATTATTTGCACATTATAGAAGCCAGCAGAACTTAAGTAACTTGCTAGAGCGCACATGGTGCTTGAAAGTGGAAGAGCCAGGATCCAGGTCTTGGTCTAATTCTACAGCCTGTTCATGTCACGTCCTTGTTTCCCGGATTTAGTCCCTTCTGAATTAGTGCCGCTGGCGGAGGAAAGGTGCCCGCTGCCCTGGGGAGTTCCAGGTTTCCTCAGCGTTCACTCTGAATTATTATCACATGTTATGTGTAATCATCCTCTGTGGTGGGCTCGATCCCACCTACTTTATGAAATAAATGCTGCTGATTCTCTCAGGGTTTTGTTTGAGCTCTCAGTCATTTGCAGACGGACTGTTATTAGACTTGCTTGAAGTAATACTCAGTTTAACACTTTCCCACGTAACTCTGGAGTCACACAGACCTGGGCTGAAGTGCCAGCTCCGGCATTTGCCCAAGAGTGTCCCTTTGAATGAGTTACCTAATCTCTCCAAGCTTCAGTTTTCTCATCTGTAAACTGGGGGTAAGAATTATGGGGATTTTGAGTTCTCTAGATATCTCTTTAGAGCTTTTGTGCAAGAAGACACTTAGAAAAGATTCCACTCTTGTGAAAAGTAGCATGAACAGGCTTTGTACCTTCTCAAAGACCGAGAATACCACGGAGACTGCTGCTGTGTAACTACTTGGACCACCGAGCCCCTTGGTATAAATCAGCAAGGGGTAGTTGGTAGGGTGAGGGAAGGCTTGGGTTTTGTCACCTGTGATGATGACGTGGGACTTGACATACAGGTGTGGCTGCCCCAGATGTGGCTGGAGAAGTGTAGGGCAGTGGTCCCAAACCTTCTTGTCACCAGGGACCGCTTTTGTGGAAGACAGTTTTCGCACGGACTGGGTATGGTGGTGGCGGGGGCGGGGGGGGGGTGGGAGGAGACAGGAGGTGGAGCTCAGGCGGTAATGCCAGCAGAGGTTCGCCAGCTCGCTTGCCTGCCGAATGCATTCTACTGTGTGGCTGGTTCCTCCCAGGCCCCAGACTGGTACTGGTCTGTGGCTCTGGGGGTGTTGGGGACCCTGGGTGTAGGGTACCATTATGACTGAGGTGTTCTGAGTTTCAGATTGGTGTTGACACTGGAATAGACTTGCAGAAGTCAGCACTTCCAGAGCTTTCTAGCCCTAAGAAAGTGGGCAGGCTCTGTGCAGCCTGGGCCAGGACAGGGCAGTCCCCACCATGACCGTGCGGGCACTTGATAGCCATGGATGCTCACCTTTCTGATGTGTCTCTCCTTTGTGCATCCTTACATTGTTCCTCAGGGAGCGAGCAGTGACTGGTTGCTACGACTCCTTCGAGTCCAGGTGTACTTGTGGGGCCTGTAGCCTGCAGAGTGAACACCAGCACCTAGGAGAGGCGTCTGGCTTTGGAAAGCAGGCACTTGGCTGGCTAGTTGGTGAGTGAGTCCAGGCCATTGCTCAGCCACTGAAGAGACTGTCACCTCGGAGATTTGAGAAGCCCCAGGTCTAGTTCAGCTCTGCAGAGCTTGGTTGTTTGGGGGCTGGTGGGCTGAAGAGGGAAGTATACAGGAGAGGGGTTGAGCCTGGAAGGAAGGAAGGAAGGAAGGAAGGAAGGAAGGAAGGAAGGAAGGAAGGAAGGAAGGAAGGAAGGAAGGAAGGATTTCCTACCGATTTCTTCCACGGATAGGGCTGTTCCTTCTACAGAAGGTGTAAGAGTCTTGCTCTAGAAAGAGGAGGGGGTGTTGGGTACAGGGGAGTCGGGAAGAAACACCTTCGTCCATCCTCCAAACTCCCTGTGGGTGTTGGGGACCAGTGTTCAAATCCAGTTATTTCAGTTATTTTCAACCTTTCAGGAAAGGTTGAAACTTTAAAACCAGACAGTGAAACCAACAGCAGATCAGATCCTTACCACCTAACAAAGCGACTGTTTGTACAATCGTTCTGTGGAGCAGTGACTCGAAATCCCGTTTGGCAGGTGATTTAACCTGATGGCCCCGCTCCTCGGTCCCTGCCTCCAGCAGGTCTCCAGCCCCCTCCGACCGTGCCAGCTGGGCTGGCTTCCTTGGTCTCAGTTCCAGTGGCACCTGGGTGCAGGTCTATCAGCTCCTTGGTCTCTATTTTGGTGGCACCCAAGTGCATGTCCATGGGCCCCGTCACACTGTGCTACTCCTGGCTTGTCTCCTGTATCCCTCAAGAGCGGGGTTTCTTAAAGACACGGAATGACCCTAGGTCTTCAGTGCCCAGCCCATGCCAGGCTCCTGGTGGCTCACTGAATATTTGAAGGAATAGTGAGATATAAGAGAGGCAAGCAGGTATCTGTGTTCTAGAGAGCTTTACTCCTGTTTTTTAAAATAAATTTGTTTTAGCGGGGGAAGGGTGGGGGAGACAGAAACATCGATCGATCAGTTGCCTCTCGTGCACCCCAACCGGGGACGACCCAGGCATGTGCCCAGGAATCGAACCGGCGACCCCCTGAGCCACACTGGCCAGGAGGCTGCGCTCTCATTCTTAAACCTGTGCATGTAGGACGCCCTTATGAAGGTTTTACTGCCACCTCGAAATCCATTTCCAGGCTTCCCTCTCAAACTTTCCTTTTTCTGTTTCCTGTTTGTGTCAACCTGAACCACATTCGGCCTCTTTGCTCCCTTTCCTTCCCTCGTCTTCCTCCAGCCCTTGCAGACCACTGCTTGGTTCTCCCATGACCCCCTTCTCTGCTCTTTAACCCTCATTGCTTCCACTGGCAAAGCCTCTATCACTGACTTTTCTTCTTTTGCTCTTTAATCTTCCTAAATGCTTGCTGACCCTAAGAAGTATTCAAGTGCCCGATGTGTTGCAGGCACTTGGGTTCATGGCCCTGTGTGGGAGGAGGCGGGGCCCGGCCTCCAGCCTACTCCTGCCTCTCTCTCAGCATCAGCTTCTTTTGTCCTGTTGGAGTCTTCACTTTGAACTCATTACTCCTTCCCTCCACTGCCCATGTGATACTGATTTCTTGGTTGGCATTCAAGGCCTTCCGTGATGTTACGCATTCACCTGTCTCCCGGTCGTGTCCTATTGCTCCCTTTCTTGCATGTTCCACATGCCAGCCAGCTTGGTACGCGCTCCGTCATTTCCTACCTCTTCCTGTCCTCACATGGCCTCCCGCCAGAACGTCCTCCCCTTCACTCCTCTCCTGTCCAGATCTTGTCCTTGCTTGTGATTCAGCTCAAATACCCTTCTTCTCCAGTGTTGCTCTCCTTTAGTAAACTGAACGCCAGTAGTGTACCCACCACGCAGGGCAGCTTCTCTGCTGCCCCCCTTCCCCATAGTGCCCCCTAATTGCCGCTTCCAGTGTGTGTCCTTTTACTTCCCTGCATCCCATGCCCTCTCTTTGCAGGTAAGTTGGGTCTGGGTCAAATTCTTTACAGTTGACGTTCTGCCCAGTACAAGGGTTCAGCCCACAGCAGACTCTGAAGGGGTGCTGGCTGCCTAATTGGTCACCATTGTCAAGCCTGAGCCCTTTCCAGGCTTTTCATCCTCATGGCAGCCCTTTGATGTAGATGCTAGTATCATCCATGTCTTTCAGAGGAGGCGGAGGAGGCTCAGAGGCATTTAGCAGTTTGCCCAGGGCCACACAACTAGTAAACGGCAGAGCTGGGCTTTGTGTGCCTGGGCTTTTCTGCCTTTCAACCATGGTGTGAATGGGGGCAGTTAACCAAAGAGGATGTATAAAAACCCGTGGGAGGATCTCAACTTCTAAGATGCCACCAATTCATAAAGAACACTTTTTATTTTTTAAATTACTGTGCCCAGTGGGTTTCACTGTACCCTTTAGCCAGAATAGCTCACAACTGGGGCTTCATCAGGATTGGGGAGGGGAGGGAAAGGGCGAGGCAGCCAGAGGGAGAAATCAATCTTGCAGCCTCTCTCAGAGCCACGGCTTCCTAGGAGCAGGCACTTCAAGGTCCCCGCTCCTGGTGGACGTGACTCTGGGGTGTTGGAGAAAGAGCAGCGTTGCCTCCCTCTCTGCACTTCTTGTCTAACTTCCCTCCACCCCCCACCACCAAATACTTACGGGATGATGAATCCTGGGTACCATTCTGAGTCTTCTCGGACTCAGTCCCATTCAAATGCCTCTGCCTCCGTAGGTGTGACACCTGTAAATAAATTGCCTAAACATTAAAAAAAAAGTTAACGTGATTGTAAAAGACAAGTGTTTACTGCTGAGGTTAGGAGGAAAGAGAGGCCCTCAAGCTGCAGACTGGAGAGAGCTCCAAAGCTTGGCTTCAGGGAGCAGTTTCCGTAGCTAACTAACACCCCCGCTTCTGACTCGGTGTGCAGGGACTTGTTTCTAAGCCTGGATGTTTGGACATCCTCACGGTCCTGCCAGGAGTTAGCTGAGGGCCACGGTTTAAACTTGCAGGGGTATGATTAGAGACTTTGTGGTTGGAGCGGCCTCTCTTAGCAGGGAAAGTTGGGAGCTGGTGGTGCCTCCGTGTTCGGCTGTTGGATCAAACCCTGGACTAGTGAAGTGCATCAATGACAGAGAGTTAAAGGATCTTTTGTGCTTTGCACTTCACGTAACGTAGTCATTTAGTTCTCCCTGCAAACTGATTTTGCAGCTGAGGAAACAGACGTCTGAAATAGCTGTAATTTCACAAAGACACATGGCTGAGGCAGCTCTTAACTGTAGTTTAATGCCAAGTGTGAAAGGGATTAGGAGGCACGGAGGAAACCATGTTTTTTGTTTTTCATTTTTTTAAATCCTCACCCAAGGACATTTTTTCCCCTTGCTTTTTTGGGGGGGCAGTGGGGGGAGAGAGAGAGAGAGAGAGAGAAAGAAAGATTAGTTGGCTGCCTTGTTGTACATGCCCCAAGGGGGATTGAACCCACAACCTGGGTATGTGCCCTGATTGGGAATCAAACCCACAACATTCCAGTCCATGGGATGGTGCTCCAACCAACTGAGCCACACCAGCCTGGGCTGGAGCCATGTTTTGGGGGAGAAGAAAGGACTGGACAAGCTTCAGGACAGAATCCTTAGGATATATGCCTATTTCCATATTCCTGTTCTTGTGGGCTTGTACTGTAGACAGACAGATACTAAAGAACTACAGAGACCACCTTTCGTAGAGGGGAGGCTAGTGCTGTGGGGGCCATTGGTTTGGGTCCTGACTCCTGTCAGAGGCAGAACTGGGAGGGTCTGTTTGCCTGGTTTGATCAGTTTCAAGCCCCAAGCTGGTGGTGGATGGGGTGGGCCTATTGCTTATAACAAAAAATCAGAGCTTATCATCCAAAATTAGACAATAATCAAAATCACAGACATAGAGAATGTTATACCCAGAGGGACCTCAGAGAGAATCTAAGGTTTTATGTACTTCTTTTATAGATGTAGGAGATGGAAGCCAGTATGGAAGCCTCAGGCCTGGAATAACGGGGTGTTAGCCACAGAGCCTAGGCAGCTTGCTGGCCTGAGCGAGCCTGCAAGACCGGGTTTCAGTAAACGAAGGGAAGCTGAACAGAACAGGTTCAGGGGAGGGCAGGGCGCGGTGGGTTACTGTATGTTTCTGAGAAGTTTGCCAGCGTGGAGGAGCGTGGCTAGGAAGCAGCTGGCAGGGATGGCTGAGCCGAGTCCAGATTCGTAGCATACAGTGGCCTGAGAATCTTTGGAGACAGAGGAGTTCACGGTGAGGGGAGAGTCCATACTGCAGAAGGAGAAGGGAGGGTGCTGCAGGGTGCGGATCCTTTCCCGGCTCTGAGGTCAGGTCCGGAGTCTGGACCAGGAGCCGTAAGGTGCTGGTGTTGTGAGCTGACAGCTTGCCCTTCCTCTACCTCACCCGGCCCCTGCAGGTGATCGCGGTGGTGATGGACGTGTTCACAGACATCGACATCTTCAGAGACCTGCAGGAGATGTGTCGGAAACATGGAGTTGCTGTGTACCTCCTGCTGGACCAGGCTCTGCTCTCCCAGTTTTTGGACATGTGCATGGATCTGAAGGTTCACCCTGAGCAGGAAAAGGTTGGTGCTGCACTGTTTCTGGTTCCACCACGGCCAAGACTAGGACCCATCTTGCATGGCAGGTGGTAGTCGTATCCCCATTACAAGGGAGGCAGCTGGGGCCACGAGCAGAGTGATGTGTTTGCCTGATGTCTCGCAGAAAAGAAACGACAGAGTCAGGATTCAAGCCTCGGCCCCTCCCTCACATCACGCCGTCTCCTAACAAGGGGCCTGACTGTTGATGTCCAGAGGCTGCCTTGGAAGCTGCTGTTTTTACTGCAGTGCTGGTGGGCTCCAGTTTTAACTGTGGTGACAGCCACCGGTGGAGCTCCTGCCCTGCCCGGGCACTGTCCTCGGCTCCTGACAAATGTTCTGCAAGTTAATCCTTACAGAAGCCCTTTCGCATAAGTGGCATTCTCCCCATGTGTCAGATCTGGGGGGGTGATGCAGAGAGCCACTGAGGCGTGGTGGGACCCCAATCTGCCATCGCTGTCACATGGTGCCTCTCATGTCTCTATTATAAAATTAGACTTTTTGTGTCCTTTGCTGTGAGTGTGAAAGTCATTTGAGCTTAAGAATTTAAATATAATACAATTTAAAGGTTATGCAACTTGGCTAGCTTAGTCTCTTTAGTGCACAGAAGCAAGAAAAATAGTCATTATACTTTCTTTAAAAAACTAAGCAACGTGTGAGCCTCCAAATTTAATTTATCAATTTAGCTTATCGCCTGTGAGCACCTACTATGCTGTTGTAGGGACTGGCAATAAAGCAAAACAAGGAAAGAATTTGGGCGTTAATACTATAGGTTACTGCATAGGGGACATAAACTTTTACTGCCTTATTATTAAGCAATTTGGTTTTGCAAAATTTTAGCTGTTTAACTTCTCCCACAGAGTTCTCGTTGGCTGTTTTCCCTAATGAGGAAACTGAGGATTGGGTTTAATTAGGTAGTTTCTAACTTGTTGCTGGTGCTACAAGGCAAACCACGACCTTGGAGAGCCAGTGAAATGAAGCAGCCGAGTGACCCAACAGTCAAGTAACAAATGAGATCAGGTGGACCCCAGGAACATGCAAGTCAGGGGTGGAAAAGCATCTTGGCCTCTAGCCTCACGTTCAGTCCATGACTACTCCCCTAGAGCCAGGTGAAGAAATTGAAGGCGTTGTTTAATTTCAAGGCACTCTTTCTGTGTTGGCAGCAGGAAAATCACAGAATAGTTCTAGCTGCAAGTTTGATCAGGAGATTGGCTGTGACTCATCTAACTCAGCAGAAATCCAGGAGTACCGTCGCCAACTCAGTTGCCCACTGCTGGTTGGTGCCTTTACCGGTGTCCGGATCCTCAGTAGGAGGGGCTGAAAGGAGGTCTGTGCCTCTGGCCTCACCAGTTTTTGTCATGTCTTAACTCCTTCCTGGGGAAACACCGTCTTCCCTGGCTGCTTCCCTCACCTTGAGTCTGTGCTGGTGAACACTCGGCCTCACCAGGTAGGGCAGACTTCCTCCCCCAGGCTCTGGCCCTGCAGCTGGTTCAGATGTTCGGTGTCCTGTCGGTAGGACCTTGGTCACACATTTGCATGCAGGCCTTAGAAATGCTTTGACCACGATCACCGAGGCCTGCACAACATGCAGATAAGCGCCAAAGAGTAAGATGCACAAAATCACCCCTAAGTCTGCTCAGAGTGATTTCTTTATGCTTCTTACTGTATGTTGGTCCTTGGAAACTCTGCTGAGGAGTCGTCACCGCTTCCAGGAAGCCCTTCCCTGCCAGATCCATGTGTTCCTCCGTGGAAGTGAACAGCTTTTTAACATTTAAATTAATTTCCATTAAAAAATAATTTATGATTTACGAAGGAGTTGTAAAAACAATATAAGCAATATAAGGAATTCACGAATACTTTTTGCTCAAATTCTCCAAATGTGACTATGTTACAAACCTCAGTACACATTTGAAAGAAAACGAAGCAATAAACTTGATATAATACTATTATCTGATCTAATGATACACTTCGCATGGCATGAAAGCCCTTCTCCTTGTCCAGGACTCGCTCCAGGCCTGGAGCTGGCGTGGTTGTCATGTCTCCTCGGCCTCCTGTCCTCTGGCACCACGCGTCCCTCTGTGTTTAGGGTCTGGACGCTTGGAAGAACACCAGCCAGTTTTCTGTAGCGTGTGGTTTGTCTGGTGTTTCCTCATAATCCAGATTGTGCACTTTGGTAAGAATGCCACTGAAGCGATGTCATCTTGCCAGAGTTTTTTCCGTTTTGCCTTTTGTTCTTATTTTTGAAGTAATTATAGATCCATGGAAATTGCGAAGATAATACAAAGAGGATTTCCCTGGATCCTTTACCCAGTGGTTTCCCCCAGTGGTTACGTCGGTGGAGCTTTTGGTACAACAGCAAAAGCTGGAAACCGACGTGGGTTCAGTGTGCGTCTTCGGTTCTGGGCCATTTTATCACGTGTGCACGTGTAACCACCCCAGCCGTCAAGGGGCAGAGCTGTTCGACACCACCACATCACCCTCGTGCCACACCTTTATGGTCACGTCCAGGCCCCTCTTTGTGTCCCCACCGCCCCTTCTCTGTAATGTTGTCATTTAGAGGATGTTATAGAAATCAAACTATGTAGTATGTGACCTTTTGAGATTGGCTTTTTTCCATCTGCATAAAGCCCTTGGGATCCACCCAAATTGTGTGTATCAATAGATTGTTCCTTTTAGCTGCTGAATAGTATCATGTACCATGTGATACATGATTGTACCATAGTTTGTTCAACCATTCACCCAGTGAAGACAGGATAGTGTTCAGTCTGTTACTACAGTGAGTAAAGATACGATGAATATCTGTGCGCAGGTCTTTGGGTGGACGTAGCTCTTCACTTCTCTGGATGATGTTAGTCGAGCCACAGTTTTTAATCATTTATTACTTTTCTCTCTCCTGTCCAATCCTTGCAGTTAGGAGTGTGCCTTATAGCAAGAAGCATGCCTTATATCTCTATTGTCTCAAGGCCCGGCACATAATAGGGGCTTTCTTTGCTTGTGGAATGAATGAGTCAAACAAAAATCTTAAATATTTAATTTGAATGTGTAAGATTTCTAAAGATGCTGAGCTACTGATCTCTGAAGAAGTTCAACTCGGACTGTCTTAGTATTTTGCACACCATTGTATATATATTACGTGTGTCACTTTAGAAAGATAACTATGCATGCACAGTCAATAAACAGCCCCAGTATGTTCCCAGGGCACCTTTCTGGGAAACGGATACTTGTGGGAAATATGCCACTGCTGATTGAGTCATGTCCTGCTTCAAGTCCTGTATCGGAGAGGCCTTATCCTCTGTGCTCCAGGTCCACGATGGGGTGGGGGTTGCTGATCCCTGCTGATCTTACTAAACAGGAGAAGTAAGAGAGATGTCAAGAAGCTTAGCTTCTTTAAAGCTTTGTTAAGATGCTATTTATTATGAGCATGTTTCCTTTGATAGTTTAATCCCCTGCGTTTCATTTCAAAAATCATTTCTCAGCTTCTGTTGTTCAGTATCGCCAAATAGCAAGTCTGCTTCTACAGCACACACTCAACGTGAACCGAGGGTCTCAAACATACATGTAAGAAACAGCCATGCTGGGTGAAACATGAACCAGTACTGCTTGAGCGCCGAGAATCGCCTGGCCAGGGCACAGGGCGACTGGTCACTGGTGACCGCGGACCACTCATCAGCCGAAACATCTGTGTCTTCGGGAATTGTGAAGTAGGCCCTCTCGTCTTACTCATCTGTTCACTAGACTGTATTTCTTTCTGTCCCCGCTCTCCTGCCAACAGCTGATGACAGTGCGGACAATCACAGGGAATATCTACTACGCGAGGTCAGGAACTAAAATCGTTGGGAAGGTTCATGAAAAGTTCACGTTGATTGATGGCATTCGTGTGGCTACGGGCTCCTACAGGTATGTTCCCCACTCATCCTTGCTTATTAATCTGCTTTTTAGAAAGAGCATGCTATGTAAAGGCAAAGCTTCTTCCCTTTCAACGCAAGGCTTCATAGCCCGACATTCTGAAATGTGTGCATCTGTGTGTGAGTAGGTTCATCAGTGCCTCCTCCTATAGGAGGTAGTTGGGCTGGGTCACCTCTCCTGCCCTGTGCTCCACAAAATGGAAGTGCAGAGGTGGACATCTGCCTGGAGACCCCACAGTGAGCAAGCCCTAGGCGCAAGCCTTAGCCAGGCCCGCAGCAGATGAAGTGGGGGTTACAGTGACAGGAATAGTTCTGAGTCTTAGTCCTCATGTACTTTGAGCCCTTGTTCCTGCTCATGTGAAGGTAAAGGCAGTCTCAGGCCTGGGCATCCACATAGACGGCAGAGCCGAAGCGGTCAGCTTACCCTTAAATCCTTCGCCTTGCTTCAAGCCTTGTAATCTAGTGCTTCTGTCTGGAAGGCCCTGCCTTTGAAGTCTCGCTTTGGCAATGGCAGCTTAAGGGAGAGTGTGGGGAGGTTGAATAGAGGGTGGAGGTAATGAGTGGTTGGCACTAATCTCCAGAAGTTAAGACAAGCCCTTTTTTTCTCCTGTGGCTTCAGTATTTGGCCACCTGTGTGTTAGATTGTCTGATGGGGTGCATGAGGTGTGGCTGTGGAGTTTAAAAATGAAAACCTCATTTATGAAGAGATGCACATTCCTGAGTGGTCAGTATCTTTCAGCGCTGGGTAAAGGCGGACTTGGGGAGATTTGCGGGAGATGCGGCGGTGAGATGAAAGTCTCGATGCCTTCTCTAGCAGTCCCCTCTTTGAGTCTCCTTCTGTAAGAAGTTTTTAAATAACAGGAGGAAACTAGATTTCTACCCAAAGAAAGATTTCTCTATGATAGCCAAATTTAGCTCAGCTGGTTTTTGGCTATTCTAAAATATAAAAACTGCCCTCTGCAAATGAAATATGCTATCGTTGAGGATGAGAAGGATGATAGCTTTCATTTGTTGGGGACATGTTATAATCCTGGCATTAAATAGGTGTCCTATTTATGTGATCTTGTGGAGGGTTTTCAAAAGAATCTCCCTTCTCTATCAGGGGGTGACCGTCAGTGCAGAGAGCTAACTCAGACTGTGCTGGTGGGATTTATTGACTCAAGCGACTCAGAGGTGTTGAAAGGTGTGCAGCTCCTCTTGACCTGGAGTCCATATGTTTATTAGAACACTGCCTCCTGGTCCTGTTTTCTCTAGTTGGTCCTTATTCTCAGTCACGCTCTCCAACCGAAGGCACAGATCCAGGCTTTGTTACGTGGCCTTTAATGGCGGTGTCCCAAAGACAGAGACTTGATTTCTCAAAGCACTGGTATCAGTCCTGGAAAAATGACTCGGCCCCAGGTGGGTCACACGTCCACCCTGGGTAGCTCCCTATATCCAAGGGCACAGGGTGGTCTGGCCAGCCTGGTCACATGCCCACCCCTCCTGCCACTGGAAAGGGTGCATAAATGAAGGCCTTTTGGCCTGGGGTGGGCATGGGTTCTGTCACCAGAGGAAGGAGGAGGGATGCTGGACAGGCAGGGACACATGGCCTAGTCAGCTCTAAATGTGCTGCCAGCAACAGTGCCATTGTTAGAATGACAACAATGTCCTTTGTGAAACTAGCAGCACTGGAGGGAGCCCTGAGCACTGCGCTGGCCATCCTTAGGGACTGGGCCTGGCCTAGGGTCCACCATAGCTTCCTGCTGTGAAATCACGAGCTGGTTTCCTCACTTTGAAAACGAGGGCAGGGCGCTGGCCGAAATATTTTAGAGACTCATTCTAGTTTTGAAAAACTCTGAGGCTGAGGATGTGCAGGTGTTAGTGTGTCAGTTAAGCAGTCGGCCTTTTTACTTTCACGTTAACCTGTACGTGCCGTGCGTCTCGGCTAAGGTTGGGTGAATTCACACTGCATGCTGGGTGTGCTGTCGTTAGAGTTATGACTCAGGTAGCGGGATGTCTGGGCTTTATTATTCAGACTGACAATAAGTGCATTAAAATTGCTTATGCTGATCTGTTTCTATTTGTTTCTTTTTAATCCTTAAGTTTTACATGGACAGATGGCAAATTAAATAGCAGTAACTTGGTCATTCTGTCCGGCCAAGTGGTGGAACACTTTGACCTGGAGTTCCGCATCCTGTATGCGCAATCAAAGCCCATCAGCTCCAAACTCCTGTCTGGCTTCCGAATCAGCGGCAAGTTCGACCATTTAGTTGACCAGCAGCCGCTATCCAAGGGGCTCACGCTGGGCAACCTGCTGCGGCAGCGGCTGGCCAGGCTCTCAAGCACCCCCAGGAGGGCCGAGCTGGAGTGTGGGGCGCCCACCAAGAGCAGGGCAGAGGGGGGGCGCCATGACTCTGAGTCCTCCACCATCGATGAGGAGGACTACCTGAACAGCCATCGAGACGCAGCAGAGGGTGGGACTGCGGCTGATGCTGCCACTCAGACGGAGCCCGGGGAGGAGGTGCCGGCAGTGCGCATGAGTGACTCCGGAACACAGACCAGCACCACCATAACCAGTGCGGGGACCCAAACCACTGTGGCCACCCGGGCAGCGAGCTCCCAAACCGTGACTCGGTTCGTGTCGGTCACCACCCAGACTGATGTGGACGAGAATGTTCTCTTTCCTCAGGGAACCCAATCTAAAGAAGGGTCACCTGTCTCTAAGATGTCTGTCTCGAGATCTTCCAGTTTGAAGTCTTACTCCTCGCTGTCTTCCCAAGGCTCCGTGGCAAGCTCCATCGGCTCCCATTCTTCCATCCGAGCCACCGACCTCGTCCTTCCTGGCCATTACAAGTACTGGGGCTCCCCCCACTTCGACTCCCTTAGAAACTTGAATAAAGAGCGGCAGTTTCACTTTTCTGGCATCAGGTCCCGGCTCCACCACATGCTGGCTATGCTCTCACGGAGAACAGTTCTCACCGAGAACTATCTTGGCTTTAATTCTGGACATTTTACCAGAGCACCAGTTAATTTGCTGACCATCAGAGATATTGCACTATACCCTTCCTATCAGTGACTGCCGCGGCAGATGCATCCAAGCACACTGCTTTACCAGATGTCTCCCGTCCCTGGTTTTCCTTCCCTTGACCTGTCACCCTGCTTTTCTCTGAATTCTCTAAACTGTTTCTTATTTTCCATGCTTTTAATCTTATTTTTGTCATGCATAAACCAGCTATTGGTTTTAAGGTTTGAACACTGTGGGTATGGTTTCTTTGCACAATTTTAATACTGATGTCTCTTAAAGAGAATGTTTGGGGGTTCTCAGGTAAGAGATAAAAATATGTTTTACATTTTTCTGGATTTGTGTATTACTCTGTTTTACTGCTTTGAATCACTAATTTTTATGATTAAAATTCTGTTTAAACTTAATTGTCTCTTCTTAGGATGTCTGTGTTTTAGAATTAACTAAATATAAACAACTTTTATTTGGTGATTGCTTGAGTGCCTTTTTACTGTACTTCTTGAGTGCCATTTTTCTTTTTTGCTTTCAGGCGTTTTTCTTTTTTAACTTTTGGAGTGCGTCACAAGTAATGCACCTAATAGCTATTTATGTAACTTTTAAAACATCACGGTGTGGAGAAAAAGCAGATGATCCAAATTGTAACAGAGAAAGTATTTACTTAAAAGTTAGAGGACCTAAGAAGCAAGTGTCCCCTGGCTGGTGTGGCTCCATTGGTTGGGCATCGTCCCGCAAAGTGAAAGGTGGCCGGTTCAATTCCCAGTCAGGGTACATGTTTGGGTTGTGGGTTGCAGATTCCGTCCCTAGTCGGGGCACATGTGAAAGAGGGAACCAGTCCATGTTTCTCACATCGATGTTTCTCTCCCTCTCTTTCTCCCTCCCTTTCCATCTCTAAAAATAAGTGAAATCTTAAAAAAAATAATAAAACCAAATGTCAGGGTTACCCCTTTCTTAACAATAAGAATATTGACGTTACTATCTCTGTAGTTTGAATGAGGACCCTTGCTACAAAATTCACAGGTCTTTTTGTGTGCCTTTAGCTTGTCTTTTTCCAAAGAAAAAGCCTGAGCTATTTAGACAGCACCCTTGCTTCTCCTCTTCTCTGCGAAAGGCACAGATTCATCCCTGATATTAACTCTGTCTAATTTCATCAGACGGGTGTATTGACAGTGATGTAGCAATCTAACCCTGCAGCAGGGGCAAAGAGGACACTGACAATTATCCCAGATTTCTAGTCCATCAGCAGGCGAGGCAACTGGTTTCTACACCCTGCTAATCAGGGGCGGTGCTGCTGTGCAATCCTGTTTTTGTCTAGTCTCATTTGCACAGGCAGCCCAAAGACATAGCGTCCAGTGATGGCTCCCTCCTCCTGATCTGTCCAGAGCAAAAGAAGTCTTTAACAGGGGAAGGCGCCATCTGCCGCAGAGACACAGGCTGACGCATGCGTGTCTGGTGTGCATGCGTGCACCAGATGCCCTTATGGTCACCAGGTTATTTGCTGAATCAGTTTTATAATCTGGGCTGTGAAGCCGACCAGACAGCTGGTTCATGTCCGGTTGTGAAAACAACTCTGGCCTAAGCCTCAAATAAACGTTATTGGAAACCATTTAGAGATTCAGATAATTTCCTATGTGTTATATTTGATCCTCACAATGGTGTAGCGGTTGGACAGCTGTTATTCCCAATTTTCAGGTGAAGAAACCAAAGCTGAGTTTCTTGTCTGAGCATATCCAAGGTTACATGGCTAATAAATAGTAACACAAACATAGGTTTTCAGATTCTAGGTTCAGTATTCTGTTATGCTACTGTGCCCTTACAGAGAGTTAGGGAGGCATTAGGAACAATGCCTTGAGCCCTGGCTAGTGTGGCTCCATGGATTGAGTGCTGGCCTGTGAATGAAAGGGTCACTGGTTTGATTCCCAGTCAGGGCATGTGCCTGGGTTGCAGGCCAGGTCCCCAGTGTGGGGTGTGTGAGAGGCAACTACACATTGATGTTTCTCTCCCTCTCTTCCTCCTTCCCTTCCCCTCCCTGTAAGAATAAATAAAATCTTTTAAAAAATAAAGTCTTTTAAAGAAAAAGGAAGCATGCCTAGAGAAATGGCAGTTAATGCCATGGTGAACTGCAAACATAAATTTTAACCTCATAAACAAATGTGGGCGTGCCTGAAACTTCACCTCTGTGTTCTATGGGACTACGCACAGGCATTCATAAAAAAGGTTCTGTGTTCCCTTTGGGAAATGGTGGATCACATAAGTTTAAACAGGATTCTTGACTGTAGGTCGCTCAGACTTTTGAATGAGGTGATGAGCACGCTGACTTTCATAGAGGAGGGCGGGCCTATTGCAAGAGACCTCTTTTTGTGCACAGGGCTCAAATCCATTCTCTGAAAGTATTGCAAGCGGTAAAAAATAACAAAAGGAGTATGGAGTCCTAAGGAAATGACCCCACCTCTCGGCATAAGCAAAGCTTTTCTGGCACATGCCTGGAGAGTATTCCTGTAGCACAGAGTTTCTCAAGGTGAGATCTGAGATCCATCTGCATCAGAGTCAGCCGGGTCTTTGTTTAAAATGTTGATTAGTGGCCTCACTCCCAGGGGAGGGGGGAGGTGGTGAGTGTGGGACACTGTTTGGTTCAAGAATATTTGTTGCCACTCCCTGGGAGAGAATTATATTTCTTTATCTAATAATGTTGGACTTGGCCATTGCTGACAAGCTTGTAAATATTTCAGTACATATCTAAGAGATAAAGGATTACTTAAAGGAAAATGGAACCACACCACCCTGATCATACCTAAACAACTCTGATAAAAATGCCTCCTTGTCATCCAATGGTCAGTATTCAAAGATAGTTGTCTCATTTTTTTCCTCCCTGGTCATTCTGTTTGAGTCAGATCCATCCATACATTTCCAGGTCAACCTGATCAAACTGCAGGGTCGACATCCTCTTGAAAGACTTAGGGTGGCCACTGGAGAGACGGCCTCCCCACCTCTGCGGGTAGTTGGGCTGGGGAGTCTCTATACTTTACTTACGGGACTTAGGGACTTAAAGACACAAGATCATGTAAATAAAAAGTTACATGACAAAAGTCCAAGGGTGAGGAATGAGTCAGGAACGAGGCTGCAGGTGACCTGCACACCTACTTAGTTAGACCACACGTTTAACTTGAGGTTCTCAGTGGCCAGGGCAGAAGGAGAAACCTGATTGGACCTACTATTTGCAATGTTCCTAAGACGAAGGCAGATCCAGGTAGAGGAAGAACAATCCTTGGTACTAAAAATCCGGTAAGAATTTCTCACAGGTGTCCGCTCATCAAAATGATAGTTAAGCATCCTGACAATGAGCACAATGACAGATATTCTTTCTGGGTGTGCCCAAACACTAAACTTGGCAAGAGTAGCTGTACAAACTGACTTGGATGTACTCACAGGTGTTGTGTGAACATTTTCAACATGTGCTTTATGTTGAAAATGTTCAGATGAGCATTATTACATGAGGCTCACTGGTGCCACCCTCCCAGAAACATGTCCCAGTTTGCCTGGCAGAGTTGCAGTTCGTGCCCGTGAACACCCCATTTATTCTCAAGTGTCCTGGTTTGAACAATAAAGCATGCAGCCTTCCTCTCTCGAAAGCTCCGGACTGACCTCAGCAGGCCCTCCCCGGCTCATCTGATGCCAATGCCACACATGCGTGGTTTCTTCGGGCCCGGGTGGCAGACTGCCCTGGTGGCTGGGTCTCCTTCCCAGTGGATCTCTCCACACCTCCGTGCCCACGGCCTTGGTGCTAAGCAAACACTTATGCTAACATGTGGGAACTCGATCGTTCGTGTGCAAGCCAGCAAACCAGACAGGTTGACATGTGTTATAGCTTTCAGTGGGCTGCACCTTAGCCTCAGTGGAAAATCCCAGTATGGTATGATTCAGTAAGAGCAATTCTATAAGGAAAACCTCTTCTCAGACTGGGAGGTGGCTCTCTGATCTAGCTTGCTAAAGTAGACCCCAGGGAACTTAGGGTTTTTCTTAGGCAGCCAAGAGTTTTAGTACATGACTACAAGGACAGTGTAGTGGACATCTGTCATTTTCACTTCATCCATTTACCCTCTGAAACTCCCCCTCAGATTTCCCTCTGTTCCTAGCTGTTAGTCAGTACCTGCAGTTCTGGTGAAGCTGACCACACCTGTCTTGTGGTGGAGCGTGGCCCAAGTGTAAGCCATTGGCCCTTGTGACCGATTCGCGGGGGGATGCATGGCCAGGTACTTTTGCCGTGGATTTCTGGAAAAAGCCGTGATGCCGAGAGGATGCGGTGGCTAAGCTGACATGGCCAGCTAGTCATCACGACACCTGGGTCACTGGAAGACAGAACAATATGATCACAAATGCAGCGGTGTCTTGAGTCAGAACTACTTTTGGACTTTACACGAGCCATTTTCACGTAAGTGAGAATATTACTTGTTACATAAAAGCATTTACTGGCACAAAGACAAAAACTCCTAAATCTGCCTCCTAAACAGGGCCAAGATGGTAGGGCTGGAAACAGTTCAAAGCAGAAAGTACCAGTTACCATAGGCACAGAAAAATTTCTATCATGTACTCACGAAATGTGATTTTGAGGAGCATCTTTCTGGAAAACCTATTATCATGCAGAAGTTGCAGAATGTGTCCTTATGTAACAAAATGATCAAACTTTGATGAATTGTTGGCAATGAACTAAATAAATTCTGGATGCCATCTCAAGACATAATGGTTTTCATTTTGGAGTTGTTACTTTAGGCCATTCTTTCTGAAAATAGTTAATTAGGCAAGACAAGAGAGTCTACTGAGACCATTCTTGGTTTTTGATGGTAAGACCAAACCATCAACATCTAGGTTATTTCTTAGATGTTTTCTCCAATAGATACTTATAAGCAAAACAATCTATTAGGGACAGCTGGACTTGGAGAACTTTCTGGGACAGGTAAACTAATTCTCACCTAGGAGAGTTATGTTCTGGTGGTTTTAAATGGTGCATGTGGTTGGAAAAAAAAAAATAAACCATTATCCGGGGAATTAGAAAGCCTGAATTCTAGTTCCAGTTCTGATGCAAAATTAGCTTATTGACTCTGACCAAGTCCTTTTAACCTCCATGGGCCTCAGGATTCATTCTATAAAACAGTATTTAGACTAGATGTTTTAAATTTTTTTAAGTAAGATTTTATTTGAGTCAAACTGACAACATATACTGGGGAGCAAGATTTCAAATGCTTTTCCAGATCAGACATTGGCTGAATTCTCCTTCAGCTTTACTGTCTCTTTGTAAATAGGAAGACTTCTTTATATAAATCATATGAATAATTTATAAAGTACAGAATAAAAAGTGACAGTTATTGCATTTTCCTTTGCATTCATGGATAAGCTCTGTTTTCTGTACTTGAGCCTTTGATGAAATAAGACAAAAATAAAACAAGGAAGAATCAATGTTATGAAGAATGTTAAAAAAGTATAAAGCATGGTGTTCACATATACATTTGCTCAATAGGCACTTTTGTTATTGGGCTAGAAATATGAAAGTGACATGGTCCTTGTCCTTAAGAAGCCTGCAGTGTAACAGTGGAGACTAACTATAGTTCCACTGAGCAAGCTTTATCACGCAGGGATACACTGAGCACACAGGTCCTGGGTCTACAGAGCGGGGGAGGCTTAAGCCAGATAGTGAGCTTAGAGAAGAATTCTTCCAGCTGACCACTATGAGGATATGTTAAGGGGTAGATGGAGAGTTCTAGGCAGAGGGGTCATCAGGTACTGCATCCAATTTTCATTATTATGGAAATAGAGAAGACACATGGAAAATAAATGTATGCATGTAAATTTGGATTCACCCCCTTGGTGAATTTGGTCTATTTGAGTTAAGGAGAGCTAACATGGATTGAATGAATATTTGCCAGGTCTTACGCTGTGTTAGGGACTTTACATGTTATCTTATTTAATACAACCTTTTAAAATATTAGATGACAACCTGGAGGTGGGAAATGGCAAAGTTAGGATTCCAAGTCATATCTGCTTGTCTCCAACCCTTGATCTCTCCATGGCTATGTCATTTCTCTGAGCGTGCATAATTTTCTTCACAGCTCCGAAAATGGGTAGATTCCGAAGCCTCTCCCTTCCAACTAGTTGCCTACCCATAAAATCTTTGTAAAAGTATTGTAAAATCTTTTACTTGGGCTTATTAGCTCTTGTTAGTGAACTCATTCTCAAGCTTGTTGATTAAAAAGAATCCTTTGAAGGGAGTTCTTAAAATGCAAGTTACCAGGCTTTGCTCCTGGAGATTTCTGACTGAAGAATGGACTAGGGACTAGTACACACTGTATTTTAAACAAGCATTCAAATCACATGAACAATCAAATTGTCGGAAACGCTGTGTTAGTGTCCTAGCCAACTGGTCTGCCATTTCTAAGCCTCTTAGTCCAAACTATTTTCATCTCCGTTTTTCAGCATTACTCTCAAGTCCCCTGAAGACTTCCTTCCACACCGTTCACCACTGTTTCTTTACTGATAGTAATAAACAGTTTACAGAGCACTTATTTACTATTCCCTCTCGCCTCCACTCTGAACAGAAGCTCCACGAAAGAAGGGGCTGAAACTGCAGTACGTGGGCGCTCCGGAAATATTTACTGAACCAGCAAACCCACAAGGCAGTTATTATTATCCTTCAACTTGAAACTATGGGGGAGAGTAAAAGAGAAACGGTAAAGCTGAAAAAGCTTGCGACCTAATTAGTATTCAGCAGTTAATTTTGGATGCACTCCCGCCGTTCCCACTGCCTGCCAGCAGTCCCTCCCCCAAAGTTCGCCCTTCTGAGGCAATGGTCCGCCACCCAGGCCAAGCCACGGTACTAGAGCGGCTACTTGGAACGGCGACCCACTGAACTGTCGCGCCCTTTCTTCTCGAGATGGGTATGGATCACGTGGGCCTGAGAGCGGGGCTGTTCCGGGCTGCTCGCGGAGGACTGGCTGTCCACCACGTGGTGCAGAAGGCTGGGTTGCCCCACTCGCGGGCCACGCCTCCCAACCCTTCCCGGGGCTTGCGCGGAAGGAGGCGGGAGGAGCCTTCCTTGTGACCTTTCACCCCAGCATGGCTGCGCCCATGGGACCAGTGAAGTTCTGGCGACCGGGTAAGGCTTTGAGCAGAATGCCGCGTAGACGCAGCCGACTGACTTTGGTTTTGGCCTGGCTGCTGGCGTCCTGCAGCCTGCGGACCTGCTCGCAGGCCTAGCCTCGGCCTATTGGCCACAGCCACCTCGATGATGGTCGGTTCTTGCGACTCCAGTGCTCACAGTGGTCCAGAGGGATTCGGGGGTCACCTCCCAGCCTGGGCAGAAATTCTCTCTGTGACCTTGTTTGAGTCTCCCAGCCTCTCTGGGCCTCGTTTCCTCACTCCTGATGCCTGTCTTGCTTAATCTGCGATATGGGGAAACGCTAAAGCGCCCACGCGTGTCCTGTTACCTCCCTGGGGCTAACCGGACAGGCGGTGCCACCTAGGATTTAGGAGCTCCAGCTGTGGAGTCAGACTGCATGGGTTGGGATTTTCTGCTCTTCCCGTAGTGGCAGAGTGCCTTTGGGCAAATCACTTACTTAATCCTTCTGAACCTTATCTTCCTCAGTTGTTAAACGGGCGGAATTATAACATTTATCCTTGAGCTAGAATAAGGAGCACTAACAGTTGTCTGACGTAGAGTAAGAGCTCCTAAAAAGGGAAAGTTCCTTATTTTGTTTTAGAGTAAGTCTTGTCCACTCCAACTGTCTAGCAGAAAGCGAACTCCTTCCTATCGGCTGACAAGGACTTCCCCTCTTGCAGTCTAACACGAATCTCAGCCCTAAAATTCTTTGCTTGCTTTATTTTAATTTTCTCTACTAGGATTTTATTGGATGTGTACGTGTGAGACCCTGCTAGATGCCGTACTTCCTCCCTTTCTATGAGGTTCTCCTGAAAAAACACGTTTTTCCCCCACACTGCTTGCACCTTTGCCAGTCTGCATGTGCAAAGTATATTGCAGCAAAATTGAAATGAGACAGAGAAGGTAAAACAAGGAAAGCATTTAACTTTAAAGGGTATTTTAGAGTGGGTCCCTGAAATTCTAACCGTGTACATATGTGATGTGGGAGATAAAACTATGTAAGAGATGTGTTAGTCACAAACTACAGATTTTAAAAAAGAATTAACAACAATTTTATGATTCAGCATTTCAAAGTCATTAGCCAATTATCTATCCATCCTGAATTTTATTTGCAGCCAAAACTAAGCTCCCATTAGGTAACAGGGGTACCTACCCTCTGTTTATTCAAGCCTTTAATAATGGGTCAAAGTGTGAAATATAATAAAGGCCTGATGAATGAACTGTTGAAAATCAAACCAGGATATTATTTTAGTTAAAGAATGTGGGATTACTCTAAGAGTTTTATTCCATTATTTAGTTTATTCACTGAAGGTATATTTACTGTACATCAAATTTTGAGGTCAGGAGACAGATACAGAAGACCAGGCATCTACTTTGCTCTCAAGGTTTATTCTCTGTCTCTTAATCATACCATGAAGTTCGATACCCATTAAAGAAGATTTTAAAATGAGGCAGAAAAGTGGTGGTAAGGAAAATGGGCCCTTGAGTTAGGTGATAGAGCTTATCCTTGACTACCATTTACTAACTCGGTGACTTGGCAAAGTCACTTAAGTGCTGAAAGTCTCAGTCATCACCTTATCTATAAATTAGACATAACACCTACCCAGAGGATTGTTTTAAAGACTAAATGAAAGTACGTGTACAGCTGTTAGCACTAGGCGCATATTAACTATTATAATTATATGGAAATACAGAGAAGAGGGAAAGATGGAATGTATGGATAAGAAATACTTCATATAGTTAGTGATATTTTTTTAAAAAGGTAGTGGGTTTTTTTTTGAGGCAGACACTGAAGCACAAGTAAGCTTTTGTTCCCTGGAGAAGTAGGAGAATGGAGCTCTAGGCAAAGGGCACAACATGAACAAAGGCAAAGTGGTGTGTGTGCCTCAAGAATGTCCAAAAAACCAATATAATTGAGTAGTGTGATGGTGTGAAGTGGTGGGGAAAAGGATGGGGCAAAGTAGGTTTATAGTTTTTCATATGGAAAACAATACAATGATAAGTAATAATAGAAGAACAAACTGTGTTTTGTATACTCACAACTGTAAACCCACTTTCTCCCCACCCTGTATTTTGGGGTTTAGCAGGAAATGAAGCTAGAAAGATAGGGGCCTTGTTGTGAGAGGTGTCATGGCAAGTTAAAGAATCTGCCCTTCATTGCTATTAGCAAGGGATGACATACATGATCAGGTTTGTTTTAGAAAGATAACTTTGGCAGTGCTGTGCAGAATGGTTGGGGGAGGAAATTTAAGTCAGGGATACCCTTAAGAGAAGGTACTACTAAAACTGAGGAAGGACATTGAAAGCCTTAGTTTCGGCCTGGGGGCAGTGAGGAGGGAGGGACCTTGTTGGAGGGACATTTTAGAGGCAGATATATGAGATGGTAAAGTCAGTAATGACTCAGATTTCTGGGTTAGGTGACTGTCTAGGTAAGAGGTTCTCAAATTTTGCTGCATAGTTGAATCACTTGGGAAGCTTAAATGTCCTGCCGTTCTGTCAGACTCTATGGCTCTAAATCAGAAGTCTGGAGGGCCAGGAACGAAACACATCAGTGTTTTTAAAAAACATTTCCCAGCTGAAATCAGCATGTCAAAGTGTGGGAACCACTTATCTGGATAAATTGTTGTCATCAATTGAGGGGGGAATGGATTTAGAACACACTAACTAGGCCCTAAGTTTGTGCTAGTCCCTTTTACTTGTATCATTTTATTAAACAGTCACACTATCTCTGTGATGGTGGTATCACTCTCATTTGACTAGGGGACGAAACTGAAGTTCAAGGTGTGAAAGTAGAATGTGGTAATTACATGGTGAACGTCAAGTCGGGGATTGAAGCTAGATGTAAGGCTAGATGTTAGAATCATGAACATGCCCCATAGGCTGGGAGTCACACATTCAGATAGCTACAGGGGCCTTTCAGGCAGTGTAAATAAGTGAAGCTTTGGTTGGAAGTAATGTGGAGTGTGGGGGCTGTGGCAAACTAGAACACGCATGTGCTGATATACACCTGAGCTTGCAGGTGCTAGCGAAAGCAGGAAGTTGTAGGTAGTTCTATCCAGTGGTTGTCGTATGGGCTCAGAGTTGCCCGATTTTATGCCTAATACCCAGATTTGAGTGGGAAATTTTTACGTTTTCAATGAACTATTTCAAATGTTTTAACCTAGGTGTGTTTGGGGACCTTGAGTGAGTAGTTTGCGATCTCTACCAGTTTGTGGTGTCTGCCTCACGAGCTCTCTCTGAGCTGCCTGAGCTTTCTGTTGGACCAGCCCAAGTGGATCAGAAGGGCCTGGCCATTTTTCTTCACTTAGTCAACAAATATTTCATGATTGCTGCCCACAGGCCTGGCAGAAACTTTATAGCAGCAACTTTGGAGGCTTTTTTTAACCTGACCTGCAGTAAAGAATATACTGTGCTGTGATCCAGCAGGCGTACACACACACCCCTGAAAAAAGTCGTACAAAAACAGTATTGCTTCCTAGGACACACTCCGATACTTCCTATTCTGTTTCTAGTTCACTATTAAAAAGTGCTGGTCATGATCCACTACATTAATTTCATAACCCACTAATGTGTCACCACTTCAACTGAAAACTGTGTGAGAAGGAATGCTAGATTGAGGGGGTTGCTGTTAATCAGCCTTTTAAAAAAATATTTCATTTATTTTTAGAGAGGGGTAAAGGTAGGTAGAAAGAGAGGGAGAGAAACATAGATGTAAAAGAGAAACATCAATTGGTTGCCTCGCATACCCCCAGACTGGGGTCCAAAATCATTACCCAGGAATGCGCCCTGACTGGGAATCAAACCTGTGACCCTTCTTCACTTTGCATGACGATGCCCAACCAGCTGAGCCACACCAGGCAGGGCCATTTATTAGATTATCGAAGGTATCTGGGCCTCCCCAAAATGTAAATCGAAATCATTGGGCTAGATATTCTTGTCATAAAGGATGTTCTTTCACATACCATCACAGAGTCTGAGTTCAGAAGACCTGCGAGGTAATAGTTTTGAGTAATTACCCCTGTAGCACCCCCAAAAGAAGGCTGCGCGCAGCATGTTTGAACGTAGAGAAGCTTTTATTGCTGCACGGAGGCACCGTGCCCCAGTGCTGGGCAGCTCTAACTGCTGAGTTGAGTTCTGAACCCTGTGTCATTTACTGATTACTCTTACTTCTGTCCTAGGGCTACACAGACAAACTGGCATGAAAAGTTGTGGAAGTGATCATAAAAATGCTCCTCCTAAGGCGTTTTTCTTTTCAGGCTAAAAATCTATGATACCTTGAACAGTTTTTCATGATGGGATATATGGCTTCCCTATACTTCACCCTCCTGAGCACCAGGTCATCATTGTCCTTTCCAGGAAATGGCTGTGGAATATGTGGCTTAATCTGCTCAGCACAGCGGGTTCTTAGAACGGCACCTCCCATCCAGCCGTTCCAATTCTGTGATTCAAATGGGGGCCCCACTCCACTGGCCATAGTTGATTGGATTGGGCTGGGCATTGGACCTATGCTGGGAGAAAAGAGCCTCCCACACCCTCAGACAGCACACACCTGCGGCCCCCAGTGCCCCCCGTACTGGCTCTTTAATGTTCTCCGTACACATACTGCCAGTTCACACACTAAGTTACGTTCTGTCGGGAGGAAGAGTAGAGGCAGCGGTAAGCTGCGCGGGGGTAGGCCTGCCCCACAGTGTCCATGCTGTGTCTCCGCGCTTCCTCCCTGCTGGGTGAGTGAATGAATGATTGGTGGAGGGACTGTGGGCCTGAGCTGTGGCACTGTCAGCGCGCCTGATTCCAGCTCCTGTAGAGAAGCCACCCTAAGGGATAGAGAGGACCTTGTCGAGAGGAGCAGAGATGAGAGAAGAAGAAGGCCCAGGCAGCCTTTGAGTCCTGGTTCCTGTGGTCTGTGACCTTGCTGCTGTCCTACAATACTAGGACTCATCCGTTGCGTTAGCTAATTCCCACCAGGTTTCTGTCACTTTTGCTAAGGCTTGGTTGATAATATGGATAGGGAGGCCAGAACTGAAAACATTGTCCTATGTAACGGACAGTCGTGTGGGGCCAGTTTGGAGCCCACTGGGACTGGACCTCCTTTGTTCTTGAAACTGCAAATGAAGCCTACAGAGAATATTTTTGTATTTTTATAGGTATTGTGCTTTTCTATATGCTTTCCTGAAGTTAAAGTTTAATACCTCTCAGTATTTTGAGATCATATGTATTGCTTCTGTTGTATAGCTTCATCTTTGAATTTGTAACTTGTGCATATTTGTCTGTTTGCCGTATCAGAGAATCTGAAAAAAAAAAATTTCTGTTACAGGTACAGAGGGACCAGGTGTCAGTATCTCTGAAGAGAGACAAAGCGTAGCGGAAAACTCTGTGACAACCGTTGTTTACAACCCTTATGCCGCCCTTTCTATAGAGCAGCAGAGGCAGAAGCTGCCGGTGTTCAAGGTACGTTGGATGAGCATGTTCGTTCTGTTGGCCTGAAGCCGTTAATGGGCACTGGAGTGAGGTCGCCGTAGTGATTCTTTAGAACACAGAGAGCTCGCGACTCCCTTGTCTGCAAGGATGAACTTGGCACAGTGTGTGTGTTAGTTAACCTTGTGAGTCTTCAAAGTCCTTAAGATTTTTTTTTCAGTTAGATCTTCCGTATTGAAAACTGGAAGAAATGGAATGATGTTCTTTTTTCCCCCTCTTTGTTTTCAATTATGGACAAGTTCAAACATACAGAAAAACAGAGAAAATGGCACAGTAAACTTCTGTGCATCCAGCTTCAACAAATTACCAACACATGGCCAGTTCGGGCTTCCCTTTTCAAGGCCTGTTTCTTTAAACAAGATTAAATGGGAATATGAGGCGGCTTCTGTTCCAAGAGGTCAACTCCCACTGAGACAGGAACCGGATATCAGAGTGTTAAGTACGTGCCATGTGCACATCCGGACACTGGGTTTCATTCGTCTCATGACCTGGACGCACCTCTTGTCATCTCACAGGAGACCAAAGGGTAAACTAGGATTCAGAATATGTTCCTTTACAGTGAGTTGTGGTTCAGTACAGATGGACCCAGTCCACGGCCACACCTCCTCCCTGTTGCCACGTCCACCCGGGAAGCCAAATTGTAATCAGGAAGTGGGCTTAGAGCCGATGGGGATTTAGAAACAGTTGAAGGATATTTTATTTACACAGCCCCTGATGAAGGGGGATGAACTGTCCCTGCTTCACCCCATGCCTCTGGAATGACCCGAGTGGGTGTGGCCACCAGCACCCTGTCTCTCTCCCTCTCCTGGACAGTGCTGGGTGTAGCCCGCCAAGTTCTTATACTCAGGAAGCCCACCGTCTAGATTGCTAACTCCTCTCATATTAATATGTTCTTTTTCCAGGTGGATATTAAATGGCAGTCTTACTCATTTAGCCAGGTGGCTTTGGTAAGAGGTATATGTGGCCCCAAACATCTCAGTCACTCGCATACTGCCCGTGTCTGGGTTTCCTTCTCAGGTGGTTAACCTCACCCATCCAGTGTGAATGGAAACCAGTTTGGTCCCCAGGAGATGAGCTTACGGGCTCCCCGTGGCTTCCTCACCACGAGGGACACAGTTGAGCTGTGGCAAAGGGTCTGGACTTCAGAGTTCAGCCCAGGCTCCCTTGTTTGTGTGCTGTGGGGCCTTGCTTCACCATCCGAGCCTACAACACGGGACTAATAGTACCTCCCTCGTAGGATCGTTACAAAGACCAGATGAGGTAACTCAGGTAGAGCATTTAGCAAGATGTGTGACATGCAGAAAACATTCCAGGGCAAGAAAATTATTATTTACCAGGTATTTAATTTTGACGTTTTCTCGATTGATCCTTGTCTTCTAGTGATAGGATAAAGGAAGCCCCAAGTGAAAAAAAAAGAGTAAAGAAGAAGTTAGCATGTGTTGATGCAATTAAAATGGTAAGGAGAGGAGTATAAGTTACTGATAAAAGGCAAAGCAGAGTTTGAGCATAGTTAAGATCTCACGTGATGTTAAAGATAAATCTCAGATTTATTCATTCACCACTCCCCTGTCAAACAACTAAAACTAAAAGTAGCTTTGAAAAGAAGTTGCACTAAAGCCTCAGTGCATCTAAAGCCCACCCCCTTCCCCGGTGCCATCACGGGATGGCCTTCCCCTCGACCACCTGCCTGCCCTAGGCTGGCATTGTCTTTGGGCCCTGGACACGGCTGTGCAGGGCGTTGGAGCTCACCGGGGCCCTCCTCCACGCTCTCCGTGACTTGCCCGCCTGTGCCTTTCTTTCCGTGGTGCTGTCATTTCCCAGTCTCCCAACTGGAAATCTTTTTCTCATCTCTCGAATGTTGTTGCACTCTTTCCATTCGCCATGCTTCGCATTCAGCCTTGAAGTTCTCCCTCTCCGGTCAGCCTTGCGTGCTGCTGTCTGGCGTTCTCGAAACAGAGCCTGCGCTTCTCCGCAGGCACGGCCTGGGCTCCAGCTCTGCATTTAGGGCCTTTCCCAGCGCGGCCCCACCGACCCCCTCAAAACCCATTTCCACACCAAACTCTGAGCCTCTCGTGAGCTTTTTACCACACCCCTCTAATAGAGATTGTATAGTTTGCTTATTTCCATCTTCTTTCTTTCGCTTGTGTTATTTCCCTTTTCTGGAATGCCTTGTCTGTCTCTGTCTGTATTCAGATTGTCTTTCCAGTTTTCCTTGGTGTCCACTCATCCATCCATCCACCCACCCCTCCAGGATGGATCTACCATTTACAAAGTATCTGCTAAGAGCCCAAACCTTGTCCCTTCTACCCTACAAAGAGAAAGCACAAAATGCACAAAACTGACAAGGAAGCATCTAGATTAGTCATTAGGCCACTTGAAGCCAAATCTCCTCAGGCTGCTTGTAGAAATGGAGATTCCTGGGCCTGACCCTAGCCCTGCTGAATCGGAAACCAGTGGGGTAGGGCTAGGGATCTTCGTTTTTAACAAGTACCCTGAGAGATTTTCACACTAAGGTTTGAGGACTACATAATTAGGGCCTAAGTAAGGCCAAATTAAACACCTAAAACAGCTATCATGTGTTTGAACCAGTGAGGCAATATCTGGCTCCTCTGATCTTCACCAGATGCACGGCTGCCGAGGAGTCAGAGGGGCTACTCAGGGATCAGAGTGGGAGGGTGGGCGGGTTTCTTTAACACTTCGTTCCAAAGCCGGAGTTTGTTGAGACATTTCCATGGCTTTCCAGACCATCCAGTGTGTCTGTCACCGAATGTAGTACCCAGATACGTTCTGAAGCGCAGTAGTTAGGATGTTGGAATTGTCCGACTTTCCAGGGGCCGAATCAGCGTTTTTTCTCCCACCGTGTGGGTAAAGGGAGGCTCAGTTGAACTGTAGATGTAACCTGCGGGTACTTTGTTGTGAATTTGGAGTGAGAAGTAGTGGTGCAAGCATATTCTTCCTGTCTTTTTTTTAATGAGTTCCTCAGTGAAAAAAATGTTGGTTAGGTGATACATGCTTGCTGTGCAAAATGTGAAGCTCTCCCTCACAGCCCTGCTCCCCAGCCTCCCTGTTCTCTCCCTGGAGACTGCGCAGTTACCAGTTTCTTTTTCCCAAGGACAGTGTGTACATAAGCAAGCATGTTGTATTTACCCTTTAAAGCGCAAATTCTAGTGCATTATTTACACTGTTCTGCACCTTGCTTTAGTCCCTTCACATATCACGTATCTTGTTGACCACTGCGTATCAGTGCAAATAGACCTTTGCTCTTTTTTAATGAGTGCATGTGATTCCATTATTGGAATTATTTCATAGCTGATGTAAGCAGTTCCCTGCTGGTGGACGGTTAGGCCCTCCGAGTGTCTGGTCACTATAAACAGTGCTGCAGCGACTGTGCTCGTGTGTACCCGGTCGTTCTCGTGTATTTGCATGTCTGTAGTATGACTTCTTATCATTGAAGATCTTGATTCAAAGGGTGTCTGCTATACGTATTTTGGTAAGTTATTATACTCAATTAGAATCGTATCAGCTTACACTGATACCAGCAGTACCTAAAAGCTGGAAATACAGTTGATAGTCCTTTTAAAAATTTAGTTTCCTTTGGCAAACAGCTCATAATGTTTAGATGCCTTTGAGTAGGTCTCTTGAGAAAAATGTATGGTTCTGCTTTTTCAGCTTAGGAATCATATATTATACCTGATAGAAAACTACCAGACGGTGGTGATCGTTGGAGAAACAGGATGTGGGAAGAGCACGCAAATTCCCCAAGTGAGTATGGATTTAAATGTGTCTTTGCACTTGGACTTGATGGGAGGGGTTTGCATTTGGACTTCATGGGAGGGCTTTCAGAACGAGAACTTTCTTCACTATCATTTACATTTTTACAATCTTCTCTCAGAGAGGAAGTATTCAACCCAACTAGATATTTTCATTGAACTTTTGGGGCTTATAATTTCTTTGATTAGTACTAAAGTAACGGTTTTCAATTTATTATAATTTCAAAATAATAGTTGAATAGCCATACTCCGAACGGAACAATGGGGACTGACTCAAAGAGGTGTAATGTATTGTTTTTGTCCTCAAATAATTATAGTTGAAGAGGAGGAGTAAAATGAATTATTGCTATATTGTGAATAAAAATTGACTGTTATGGAATTACAGAGGGACTCAGGAGAAGGTTCATGTTAAATTATTGAGAGATTATCAGTTATAGAATAATAATAATAATAAAAACTAATAATAAGTACCACATAAAATGATCACTTTAAGTAATCTATTTAACACTGCGATCTATTTTGGATTTAAAAAATGCATATAATCAAATAACTATATAACCAATATTATAGCAAATAAGTACATAAATCAAAGAAATACATATAGTCAAATTTTACAAATACTAATATAATTCATGGCATACAGGCATATGAATAAAATCTAATTATTTAATCTCCCCAAACTTTTTGTATGGTTGATGTTTATATTGCGCTCTGTCTAAGTGTACGTAAAAGTCTGTGTTCTGCAGATTTAGCACTATTTTTTATTTTCCCCCCTCCCCCAGCACTGTTCTGAGTTGACTCCTGAGTGGGTGCTGTTCCTTGAAGCGGCTCTAGTATGTGGAAGTTCTGTAAGACCGGGGCGTCACAATGTTGGATTTTGCCTTGGTCCTTCTGATTATCAGCTCTGATGTGGACTTAAACAGATTACCAACCATTTTCAAGCTTCAGAACCCTCATTTGCAAAATAATTTCTAAAATGCCTGTCGGGGCAAGAGCCATCTGTTATTTCTCTTCTCAGTGATTTTAACACAACCCAGAGTGGCCGTAGGGGAGCTTGTTTCTGGAGGAGTGGTGTCAGATGTGTACTTAGATGGGACTTTACTTGCAGTACCTCGCAGAAGCTGGCTGGACCGCGGAAGGAAGAGTTGTGGGAGTGACCCAGCCTCGAAGAGTGGCTGCCGTGACGGTGCGTGTCTGTTTCTCGTTCCTTTGTACTGCAAAGACTCCGTCGTGTGTTCTGTTTCAGTGACTTGACTTTTTTCTTATTCCCTAAACGCTCCACATGGATGTCACTTTGCTCATTAAGAATTTAATTCATTTTAAAAAGAACCATGACCTGGTTATTTTTATAAAATTGATCCCTGTACATGACGAAAATTTTAAGTAGTAGTAAGTACAGAGGAAGTTAAAACAAAAACAAAAAAAGAAAAAAAACACCCCAGATCTCACTGTCCAGCAAAAATGCTGTGGATGTTCTCTTAGGTTCACGTAAAGAAGAATGGTTGACTGGATGGATGCAAATAATTTTATAAAGATGGGATCGGGGCCATATATTTGCTTTTGCTGAATTTAACAAAGGAGGAAACTACAGTGAAAAAGTAGTTATGTTGAACTTCGGATACATATTGTTTACCATGAGAGAATTTATTAACTCATGAAAACAAAAAAGATTAGGGAAAGCTTTAGGGTGTTACTTATATTTGAAACTATGTTATAGGTATTTTCCTTCTATAAGAGTGAACACAATTATTTTTTCATCGTTCCCCTCCATTTGTTATAGATGCAGTGTTGTAATTTTTATTTCAAGGTTTATAAATATACATTCTTTTCTGTAATCATAACTCCCACAGGTCTTTAATTCCAGTTTAGTTTGAATGTTCATCACTAATGATTTCCGTTGCTTTGCCAACCTTGAATTGCTTGGTTTGCTTTATTGCTTGATTAGCTGCATGTTACATGCCTGAGAATGTTTGATTGTGTTCTTTGTTGATAGGAAATTCTTGGTTCCACTCTCCTTCCCTGGAAAGGGCGCAGAGGCCGCGACCTTGACTTTTGTTGTGGAGGCTCCTTGGACAGAAGTCTGAGGCCCAGCAGGACTTTCCTCCCCTCCCTCCTGGCTGACCTTCCTGCTCCAACATGTTTATGACGGTTTTTGCACCAGCACGTGTCTCGATGCTGGTGGCTGTCTCGTTTTTTCTTAAACTGGAAGAACTTTTAATCTTCAGGTTCAAATCTTTTTGTATCAGGCAGGTTTTCTTCTATTATATCTTGGCACAGTTTTCTGTTCCATTTATTTTATTGCTTTTCTGAGAGTATTGATTAAGGGTATACCAGATCTCCTTTGTTTATTTTTAGTGTTTATCACCATCTCTGGAGTCATGTGCTCTTTTCTGCTTGGTTTTGTGAGATTTCTTTAAGCCTGTCCACAGTGTTCATGATTGTTTTCAGTCAAGTTTATTCTGTTATATCTGAATCCTTTGTATCTCTACCTGGGTCTTGTAATTATGTCTTTGAATGTTTTTCTTAATGGATAGAGAAGTAAATATTTAGAATGGGAGGAGATATTATATTACATTATAATTTTTTAAAGCAGATAATGCCACAAGCATTTTTTTTAAAGGACAGGAAAATAACGGTGCTTTAGTTAACTAACTGCCTGACACATTTCTGTAAATTTTTTTCCCATGCAGTTTTTGGCAGCTTTTGCATCGATCCCCTCTTCACATGACGGTGATTTTCTCCTACTTTCCTGCAGAGAGAGTAGTACTTTCGTGTTAAACCCAGCGTGGCTGATTCAGATTTGCTTTTCATTATTGACACTGTGGAGAAGTTCCTTTAATTTTGTAACTGGCTGTTTATAGCATTGCATATATTTTCGGGGCTCTTCTCAAATTTGGGGAAAGCCTTTCTAGCATCTTTCATCTGTCGTGTTTTCAGACCAGCTTTTGATCTGAACAGTTGAGACCTTGTTTCTCTTTGATTTTCTTTGACTTTGTATCTGTTCCTGAACTTGTTATTAACTTAAGGTTGTGATTTCTTCAAAACTGGATTTCTTTGGATGAATTCTACTTCTGATTGTTTTTTTTGGGGGGGGGAGATAATACTTTTAAAGTCTCCTTTTAAATTGCTTTTTTGCCTATGTCCTTTTCTTTTCCTACTTTCTTCATTGGCTTTAATGCAATGGGCTCGTGTTAGTACGTTTAATGGCTGCAGGATTGTGACGTTGGACTGGTCTGGACAACGAACAGCCTCTCAGCAAATCTCTTAACCTCCTTCGCTGCGGGGGACAAGGATGAGGATGAGGATGTGGTGGTACACTCCTTGATGAATGAAAGGTCTGTAATGACTGAAGATAAAATTCTCTGAGCTCTCGGACTTGGAATTTGCTGCCTGCTTCTGATTGCCTGCCTTCTCCCTCAGCTCCCCGCCACCCCCTTGAGAGTCTTTGCTGTCGGAGTGGGTCCCCCACTGAGACATTTCTTACACCTTCACCTTCGGACCCTGAATACAGTACCGCTGAGGTCTTCCCGATACAGGGGTTGTCGGCCCTGGCTGTTAGGGTGGCCGCGCGGATGTTGAGGGAGCCAGCCCCCCGCTCTGGCTGTGAGGAGGCGGGGCCTTCCTCCTGGTTCAGACCCACAGCGTCTGGCAGCTCTCCTTCCTCGTGTACTGTTCGGGCTGCTGCTGTTTCCTTCTTTCATCGGGGTGGAGGTTTTGGCTGATAATATGTTTTTTTCTTTCCTTATTTTAAATCAGCTCTGAGAGGAGGCCATCTTCACCTGGACGAGGAGTGAAGTCTATTTTTGCTGTGTCCTGAGTTTTAATTATTGTGTAATCTTTTTTTTCCAAAGTTCATTTTCTGATTGTCTTCAAGTTAGAAATTATGGATAAACATTTTTCAGGTCTTGTGTGTGTGTGAAAATGGAGTTAACAGCTTGGAAACTACTTCACCTTTTATGTCACAAGAGATGACTCCGTTGCTTAAATTTTTCCCACTTGTGGTTTGGAATCCCAGCTCTTGATCAGTTTGCATTTTAGCTCCAGATTTATAGCCATGGATGATTCCCATGAATCCACATGCTTCCTCTGTAGAGAATTGAAAGTGTGTAAGTTCACCGTGTAATGTTAATAGACCTGTTGGATGTGAAACACTACATCTCAACAGTACTTTGTGCACAGACCGAGACCTGAAAACAGTCTCGGAGCCTCAGAACAGTTTGCATAAGCCGTTGCTTGGTCTCCATGAGAGGCAGTTACTGCTGAGCGAGGTCACTGAGCACAGAGAGCCTGGGTTTGGCTTCAAGGCCAGGGCCTGCCTCGCACTGTGATTCTGGACAAACTCTAAGCCTGTCTGATTTCATTTTCTTTCTTTGTGAAAAGGAGGTGTCTTGCCCACCTCATGGGCTGTGTACATATTTAATGAGATACAATTTATGAAAGCTTGGTGCACAGGACTGGCAGGTAGTTGTACTCAGTGATTGGTTTTCCTTTTACCTCCCTTACCTTGTATTTATTTGTTTTTGTCAACAATAATATTTGTTTAGTCCAATTGACAAGGTTATTGGGAGTATTATAGAATTTAATAGAGGTAAAAATCTATTAAAAGCCAGTAGATTATGACCTTTCAAATATCAAGTGGTGTGATCATAAATACATTTTTTAAAAAGTTTGAAAATAAAATACATACTTTTTATAGTAAATATGTATAAATAGTGAAGTAATAGGGCTAAGTAACTGGTTTGGCTTCTCCCTTATAAACTCAAAATGATTATATTTTTATGGAGAGGGTTGGTTCATTTATACTCATTCCTTTAAGCCTGTTTGCCCCATCAACTACTAGTGTTTCTATGCACACATTTGCCATTTCTGCCGCTTTCTGAGATTTATTGTACAATGTTCTGTCAGGTTGGAATTGGAACAGTAACAATAACAAACCTGTCCCGGTGAAATACTGTGTATCGGGAAATGCAACCTGCAGAATTAGAGCAGTGTAGGATGAATTTCTGGTTTCATAAGATGTTTTGAAAGAGTGTGTGGTGCAGCCCAGCTGCTGGGTGAGTGATCTGTTTTGGTCCAGCAGATCTGCGATTTCGAGTCCCTGGGCAGAGCCATTCTGATGCTCGTCTGCTCTTCAGTTGCTCAAGCACTGATGGCCGGATAACTCCTGGTGTGCGTGGCCTGGGAGCCGAGTGCAGGGAGGCTCTGGGCTCCTGGGCCCGAAGCTGTGGCCCAGTGGCTGTAACAGTGAACTCCGCTTCAGGCACGTCCTGAGACTGCCCACGTGCCAAACCCAGGACTCGGGGACTGCGTGGGGAAGTTGCCTCACGTTGGGTGGGTGTGCCAGGTCCCCAGGAAGCCTCTACAGCAGGGGTGTCCCACCTGCGGCCCGTGGGTCGCATGTAGCCCAGGATGGCTACGAAGGTGGCCCAACACAGATCATAAATTTACTTAAAGCATTATGAGATTTTTTTGTTTTTGTAGTATTGCTTCCCTTGGGTTCTTTTCAGTAATTTATGTTGTGAATGTTACACTTTTTATTTTAAACTAAATTATAAGCTTACTGCTCTTCTACTTTTCTACTTATTATTTCAAATATTTTCTACTAATAAGTTAATAACCTTTGACTGTCCTTGGGGGGGTTAGAGATCTTGCTGTTTTGTATTTTTCTGTTTCTCACACTCACCTTTCATTTGTCCTGTAATTGGTGGGTGAAAAGTCTATTGAATTGATGGGCTTCATAATATATTACGCATTTTCTTTTCTAGCATTACTTTATTATGTTAACTTGGATCCTCGGTTAATTTTCTCATCGGCTCATTGGCCCTTTGTTATTTTTAATCAGCATTCTCGTCTTTATTTCCTCTTTTAATGGTTTTAGTAGCTGGGACACTGCGGCAGGTTGGTTTAGGTTCTCTTGCTCTGGAAACATTATTCCTTTGCCTCCAAAGAGAAAGTGAGTTTGGCCTGGTATTGAACTTGATCATTCCTGTCCTCCTGCCTTCACGGTCCAGGGGCCAGTGGACGGTGCCTTGTTTCAAGGCAGAAAACACGAAGATTCGTGCCCAGTTGGTATGCTGAAGGCTTTAGGAACAGAGGGAGTCTCGTCACTTCTGCTTTCCTTTTTGCTTTGGCTTCCAGGAAATTTAGAGCTCAGTTTGTAGTTCAAGTTAAGTAACTTCGGCACATCCGTGTTTTAAAAATCTTCTCACTGGCCTGGATCTTTTAAATTTCACCTGTCATTTCTCTGATCCTGATCTGTAAGATCTTTTTGTGATTTTGTTTGCATCGTGTATATTCTTATAAGTTGCCTCCAGTTCATTCTGGAATGAGGTGGGATGTATAAAGTTAATAAATCACAAAGGTTATCATGCTTGTTCTCTAATAACCTGCCCCTTTTCTTTTTCCTCTGCGTTCACATGCTATTTAAAAGTAACTGACCTTGGTTCTGTCTGGCGTGGCTCAGTTGGTTGGGCATCGTCCTGCAAAGCAAAGGGTCGCTGGTTCAGTTTGCAGTCAAGGCGCATCCCTAGGTTGCAGGGCAGGTCCGTAGTTGGGGCACGTCCAGGGGGCAGCTGATTGATACATCTCTCTCTTTCTCACATCAGTGTTTCTCCCCTCTTCCTCCTCCCCTTCCCCACATCTAAAAATAAGTAAATAAAATCTAAAAAATAAGTGGCCTGTAGGCTTTCTGTAGTACGTGCTCTGCGCGGTAATTTCTGTGTCTGCTTCGAGCGTGGTCTTTCTTCCCACAGGTCGCAGGCAGAGTGGCTGATGAGAGGGGCGCGGTGCTGGGCCACGAGGTGGGCTACTGCATCCGCTTTGATGACTGCACGGACCCACTGGCCACCAGAATTAAGGTGAGGTGCTCAGGCTGCTTTTCCTGCTGTAAACAGGGAAGGCGATCACTTGGAGGGATTAAAAACATGTGGCAGTACTGCTGACCGGACACCTTTAGTTTGTGGGGAGGCACGGAGCCTCGAATCGTGGCCCTGGAAGGACCATGAAAGTAAGGCCTTGGTTCTGCAGATGAAGCAGCTGAGGACCGGGGAAGTTGAACGACTGGCCGGTGTTATGTCCCCGCCAGTGGCAGAGCCAGGACTCGAAGCTGTCTTTCTTGTGCATGTTTTATGGTTTTTCCACTGATCCACACAGCTGTTCAAATGCAGAAACCTGTCTGTTAAAGGCCTAAAACCAGAGACAAGGTAGTAAAAATTGATAAAAGTTTAGGACCTAGTTTTACTAGTTAGAACTTTCTGATTTTTACAAGATAATGGATTTTATATGTGTGTTCTTTGACCTGCATGCTAATATTAAAGTAATTAGTGCCAGTAATAATTAGCATACCATCAGCTCAACAGTGTCTACTGGGTACCATTGTGCTGGAATCAAAGTCTAGTCACATAGTACTCTGAAACCATCAGTGAAAATGCTTTGAGGAAATGAAAACTAGTTCTTTGAACGTTAACTTATCAATTTGCAACAGAGGAAAATTGAAAATAATCAGATGAGTTAAATGAGCAGTGTAGTGATTTGTAAAAAAAAATAATGGACCTTGTTTTCCAAATTTTGTATTTTGTTACCTTTACAGTCATTTTACTAGGTAAAGGGACTGTTCTTCTGTATCATTAAATATATTTACACTAGCTAACTTTTAGATAAATTTTAGTGGATTGTATAACCAAATGGTTATTTTAAAAACTTTCGTGAAAAGCTTTTGTATTCCATTGGGTCATACTTCCAATGCACTCAGTTCTTAACTGGTGGCCTGTCACTGGTTCTCAGTTTCACTCCGGGTGTTTATGTGGCAGCTGGAACCAGTTACAGGAAACACATTGTGGGAATGCATCTTGCTCTTGTAAACAAAATGTAAAAACACTAAGGTACAGCATGCAAGAGAGATGCTTAGCCTTGTTTAAAGTACTGAACTGTTTTCAGTGAGAGTAACAATATCTAATTCTTGTTGAATATTCCTAAAGCATTTTATAAACATTCATTAATGCTAAATGATAATAGCTGGCACTCTTGCACCCTGTATACTGGGTCCTGTGCTAAACACTTCACATGTACTGTCTTACTCAATTCTCACAGTAACCCTTTGAGGTAGGTACTTTTATTACTTCCCTTTTGCAAATGAGGAATCACGTCCAGAGAGGGTAAGTAAGTTGCCCAGGTTTCACACAGCTTGTAACAGGTAGAGCCAAGATCTGAACCCCCAGCAGTCTGACACCGGGGCCCATGTACTTAACCATGGTCCCTTCCAACCTCCCTGCAATGGTATCAGTTGAAGTTGCAATTGATTTCCTCAAGAGCTGCAAGCCCTTAGTTTCTGGGACATTTTAAGAACGGTTATCTCATACTTGTGGCATTTCCTTGGGCAGGCACAGGTCTGTCTTTACTGCCTGTTCAGCAATACCTGTGGAGCCGGCCCAGAGGAAGTGAGGCTTAGCCCACGTTTGGACAAGAAATGCAGGGGAAACTCAGCTGAAAGAATTTCAGACCCCAGCTGGAGGTCTCACGTTTAAAGTCCTGTTCGTGAGCAGTTCTCTTGCTTGATAACTGAAATGGCGGGGCATTTCCTCTTTGTCCTTACGGGGATTGTCTTGTACACATTAGTGCGGAGGTTGTTTAGTTGCACTTGAACTCTAAAAAAAAAGTCATTAACCTACAGTATAAAGTGGTGGTGGGAAAATGGAGACAACATATTTGAACATCAATAAAAAAATTCTGAGCTATAAAAAAACATGGTATAAATGAATTATTTCTAAATTTTCTTATGTGTTTGTTTTTTAGTTTCTCACTGATGGAATGCTGGTCAGGGAAATGATGGTTGACCCTTTGTTAACAAAATACAGGTAAATGTCTTTTTCTTATGATAACTTTCCCGAAGTTTCAAAAGCGCATGAGCACACGGAAAAGCAGTTGTGTCGGTGGCCGGGGTTCACGTCCGTGTACAGCTGCCCCAAAGCTTTTGTCCTGACTTTGGCTGTGAGGACCCTGTTGTTTTCCTCAGAATTTACACACAGTCAGAAAAGGGCAAACCACAGTCCCTGACGTTACTTGAACATCTGTTGATGCGTTTGCCTCTTACGTCCAGGGCTGCTGGTGACGAGTCGCAGCATGGACTGGGCAGCATTTGCTGCACGCAGTGCTCAGAGTCCAAATAACTGCCCTTTCTCCCCCGGGGTCTGTCTCGTCTGTCATTCTCGGCTTTAAAATTGTCCGACCCAGGCTCCGGGATTGTGGGAAAGGATATCCCACTGGGCTCCCTGGTACACATGCAGCACACCTGTGATCGTGTGCCTCTTTTTGCTACTGTATTTTCTGCAGTGTAACAGTCTTTTAGTGGTTGGACCTTGTTCCAGTTCATATATGCTCTATGGGGCTATATGTTATATGGTATATATTTTATATATTTAAAATCAGGTTTTAGATCTTATTGGAATCCAGTGTAAGAGGTAAGCTCTTTACGAGAACACTTTAAAAAAAATCCTCACCCAAGGATGTGTTCATTGACTTTTAGAGAGAGCAAGAGGAAGGTGGGGGGGGATATTGATGTGAGAGAGGAAACATTCCATACTTGCACCAACCAGGAATTAAACCCATACCCTAGGTATATGCCCTGACTGGGAATTGAACACACAACCTTTTAGTGTGCAGGATGACGCTCCAACCAGTTGAGCCACCCAGCCAGGGCGTGGGTGGTAGAGCTCTAAAGATAGCAATAAATACACCATTTTCTTCACTGGGTTATGTTAATGTCGCCATTTGTATTTGTCAGAGAGGAGTTACAGGGCTTTATTTTGACACAAGGTGGTTGCGTAGGGGCTAAGTACCCAGTCGTCCCTCCGATGATCTGGACGGGACTGTGCGGGTTGGGGGGGGTTGTCTGGACGCTCACCGAGCCCCTCCTTCTGACCGGCAGTGCCATCATGCTGGATGAAGCCCACGAAAGGACCTTGTACACGGACATTGCCATCGGCTTGCTGAAAAAGGTATGGCTTCGCTGCCAGGCATCTGTTTTTAAGGCTTTGTTTTGTTTTGTTGCCTGATTAGGAAAATGGAGGAGAAAAACTTTACATCCTCATCCATAACCCTAATCCTACCCATTCAGAGAAAACCACCGGTGGAAAGTTGGTGTGTTCTCTTCTTTCTCATGTGTGTACGGACCTCTCTGTTTTGGCACAGTAGGGATTGGGTTGTATGTACTGATTTGTACTGTGCATATTTCTCTTAACATCACATCAAAATCATGAAGTGTCATGAAGTATTCTTTGAAGATGTTATTTTTAATGTCTATATCATTGTATCTCCATCATAAAGTATTTGATTTTTCCCTTACCGTTAGGCTTGCAGGTTTGAAGTATGTTAAATAATGTCATAGCAGGTACCCTTGCAATGAAATCATTGCATTTTTGTTTTCCTTTTATTTTTCAAAACATTTTATTACAGCAAGGTTCAAACATGCCCCGGATAAAGAGGAAGTTTATGACCCCCATAGGCCCGTCCTTTGGCTTAGATAGTTGTAGCTTGTGGCCATTCTTGTTTCAACCTTATCTCTATCCTTTCCCACCTTCTGGCCTTTTTTTTCTTTTGTATTTTCTGATTGTTTCTCTTGGAAAAATTCCTGGTCACAGGAGTCTAGAAAGAAATGGCAGAGCAGTGAGTAAGCATCAACTCTGGGTCAGACCGCCCGGGTTCAAACTGACTGCTGAGCTTATTCATGTCTACCGTGGGGACAATGGAAGTGTCTGTGTGCGCGCTGGTGGGCTTTCCTGTATGGTAGCCCTCATCACCTTGGAGTTAAATCGGCTATGGTAGAGTAAAATAAAAAATTCAGTCCCCAGTCACACTGGCGGTGCCAAGGGGCCGCTGCAGGGGACGGAACCCCTGCACATTGAAGAGTCCTTTCGCACAGAGCTGCTGTTCTGTGTCACAACTGTTGTGAGGCTTAGATAAGACAATTAAAATTCACAGGGTGGCTCCTGGCACAGGGGCACCAATAGGCTCTGAGGTACTTCAGTGCAGAATAGAAGAAGGTGCCCCCAGCGGGGGGAGGGGAGGGCGGACTGACTTCTGACGCCCTAGCCTCCTTAGCCGGCACCTCGGTGCAGCACGTGCAGTACCCAGCGGTCCCAGGACCCTGGACTAGTGCGGAACCCAGCGTCTGTGATTTTATCCCTTGGCCAAAGATTTAGACTTCTGACGTTTGTGAGGGTAAATCCTATGCTTACCTTCTGAGGATCAGTATGATAACAGAGCTTATTTCACTGAATCTTGGGTGACACTAAATGTTGGTCTTAAAAAATAGATCCTTGCCAAGTGTGACAGATGAGACAACAATCTGACTGCTCTTACCTATCTTTGCTGTCGTTTATTGGTCACTTCTGTGCTTGTTGATCTCTTCCTTCTGATTACTGTTAATATCTTTTCCCCATATTTCTGCCTTGGTGTGACTGTTTATTGTTTGTTTGCTTTTAAAGTACTTTTTTATACTTTATATACATGGGGAGCAAAAGTAGGTTTACAGTTGTTCATATGGAAAAGAATACAATAGTTAATAAACAATAATTCAAGAATAAGCTGTTTCGTGTGCTCACAGCTGCAAGCCCACTTTCCCCTCCAGTATACATAGACTCTGACTGTCCAGAGACCCAGTTTTACTTTAAGTAAATTCAGATTCAAATGTTTTTTTTTCCATGTCTCCCCATTCACAATACAGGCCAGGCAAAGGGCCTGGGCTGAGGTGTATATGGAAGTAGAATGATGAGTCCTGTTTTTACCTATGATTTTAATAATTATCAACTTGTGGTGAGACTTGTTTCATCTGCAGGCTCCCCCTCACCCCCCCAAATACTCACATAAAATTATTGTCATGAAAATTTCAGATACCAAATCTCATCCACAAATTTGACAGTTACCGTTGTTTCATGATGCTTCCCTTTTAGATTCAGAAAAAGCGAGGGGATCTTCGACTGATCGTGGCTTCAGCCACCCTGGACGCGCAGGTGAGAACTTTTCCCCCTCTCCCCCTGACCCCGGGAGCCCTGGAACCCTTGGCCGTATCCGTGGGAAGTTACCTCCAGCAGTAGCTCATCTGTGGCAGCATGGCCTGCGTCCTCATGGGCCATCGGTGACCTAGATTCCACAGGGTTGGAGGGAACTCCTTCTCAGCCTGGGGTGGAATCTGACCTGTAATTAACCGAGTTCGTAATACCGACCTGTCTTGTTTCCCAACACGCTGTTTCTCCTCTCACAGGCAGCTGCTTTTGTTCTTTTCTTTTTGCTGTGAGACTATATTTCTTGCATTTATTTATGACTACAGCACTTATATTTAGAGTTTATGTACAATTCAGGTTTTCCCTGCACCTATAATAATCTCCATGTTATAATTTTTATGGCTGAGTTTGTATTATTCTCTTAACAACTAATATTTTAGTTCAAACAGCGGTTCAGCTCCACAGGTAATTTTGTCCTCTTGCTGTGTGTGTGCACGTGTGCATGCGTGTGCGTGTGTGTATAAAATAAATAGGTGTTTACAGTTCAGTGTGTCCGAGGTGCCGAGACGGCCAGGGTGGGAATTCCTAACTCCTGCCGGCTCCAGGGTGTCCAGCTTTCACAGGAGGGACATCCCAGTTGGGCTTGAAAGATGCACAGGAGTTCGTCAGGTGGGCGGGGAGGGAGGGGCGTCCTGAGCATGCGCAGAGCACAGGGGTGTGAGGCGTGTGCAGGAGGCTGGGAGTCCAGCGTGCGGGGCGTCTTACCTGTAGGGCCCACACGGGGTCATCTGCCTCTGACCCCACGTTCGCTGGTGTTTCTTACTCTCCAGCCTCACCCACCCCTCGCTATTCCTCAGAAAAACCCAAGCTTGCTTCTGCTCTGGGGGGAGCCTCTTTCTAGACTGTTCTTCCCATAGATGTTCTCATGGCTCCACTCTCCTTTCATCCCAGCCTTGGTCGGACATGACCACCTCAGAGAGCCTTTCTCCACCCCTCAGTGTCAAATAGGGCCCTGTTGCTGTGCGTCTTCTTACCTGTTTGTTTTTCTGTCTGGCACTTACCACTCCCTAACACCAGGCACACTTCCAGGTGCTTGTTTATTGTGTCCCCGTCATAAAAAGTGAGCTCCCCAAAGATGGAGACTTCGGCAGTCTCCCCCATTATTTTATCCCTTTGACCTAAAACAGCACCTGGTGCAAAGTAGGTGCTGTGGGTGGAATGAATTTTGGTTGAATAGGAAACAGTGGGGGTTAAAACAGAAAGGTTGGCGGGAGTCAGGGGATGGGGGCCTTGCAAGCCGACCAGAGGAGGAAGCACGCCATCCAGCAGCCGGTCGGGAACACTGGGCGGGTGTGAGACATGCGACGTGACCCTCTTTGGGCCCAGAAGGACCACGTTGGTGCTGTGTTGGAGGGACAGGAGAGCTGTGGACGTGGTGGTCAGCAGGCCAGCTTTATAGCCCAGTTGAGATACAAAAAAGGACGGCTGGCCCCTGGCCTCTCTGTACCTTCAGGACCCAAATAGCCTGAGGACAGCCAAGACTCGGCGTGAGCGGTGGCTCCCGTGTGCCCCGACTGCGTTCTCAGACCTTCCCGCGGGCTGTGGGAGTCGGCTGTCTCAGGTCTGCCCGCGATGGCTTCGGGGTCAGAGCTCCGTGGGTGCCCTCCTTGGTGAAATCTCCTGCCCTTCGCCCCGTGCCTGCTGGAATGCTATGTTGAGGACCATACCAGAGTGCTCCTCCTGGCACCCCCTCTGTGGCTAAGTTGTACCCAACATCTCTCTTTTACCTCTTATCTTTGTCACCACCTCACCTTTAAAGAATCATTTCCAACAGTTTATTGTGTTTGGAAACATCATGTCCAAGTCTGTTCTTAGAATGACTGCGAAGTAGTATTTACTGCTCATAATCGCCTTTTATAGTCTTTTGGTGTGACATAGAGATTGGAAAAAGTAGCTCCTTCTAGTTCTGGCTATAGTAGTAGCCAGACGGACTGCCTGGAAGTAATTTTTAACTGGGGAAGTGGAGCGCGGGAACTTGGCCGTGCCGTGGGAATGCTGAGGTGTGGACCTCAGCCGGGTTCCGCTGCGCCTGTGATCGGCTCCGGCTGGTCACCCCTTCACCCCTTCCTGGCCCATGCAGGGGAAGGTGAGGTCTGTGTGTGTGTGGGGGGGGGATCCGGGGGAGGGGTGAGTCAGTTGTGTGGGAGTGAGGGTGTGGGGGGGTGAGTGCGGATGCACGTGGGGTGCGGTTTGCAAGTTCCCGTGTGAGAGTAAGAGTGAAGAAGAGGAATGGAATGGCCATTCCATCCCAAGAGGTGGGAGGAGGGAGGAGTAGGAGTGGGCGTGGGAGTGGGGAAGGGTGCGGCCCATGTAGCATTTGATGGAGAGGTTCAGGGTGTTAGAACCTGACCCTGGACCCCCAGCTGCTGGACCTGTGGGTGACAGACTGACTCCAAGCCCCACTGCCTGGAGGAATGGGTGATGCCACCTGCTCTGGACTTGCCCAGGGCCCCAGGTGACTGAGCGGCAGGTGGGGACACCAGCACTGGGCTGGGGGGCAGAGGCAGGCAGAGTGTGTGGGGGCCGGTCCGGGGTTGCCTTCCTCGGTGCAGCTCCTTGGTTAATGAGCCTAATGAAGCAAGCAGTTACGGAAAACATGACCAGGTACAATTACAAAGTATTTACTGACCATTATATCACCCGCTGTTGTCTTTTTTTTCATTTGCTTCTATCCACGTGGCAGAACACAGGTTTGCTGACAACTCCCAGTTTTTTTGTCACAGGTCTGGCTACGTGATAAGAAACTGGTTTCTCTTTCCAGATTCCTAGGGAAGGAGTTTGGGGTTGGCTGGGGTCAGGTGCTCGCTGGGGACCACTCTGCACGGGCCGAGGCAGAGGTGGTGGCCCGCACGGGGTGTACGTGCGGTAGGCCTGGCTGCTGGGAAGGAAGCTGTGGTGAACGGTGGCGGGGGCAGCCCAGCGCGTCCACATCACTCACAGTCCGTGTCATAGGCTGTCCTCTTCCTTTATGTCATTTTGTGTTTCTTATGTGTCACTGTGACCCCGCCTCTTTCAAACCTGACTCTATCTAACTCTCCTTTTCCAGGTGAACCCATTTCACTATTCCGATCCCTTCGTTCTGCCTCAAAATGTTTGCATTGTTGATACTTTCTTTATTTGCTTTCTAGCCTGCATTTTTCTGTGTGTATTTTATATTTCCAAATAGAGATGAAAGACAAAGATCTTAAGGATTAGGATCTTATGCCCTCTCAGTTAGTGCTGAACGGTATGTCTGGAAAGAGCGACACTCTGTGTCAACTCTTCAACACACGCGTTCCTGAGCAGCGAAGGGGCAGCCGTCCGCTCCACCAGCACTGCCGAGGCCTCAGCTCCCTCCCTGTTCTGCCTTTTTGGTCCAAAGAGCCTTTCTGTTGAGCCTTCCTAAAAATCCTGCCCTTCCACCCGCAGCTTCTGGAGCCCCTGACCTCTCTCTGCGGCCTCCCCAATGGCCTCCCCTCAGACTCCTTTGCTGGCTGCTCCTCCTCCTTAAGGCCGCCCACGTCCTTTGTGCTTGAGGCCGTCCTGACTTCTGCGCCTGCACTCAGCCTGAGCCGCCAGCTGCTGGCTAGTTGCAGAGCATCGAAACTTGCAGACCTGTGACTCCTACCAACCTGTGACTCTCAGCTTCTCCGTGGCAGCCCCTTTCTCAGTGTGACAGTCATTCAGGCCCAGAATGTCCATTGCTTGGGGGACTGACTCAGGGAGAAATAACTCCATCCTCCGCAGCGAACCTGGGCAGTTGCTCACACCCCGATTGCCAGGTCACATCAGTCATGACCTCTGGAATGCTTTGCTTTCCCACCGCCCCGCCCTGCCTGGCCTAGTGCACACTTTCATTCTCTCACCTCTGAGCTGGTATAGTACCTTCCTTAATTAGTCTGCTGGCCTCCAGTCTCTTATCACAGCTGCGCTTCTTCAAAGTGGCCCCAGAACCAGGCATCTGGGCACAGGTCTGACAGTATGCCCATCCCACTGCTCTGGTCTTTTGCCGCTCTCATAAAGTGACCTGCAGCATGACACTGGGGCCCCTTTGAAGTGATGACAGTCACTTACTGTATAGTCATCCTGGATTGTACTTTATCTGAACTAGACAACAGTCTTGCAGCGTAGGTAGCCATCTGTTCATCTTGTAGACAAGAGAGTAACTCAGAGCTGAGGCTGGTCTGCCCTAGACCCTGGACTCTCCCCTGTAAGGGGCACCTTTACATCTTGGTCTTCACTCTGCCGTCATCCTGGAGAGGATGTCTTTTCCCTTCCTGGTCGTCTGTTAAGGCTTAGCCATGGAGCCTGCCCCTCCGTGCTGCCTTCCCTGAGAGCCGTCACTGACCTGTCATTCTCTCCAGCTGTAACTTGCAGCTCTTTTCTGGTCATTTAGTCATTCCGTCTTGGTGTGTGTTATGGTTGGTTCTTTGCATGCCTGCTCCTGGATTATTCACTCTTTCAAGGCATTGGGGGTGTCTCTTCTCACTTGTTTGTGCGTGTGCCCCTTCTAGCATGCCTCTGTTCCTTCCATACGTCACAGGACACAGGAGGGCTGCAGCCACTCAGAGGGAGTTATCCCCAAAGGAAAGGAGGAATGGGGCCTGTGGCTCTTCATAGCACAGGGCAGTTCTTTTGTTGGCACGAGGCACATTAATGTCTGTGTCTACTCTTTCCAAACACAGCTTTGAGGTTAACATATAGTATCTGGATTTTGCAGTTCAATCCAGTTCGCTCTTTTTGAAATGCTCCTCCAAGCCCATTCATTTTGTATTTGATGCTGTGCACCCCTGGGCTGCCAGATTCCTGGAGCAGGCGTGGGCATACTTAGTAACGATCCCTGGGGGAAGCAGAGACAGGACTCGTGGTCACATAGTTAGGCCTGCTAGGAGGGTGAAAACTCATGCCAGCCTCGGGGAACTGGCTCACAGCTGGGGAACAGGAAGGTCCTTGAGAATCAGACACTGACACACTCCACCTAATGGGACGTCTGTGTCCCTCCACGGCTGGCGCAGCAGCTTCCCGTCCAGCACTCACTCTCCAGGGAGTTCAGTCACTCACTGCTCTGGGGCTCAGCTGCTCTGTGTGTCTCGGGTCACACTCCCTGAGAGGGGACCTTTGATGGTGTCTCGCTGCCCCTGTGTTGGCTTGAGCTCTCATTGCAGGCCTCCCAGTAGACTGCCGGTCTGGTGGTCAAGTGCATTGAGGAGGATGTGGCCACCTGTTGGGAGGAACCGCCAAGAGCCACTTCTCCCAACAGGGTGCTGTGGGGGTGTCAGAGCAGTATCTGATGGATGGGCTGCCCCTGCACAGTGTCGCGCCAGCTCCGGTGGGGCATTTAAACATGGAGAAGACATTGCTCCTGCCGTGAGACAGCTAAAACCCACTGGGGAGGTAGAGGAGAAGTGTGTCTGTAACTGCAGTGCCGGGAACATGCCTGCTGGTCACAGATGTCCAAGTGTCCTTTATCAATTGATAGTCTCGTGCCATTGGACCTTTGCTTTTTGGTCAGAACTACACATCAACCTGCTTTAGCCTCTGTTTAACTTGAATCACACTTTTGGATGCGATTTTCGGTTACGTGAAATACACGGGGTGGGATAAGATAAATAATACCATAGCTGCATGGCAACTTAACACATATCAATGAGTATAGCTTTGGAATCTGACCTTTATTGTTTTACCAAACCTTAGTAAAGAGCCTGTCGTGGAAACGTGATTCCTTACGATTGCAATTATAAAAATGATTTTTAATAACTACCTTGCAACCTGTAGTCTTTATTATATGTCTTCAATTCCCACTGCGCCCTGCGCTCTGCCAGTTTGGTATCGTGTCCTTTTTCCTGGAGTTACTAAGAACCATTTTTTTAGAGGAATGAAGAACTGATTTATTCGTTTTTATTTTTAATTTTTTTCAGAAATTTCGGGATTTCTTTAATCAGAATGAAACCAGTGACCCCACCAGAGATACGTGTGTGACCCTCACAGTGGAAGGGCGGACGTTTCCAGTGGACGTCTTTTATCTACAAAGGTTTGATGCTTCCTGCATTTTTAACGATGGTAATTAGGAAGCTACTAGGCCTGTGTTGTGGAAGGAGCAGCAACCGCGTGTTTCCCAAGGGCAGTGTGCCAGGCTGGTGAGGAGGGGCATCTGCTGTGTCTCCTGCCATTATTTAGTGTCTTCTGTCATTGGTATGATGTTCTGGAACATGGCTCAGTGTCACTGCCAAAGTTAGTTTAAACTTTTGATACTTTTGAGACTCAGAGAAACTTTTGATACGTTTCTATGAGTCTGTGGTTAGTAGCTCAGAGGGACAAAGCAAAGTGGTAACCAGGTTGGGGGAAGGAGGGGGTCAGTACTGTTCAGAACTCGGGTTTATAAGACTGCTGTCATTGGGGGTGGTCTTGGCGATTTGAATCTTTGGTTCTCTCTTTTAGTTCTCAGCTCTCTACATCCCAGGTGGGAGGCCTGGTTGACATTTTTGGGAGGCGCCCTCTTGGACAGGAAGTGGGTCATCCTAATTCCTACCCTGAGTCACTGGACAGACAAAGACAGTGGCAATAAATCCATAGAGATGTGGGCTCAACTTCTGAGTCCTTCTGGTCCAACAGCAACCCCATTGGCTCTGTCTTCCCCACGATGTGCTCCCAGTGTGGACAGGGGGTCACGTGGATGGGGTCACGTGGACAGGGTGTGGGGTTTGGCCCTGGGGACAGCCCCATTTTCAAGGGCTGGGCAGCTCTGCATGCTGAGGATAGCACATCGCTGTGCGTGGGCCTGTCGTTTTTATTTCTTTGCAAATAAAGCCAAAAATCATAGCTGAAGTGTGATTTTGAGTCATTTTTAAATGCTGCACTTAAAAAAAAAGAAGTGGGCATCTATTTTATTTATTCATGTACCGATTACTGCTGGGCAGGCCCATACTAACTTCCACGAGATTCTGCTGCCTGGTCACCAGGGTAGTTGATCTGTAACTAGTATGTATGTTCTAGTGGTGACTTTATCTCATGTATCTTTCAGTCCTGTTCCAGATTATATCAAATCCACTGTAGAAACTGTGATGAAAATTCACCAGACGGAGGGAGATGGAGACATATTAGCATTTCTTACTGGCCAGGTAATTGCACTGGACCTGTGTTCTGTAGTGAACAGACTTGTTAAGGCAGCATCAGAATTAATACAGAGGCCTGTTACTTTGCTCAGCCGTTTATTTCATGGTTTATTGTATTTTGCGGTTACTTTATTGCAAAAAGAGAAATTGTTTGGTTTGATGTCATTCATCTACTGATTACATTGTTATGGAGTCACTGGCTCCTGCCTGTTCTATCTGTAGAGGGTCAAAGGTACTTTCAATTTATTAGCTGATTCCAAAGTATATTACACACTTCATTTAACGAGCTGTTTTGTGCACTGAAATTGAACGTCGCACTGGGTGCATTTTGTGTGTGCATGCTGTTGCTGCATGCTTCTTCCCCAGTGACACCTTGACAGCTTGTCCTGAGGGTGCCAAGCGGGCCCATCACTGGAAGGACAGCTGAACAAGCCCGAGTGCTCACTCAGGGCTGTAACACGTTCAGAAACCACCCTCTGGCTGTGGTCTTTTCCACTGCTGAGCGTTTTCCATGGTCAGTATTTGCTACAACTTGTTCATATGTATGCAGCGCTTTGCCACAGTGCCTGACAATTGAGTTAAATAGTCCTTGTTTTTGTTTACCGGGAGCTCTTCTAGTTAGTGTAGATGGAGTAGATTTCCCTAAGTAATCCGACCGCTGCAGATTTTCACCCCACAGGCACCACTGTTCAGTGGCACTCGGGTGCGTGCCATCCCAGAGTGAAGTGTGGTCACGCTGGAAGTCCCGAATCCGACCACAGTTCCAGTCCTGATCCACACTTTCATTTCCTTCACGCGAAGAAGGGGCAGGCCTCGTATTGATTGTGGTTCCTTTGCTTCCTGGTTCGACGTTCTTCAGGAGGAGGTAGAAACCGTGGTGTCCACGCTGATCGAGCAGGCTCGAGCTCTGGGTCGGACAGGGATGAAGAGACACCTCCGGGTTCTCCCTATGTACGCAGGGCTGCCTTCCTTCGAGCAGATGAAAGTCTTCGAAAGGGTGTCGCACAGTGTCCGAAAGGTGAGACGAACCTGATGACCAACGGCGTTGGTGACATTCGTTGTCATTTTGGTGCCCTTTGCTGTGCCCTGGAAAGAATTTTAAGATTGAAATGAAACTTGATGTACAGGCAGGTTTCTTTAAGAATTTTAGGTCCGTGTTTCTGTGCACTAAGTCTAAAAACCCACAATAAATAATGTGTGGGAAGGGAACTTGCAGAAGTGCCCCCCTGACAGTGGTTATCAGAGCAGGTGACTTCTCTGGGCTCTTTCCTGCCGCCTGATGTTTTCCCGTGGCATAATACTACCTTGGCTTGAAGGACCGTGTTGGTGGGTTGTGATTAATTGGAAACAATAAATCTGTTACCGTAAGTGTTTCCTAAACCATTTCTTTGAAGCATCATTTTGCTTGTAGAGCCAAGTTTAAGTCAATTAATTCAAGGTGTGGCAATGAAATTGGGGTGTGGAAGGGTGTGGTGGGAAGCATCAGTTTGAAGCAACCAGCAGGCAGCCAGTCCGCTTCCTGCTCACCTTCCCCCTGGGCCTTACTCCCCTTTCCCTTCCACTGGGTGAGGAAGGCCCAGAATTGGCCTGAAGTTGGCTTATAGGAGCTATTTATCAGCAAGTGGCAGAGAGTACAGTAGCTGAGGGATGGTTGGATGCTGCGCTCCCAGTTTGGACCACTTGGAAGAGGGCGCTCTCAGCCGCCTGGCCACCCGGGTGGGCAGCCTGAGTCCCAGCGAAATGGGCACTGCAGCCAGCCAGGCAGGAGGCCTGGGTTCTGTGCCTGAGTTACTCAGCCTCAAGTTCAGGTGTTCTCAGCCCTAAAACATAAATAATAAGGCCTTTTAGATGGATGATTTTATAGCACAAAATCTTACATGTCTACACATAAAAATGGTAGTAAGATTTTTATGAAAGGATCAATGAAAAGGTGCCTTTAAAAAGCTCCAAGTGCCATCTGTATATGCTCCTGCTGCTTCAGATCCTCTGGGGGCAGCCCCAGTGCACTGGGAATAAACTGCAGAACCTCGCGGTGGCCCAGAGGCCGCGCACGGCCGCCCTCCACCTCCCTGCGCCCTCGTCTGCTCTTACTCTGGGTTCCGTTTCTCCTCCCTTTCTCCTGTTTCTCCTGCCTGGATCTCTGTAGGGCTGCCTGCCTCTTGTTACTCGGGTCTCAGCTCAAAGTCAGCTTTTAGGCCGCTTTCCATGGCCGTCCAATCCAACAGAGCATGCCCCATTATTATAATGTACAATAAACGCCTTAAATACTGTGTAATGTTGTATTCTTACTCTGTTGTGTTTTCCTCATGGCATTTGTCACTTTCTGAAATTACCTACCTGTTTATATTCATTATTTACTCACCCAAACACTCACACTGGACTCCGGGAGAGCAGGGGTCTTCTCTTATTCATTGTACCTTCCCAGCACCGTGAATAGTGCCTTGCAAAGCATGGACCCTCAGAAACAGCTAGAATGTGAGTGAATAAATGAATATACATGCGCAGGGCAGTGATTTACTGCAGTTGTGCAAAAGGCAAAAACTAACATTTGTTGAATATTTACTACAGGTCAAGTACCAGGTTCTAAATGCTTTATATGTATTTCATACTTAACTCCCCCCAACCCTGGGAGCGGGGTAGATATTATGTTGATGAGGAAGCATGCTTAGGAGGTCAGTTAACTTGTTCAAATGCCCAGGGTCTGGGAGAATTCAAACCCAGGGCACCCTGACCCTAAAATTCATGTTCTTTCCAATATACCACACTGCCTCTTAAAGGTTCTACCATGTCAGAAATATCTTTCCATCTCTTAGGATTTTTTTAATAGTTTATTAAAAGTGAAAAAAAATAACTTTCTGTTACTCTCATTTCCGTGGGGAACCTAGGTGATAGTGGCCACCAATGTGGCAGAAACCTCCATCACAGTCAGCGGGGTTGTGTATGTGATCGACTGTGGCTTCGTGAAACTCCGGGCCTACAACCCCAGGACAGCCATCGAGTGCTTGGTGGTGGTCCCAGTGTCCCAGGCATCGGCCAACCAGCGAGCAGGACGTGCTGGCCGCAACCGCTCAGGAAAGTGCTATCGCCTTTATACAGGTTAGTGTGGCTTTCATGAAGGGAGTCTGTGGGTGCTGGAACGTGTTACATTTACCCTCCACGGGCCGCGTTCACAGCAGATCCAGACCCCCTCACGTGTCCCTGTGTAACCTGGCCCCCACCACCTTCCTCACCCTGAACGTAGCACTTCCTTGCTGCTGCTCCCCATTGGCCAAAGCTGGCCCACAAGTCACCAGTTATTTGCCATCCCTGTTCTAACCCACTGTTTGGGCTAAGGCCTCTCTTTAGCCATGTGACCCTGCAGCTTAGGTCGGGTCCTGTCTCTTTTACCTTCCCCTTAACTTAATGTGCTGTTTTCTTGCTCTGGGACCTTTAAATTCAATGGGGCCCCACACTGGGTTCTGTCTTCACCTCTGGTCAGAGCATCTCTGTGGGGCTAAAATGGCAAGGTCTGTCCTGAGAGGCACTGACAGAAAGCAGATAGTTGCTCACTCCTGCTCTGTGCTGTGCACCATGCTAGGTTCTGAAGGGGCAGGATAAGTAGCATCAGGACTGTCCTGGCCCTTAAGGAGCCCCCTCTCTAGCTGGACAACAGCCTTCCCAACAGACAGGGATGCCCGGGGCTGCTCTTCCTCTGTGATCCTGTGTGAGGGACGGCACTGCGGTTTCTCTCCACTGTCCAGGCTTCATTTTCACATCATTCGAAATTCCCTCCTCTGTCCAATCACCAGGTGCAGTCACCAGATCTGGGGTTTTATTTTTATCCTTTATCTCTTTCCTTCTGGTTACCATTGCCCTTGTGCAGCCCTTGACATCATCCTTTCTTTTGGCAAATGTCTGCAGAGCACCTGTGTGCCGGGTGTGTGCCAGGGTGTCGAGCTCCAGGGCCAGGTGGGACATGGCCTTTGGCCGCATGTGGTCACTGACAGCCTGTGGATGGAGACCCACACAGGTGGGCATACTGTGGTGTGATAGGGTCGCCATGAAGAAGTGAGCCTTGGAAGCAGAGAGCGGGGAGTAGCCTGTTGGGGAGGGCTTCGCAGTCGAGTGTTTGGGCCTGATCTTACTGGTGGCCTGACGGTGTCCAGGAGGGTTGGCACTGGGCAGAGGTACGTGGCTGGGGAGGGGAGGGGTGAAAGGGGTAAGGGGGATTCGTGGGAAGGAGGGAAGGGCAGAACCTGAGGCCAGAGATGCAAGGGTCTTCTAGCACTGAAGGCGCTAAAAAGGAGTGATTAGAGTGGAAAGGGGAGAACCAAGGTCGTAAAGAGGCATCCTGAAACTCAGGGGAAGAGAAAGTTCCACTGAAAAATTTTTAGTGGGGATGCGGTTGGGAGGGCCCGTTGACAGCAGGGGTGCATTAGGTCCAGCCCCTCCGCGTTCTGGGCCAACCGGTTTCTGGATGAACTTCCAGCGGGCGCAGCTCTGAGCCCGGTGCTCCTCCTCTGGAGCCCTTCGGAGGTTCTCAGAACCTCCCTGACTCTTCCCGCTAATCTTCCCCTGCGCTCCGCCTCCTCCTCCCCCGCGCTGCCTCTCAGCTGAAGCACATTCCTCCTGGACATACCTGCTGCGTTCCCACACCCGCCCTCATGCCTCCGGTGCCCTTCCTGAGCTGTCTCCTCTGCCCAGCATGTTCTCCTTATCGTTCAAGCCTGTCTCAAGTGGCATCTCCCAGATGAAGCAACCGAAGGTGCCTCCCGATGGCTAGGCTCCTTCCTTCCCTTGGTGTCACTTTCCCTTTGGGTGGACCACACACTGGGACTTGGTCTCAGAGGTCCCTGTTTCTGGTCTGGTCCCAGCCCCTTCACATCACTGAAGCTCCTCAAAGCCATTGGCTGGTGGCACCTGCAGCTTGTGGCCCAGTGCTTCACACACCCGCGTCCTCAGTGGGGTCCAGCTGAGTGCCACTGAGCTCTTAGGAAGCACTTACTTCTGTGAGTGTCTTTGCAGTGGGGTTGTCCTCTTGCCCGGCAGCTTCGCTTCTCTCTTGGTCAGCACTGTACTTGGGAAATGTGGCTCTGCTCCCAAAAAACTACTCCCCAAATGCTCTTCAAAGGCAACGGCAGTACCCCGTTCGGAACTTCCTGCTGTTGCCCGGTGTCCAGAATCTCCCAGTTAGACCCATGCATTTGGCGATCTGTATCCCACTCCACAGAATATTGGCTGTCCGCTTTCTCAGAGAAGACCTTTTGCAGCTCTTCAGTGACAGTGCTGTCTGGTTCACCTCCTCTCTGGTTCGTTGCGGCTCTGTGATCGAGCTGGAAGTGGGGCCAGCGTGTGTGAAGGAGGTGTGCACCGTTAACACGTGACTGGCGGGGAGGCTTTTGTGGGCGGAGCGTTCTCCAGTGACCCACAGGCTTTGTGAAATGTACAAGACCGATTTATTCTCTTCCTCCTTTTTCCCCACCCATTTTGCCTCGCTCTTATAAGAAGACCCCCCCAAAGTCTCTCTTCCTCCCACACCTTTCTCCCGCCCCTCCCGTCCTGGCACGGCTATGCCTTGTGGTTTTTTTCGCTGTGAGAAGTCACCTTCGTCTCCGGAGGTGCGTGTCAGCAGTCACGGTTGCTTTGGGACGGCCTCCAGTCTCTGAGTGTGGCATGTGTGTGTGTGCTCGGACACGTTCTGGTCTTTATAAGACTTCTTCATCTGTTATATTCTGGTTACTATTTTGGTAATTTACTTTGAAATTGTTCTTTGCTTATATGTATTGTATTTGCCTTTTGGACTTTGCCCTGAGCAGAGGTAACGGCAACTGGGCACCAATAGTGATTCAGCAAATACTTGGTGCTCTGATTTCTAATTTTGCTGATGAAAAAACACATTAAAAAAAAGCATCCTAAAATAAAAGGACAAGCTTTCATAAAGACGTACTGTTTATAAAGAATAAATTGCTCAAGTGTTTTTTTTTAGGTGGAATGGTGTTTCTTAAACTTGACACAACTTTCTGTCACGTCACCATATACATCTGACCCTGGGGTCCTGGAGCCTCTTGTTAGAGAAGGAAACACGTCCTTTTGTCATAATGATCACATTGGATTGTGACATTTGATCCCAAGCAGTTCTGATTTCCTGTTCTCAGAGGAAGCCTTTGACACGCTGCCCGCATCCACCGTTCCCGAGATGCAGCGGAGCAACCTGGCGCCCGTCATCCTGCAGCTGAAAGCGCTGGGAATCGACAACGTCCTCAGGTTCCACTTCATGTCCGTAAGTCCTGCCTTCTGCCGGGGCCCCAGGGGGGCTGCGGTGCTCCCCGGGAGTGTCAGGACGGTGTTACGGAGCGTGTCGCCTTGCTTTTCTGCTTTCTTTCCCACTTAGCTCCTACGCTGTGTGCCCGCTGTGCACTGGGTGCTGTGCAGGGTGTGGGGGGACTCGAGCCAGATCAGACAGACACAGTTCCAGTCCTGCCCGCTGGACAGGGAGACGAGTAATGGGCAGTGACAGTGCGTGTGCCCGGGGCTGGGGGAGGCGGGCAGGGCCCCTGGCCCAGTGAGACATGAAACTCGTGTGGGATTTCACCAGGTCAGGGCAGGGGAGGAGAGGTCCAGGACGGTGAGCACGTTTGCAGGCCTGCAGGAGAGAACGTCACAGCTGGGGGAGCCGAGAGGCTTTGGGGCTGCTGTGGGGAAGGTTCTTGTGTTGGGTTGCATTTCTGCTTACTGCCTAGGGCAGGTTTCCAGGTGTGAAGTCACTGGACAGAGGGCCGTAGTCGCTTTGTAGGTCCTTGGCACGTGGCCAGGTTGCCGTACAGGTATGAGCTCCGGCAGCGCGGGAAGGGCCTACGCCCTGTGCCCCCGCCGCGCCGTGTTACTTTCTCGTAGAGCTTCGCTAATGCGGTTGATGGTGGGGGGGAGAAAGAAAGGTAGGAAAAATACTGTGTATACCTTATTGTTTTGATTTCTCATAAGGGTTTTTTATAAAAGTTTACTGTCCACTTTATACTTTTGCATTGTTGAGCCATTTATCTGTCAGGATTAGTGTTTGTTAGTGATTTTCAAGGGTCCTTTGACTATGGAGGACATTATTCTTTGTCTGCAGTATTTCTTGCAAATAGTTTTTCTGGGTATGTATATTTGACTGTTTTTAAATTTATTATTATTTGTAATGTGCAGGCATCCTAAACATTTCCACAGTCAAGTCTTTCTGTCTTTGCTTCAATGGCTTGTTAGGCTTGTGCTTATGAAGCACCTCCTCGTATCTAGGTCAGTCAGTTAATAACTACTCAGTTTTTTCTTCTTGAATTTGTATGATTTGAAGACTTGCGTTTTAACTTTGTTCTGTCCCAGCTGTACTGGCAAGTGATGTGGTGGGTCTGGGTCCTAGCTTGCTCTGTGGGTCTTTGTAAGTATGGAGAAAATGTACCCTTTGTTTATTGGTGTGTAAGACAAGACATTGTAAAGAAAAGATGAACAGTAAATGCAAATTAGAAGCTTACGGAAACCCCATATCTGGGGGGGCGTGGTTAAGGGAAAATGTACAGAGGCAGCAATGATGGATCAGCATCTCAGTAACTGAAGAGTTTTCAGGCATCATTTGGAATAAACCTTGTAACTACTAAAGGGAAAGCTGTGGGAAAGGAAATGTCAGAACGTGGTGGGCTTTTCTAGAAGAGAGAGAAGTACAAATTGAAGCAGCTTTAAAGCGCCACTCCAATGAAATCAGCAAAGACGAAGAGAAACTATGAAATCCAGAGCCAGCCAGCTTGGGAAGCTGGTTCCGTTCTGTCTCAGTGCTCACGGAGGCCTTCCTGGTACCACTTTGAGAGCCATAGACCTGCCTGCTGTTTCATCTCAGGGAAATTGCTCCTGAAAAAGTAATTCACAAGAAGACAAAAAATGTCCATGTGATAATGTTTATAACATCACTGTTAGAGTAAAAAATACAAGTAGTGAAAACCATGAACATCGGACAACTGAAAAGTGAGGAGAATACACACAAAGTTATCTTCATGTAGTCCCTTCTGGTTATTTCCCCCTGAAATGGTGTTTTTCACAGTTGAAATCACAGGGTACGTGCAATTTTATATATTTTGCAGTGCTAATTATAGTAGCAAAGAATGGAAAACTATTCATTTGCCCAGTGGTAAGAAGATTGCTTGTTTTGTAGAATAACTGTGACCACGCTGGAAGGTTAGCCAGCTGTCCCAAGCAATCACTGAAGTTTCTGTGGGCACAAGAAACAGTGAGAACAGAAAACCGTACAGTGAGAAAAATTAGCTAATATTCTACACACCCAGTCCTCTCAACTGTGTTAACCAGCGTTTGCGTGTGATCCCAAGTCAGATGGGGCCGTGGAGAAATGCTGGTGGCTGCAGTGGATGTGTGTTTAGGTGAAAAGACCAAGGCTGTGATTTGTGGGGTCGGAGGAGAGGTTCTGTTTTGTTGATTGGTGATAAATCCAAAAAGCAGAATTAATGGGGGACCTGGTGACGGACTGGAAGTAGGGTCAAGCATTGAAGGGAGTCAGAGAGACTTCGTTGTGTCTGTGAGTATTCAGAACCGAGTTTGGTGCTTTACTCTTCCTGCTGTCACAGCTCCCATGACCTCAGGGTGAAAGGCCCCCAGAGGGGTCATGCTCCTCCACGTAGGTGCTGTGCATTTTGCCTCCTTTGTAAAGTCGGGGGTCAGAGGCACTGAGGAAAGGCTAGTGAATCGATTGCACGATTTAGTCAACCGTGGTTCAACGAATGCCCTCTGTGTAGTGAATTACATGTCGTGTGTGTGTGTGTGTGTGTGTGTGTGTGGTCATCACAGCTGTTAAAAGTACAGCTTGGCTCCTTGGCCATCAGTGGGTGGGGTAGAGTGAAAAAATGAGGCCTGTAAGTGCTTTCCTTCAGAAGTGCCACAAGCCACTTGCCTGGCTGTGTTCAATGTCTTGTATTTTATTGTTATTCACTGTCTTCATCTGTAGCATTGAACTAAAACAGTGTGGCACTTAAAATGTTTGTTATGTGAATGCATTTAGGAAAAAAAGCCATGCAGTTTGAAAAGTACTCCAATTTTATTATCTGGCTTATTATAAATAAAATAATTTAGCGGAAAATAGTAATGGTGCTTGGCAGTTAATAGATGCTCAGTAAAGATTTGTGGAAGGAAAGAAGGAGGGAAGGATCTAGAGAATCAGACCAAAAGTCCCAATATCAGCTTTGCTTAACGTCAGATTACCTAGCATTCTCTGTTATTTTCGGGAGTCCAAATTCACCCGTATGTCAGTCACCCACCCCTTGGTGGACAAGGCTTGGAGCAGGGCTGTGGCTGGTGCAAAGACCCGCCGCCAGCCAGTATTCCCGTGTAGTAGAAGGTTGAGACTGTGCAGTAGCAATTAGAACCATGTGATGAGAGTTTCCATGGGAAAGCAAGGAAGTAGTTCAAGGTGGCCCACTTGTCATGGAGGGAAGCATGAGGAAGGGCTTCCAAGGGAAGTGTTTAATCAGCTGAGAGTAAGGGCCAGGCAGCACTCAGGACGCCGGGAAGGAGAAGAAGGACATTTCCAGGGGCGCCAGCGTCGGGAACAGGAGCCTGGAGGTCGGGGAGTCTGGGGCACGTGGAGGGGAGGGTGGGTTTAGGCAGGAAGTAGTCACGTTCTTACCTGTCACTGGAAGAAATTAATTTAGGAGGATTTTTGTGTTTTTACAGCCCCCTCCAGCACAGTCGATGGTTCAAGCGTTGGAGTTACTCTATGCCCTGGGAGGTATGCCTTTCTCTTATTTTGCATTCTCTGATCTCTTTACTGATGAGTGATGTTCGCTAGGTCATACTCGCTTCAGGGCTCGTAGTCTCTTCAGGCATGGAGTTGGTTCCCCCTGATAACAGTATGTGAAGCCTACTCATGAATTCGTGAAGCACGTCAGGACATCGGAAGTAGTAATAACCATCACCAGAGCCACCCTCCTAAGACATCTGGAAGATTCTCTCCCAGTACTTCAGACGTTACCCCTCCAGGCCTTTTTCTCTGTCCCTCCATCCCGTGCAGAAATTGGTGATTTGGCGTCCTCTAACTCGCCCTCGCTCTGTTCCTGGAGCTCCCTGCGGAGAATTGGGTGGACGTGGTCTGTGGCGTTTGTGAGGCAAGGAAATACTTTGTTACGGAGGAATCTGCGTGGTTTGAGAAATGGGGTTATTTCCCTTCACATAGAGAACTTCTTGCCTAAATTCACCCCCTCAAGAAGTACATGTTTTTTCTGTGAATAGTGTGCCCTACATGAATACAATATTCATTTTGGTATTAGGTTTTAGGGGAGGTTTTGTCTTTGAAGGGTTTTTTTTTTTTTTGCTTTTAACATATTTATTGAGGTGTAACTCATCCATTTAAAATGTCTAATTCCATGGTTTTTAGTGTATTCACAGGGTTGTGCAACCGTCACCACGAGTTTTGAATATTTAGAACGTTTTTATCACCTGTGCCCATCAGCACGCACCCTTCCTCCCTCTCCCCCCCACCTCCTGGCCCGTAGGCCTGCGGCTTCTGGACATTTCACGCAGATGGAACCGTACGGCATGCGATCTTTAGGAATGGGCTTCTTTCATTCAGCATGGCATTTTCAAGATTCATCTGTGTTGTGCCACATGTTAATGCTTCATTTCTTTTTATTGCTGAGTAAATAACTTATTGTGTGGATATGCCGCGTATTATTCTTACCCATTTGTGAGTTGATGGCCTTTTGGGTTGGTTTCCTCATTTCGGCTAATGTCCACAATGCTGCGGTAAAACATTCATTGCAGGTTTTTGGTGGACATTCCCACCAGCAGGGTGTGGATGTTTCCAGTTTCTCCACAAGTTGCTAATGCTTGTTATTGTCTGTCTTTTGTACTGTGGCCATCCTAGTGGATAGGACAGGGTATCTTGTGGTTTCGATTTGTGTTTTCCTAATGACTAGTGGTGTTGAGCACCTGTTCACGTTCTTATGGGCTACTTGTGTATCTTCTTTGGAGAAATATCTATTTAAATCTTTTGCCCATTTTTAATTTGGGGGTATTGTCCTTTTATTATTGAGCTGGAGGAGAGGATATAGAATATATATAAAGAATATACATATTCTTTATATATATTGTGTGCGCATGTTTCTCTTCGGGTCTGTGATTTGTAAATATTTCTCCCATTCTGTGGGTTGGCTTTTCACTTTTCCGATGGTACCATTTGCCATACAGAAGTTTTAAGTAGTTCAGTTTATCTATTTTTTAAGAAAACATTGCCTGTCTCCCAAGCATGAGGATTTTATCCCTACATTTTCTTTGAAGACTTTTGGTAGTTTCAGCTGTTTGCATTAATAGGTTTATGATCCATTTTGAGTTAATTTTTTTTGTGTGGGGTGAGGTAGGAGCCAATCTTCACTCGTTATATTCATGATGCCTCCCTGCAAGTAACTGGAACAGCCAATTACTGATTTCAGCCGCCCCCCCCATGGGTCTGCGTCAAGAGTGAGCCTGTGCGGGAGGAGGCCCCCACTTCCCGTTCGCGAGGGTTTAACAGGAACTTGAAAGCAGGCCTCCCTGGGATGTTCTGTAATGTGGACGGGACAGTGAGGGCTGCATAGACGTTTTTGATTTGGACTGACTTTCCTTCATTCAGAAGGACATTTAAAATGTTTTTTGTTCCTTCTCCTCCCTAAATTAGCTGGAAGAGGCAGAGGCACACACCCAAGTTAGTTTAGTTTCAAGCTGAACTATCACCTTTAAAGAGAGGGTTATATGGGAACAGCAGAGAAGCGACCTTTTCTGTCTTAACTCTGAGCTCAGAAGCAGTTGTTCTAATGCCACATCTTGGGAATAGTCTGCACCACAGTAAAAACGATCGTCTGCATCGTGAGAATTCAGTTTCCAGATGTTGGCCGGCGGTGAAGAGGCGAGGAGGGGTGTGGGGAATTGAAGGAGTCCGCCCGGCCCAGTGGTGCTGGCACCCGAGAGAGACCTGGGCAGGTGCTTAGATTCACAGGCACAGCCTTGTAACTGCTCCCACGATAAGAGAACAGGGCACGTGGGCCGTCGTCCTGGAACGACTACCACGGGGCAGGGAAGATCCGGAGGCAACAGAGGGAGCAGCCGGAGAGAGGGGCCCTGGGAAGCGGGTCCCCAAGGAGCTGCGGTCTGCAGAGGCGAAGGCTGCCGCAGACCCTCAGGAGGGGCCTTTGTGTTCACAGCGTGTGGTGTCGGGCCCTTGGGAAGGCAGCCAGCCTGTGGGGAGTGGTGAGGCTGCTGCACGTGGGGAGGGCGTGGGAGCAGGAGGAGGCCTCGAGACTGTTTCCTTATAATGAAGTCCTTGAATAGGAGCCATTAGAGGTGTCCGTTTTTAAAATTAAACATTCAAGAGCTCAAAGGAGGTCTTTTTTTTTTTTAACGCAACGGTTCTCTGGTGTCAGAGCAAGTTTGGTGGGGCGTGACTCACCTTTTGGTGCCTTTTCCAGCATTCGTCATCTTCTGTTCTCCCAGCGACTGGACGTCCTTTGACACAGTGGCGCACGCCCTCCAACAGCTCTCGTTCTCTTGGCAGGTCTGGACAAAGACTGCCGCCTAACCGAGCCGCTTGGCATGAGGATAGCGGAGTTTCCTCTGAATCCCATGTTTGCGAAAATGCTGCTGGAGTCAGGTGGGTGGAGGTGGCAGTTGTCACTGATTTTATTTGGACCGTCAGGGAGCTATTTCCCTGCATTCTGGGCGCCCTGGGGAAGAGAATACAGGATACGGGGTCCGGCACAAATAACGCCCCTGTGGTAATCGGTGCCAGATCTTTGATCAAGCCTGTAGTTCTGTAACGTAACACTACCACAGTCAAGCACACCATATGGCATTTTAGGCGAAAGTTCCAATTGCTGTCCATCTCATGCGAGACACTCATGTACCCCACCAGCCACCCTCAGCGGGATGCTGTGTTCACAGCAGGGAAGGAGCTTTCGCCGAAAGCTCTCGGTTTTCGGCCTGTTGCCAACTTGTGATTCCACGGCAGTCATGAATTCAGTAAAGACTTCTGTTTGTTTCTCACGGGCCGAGCACTGGCACCTTCAGATTTTCTTTTTAAATAGGGACGTTTTTGTTACTGTGGTAAAAAGTACATAACAGAGTTTACCGTTTTAACAGTGTTTTTAAAAGCGTGCCATTCTGGGGGCGTTTTGTACATTCACGTTTTGTTGTGCCATCCCCACTGTTCACCTCCCGGACTTTCTCATCTGTCCAGACTGAAACTGTACCCGTGACACACTCACGTGCGGCCCCCCCGCCCCCTGTGGCCCCCACTCTGCTTCCGTCTCTGGGCTGGCCTCCCCCGGAAGCTCACACAAGTGGAGTCGCACGGCATCTGCCCTTCTGTGGCTGACTCGCTTCACTTGGTGTAGTGCCTTCAAGGTTCATCCGTATTGTTGCTCGCCCGTCATTCGTCTGTTCACAGACACGTGGGAGCGTCCACCTCCCGGCGATCGTGCACGATGCTGCTGTGAGCGTGGTGGACAGACGTCTGTTCCAGTCCCCGGTCCCCCTTCTTTTGGGTGGACACTTAGAGTGCAGTTGCCGGGTCATCTGAGAATTCTATGTTAGATTTTTAGGGGGGATTGCCATGTCCTCCTCCATAGTGGTTACCCCATTTTGTATTCCCACCATCAACGCACGAGGGTTTCAACTTCTCTGATGCCCTTAGATTTCTATGAGAACAATCAAATGACCTCAGGCTTACAGGATTCTAAGTTTCGAGTTGGGGGGAGTGTCGCACACCAGGCAGGGAGCTGTGGGCAGCAGGCCTGGCTGTGCAGTTCGCGGTCACCCTCTGGCGTCCTCGAGGGCTGGCGGCTGCCGACTCTGGGCCCAGGGACTGGCAGCAGTGGCGGTGGCCCGCCGAGCGCTTCCACGGGCTAGTCCTTCCCAGGGCTCTAGTGCGGTGCCATGAGCCCCCCTGGCAGGCAGCCCCCCTCAGAGAAGGGCCAGGAGCAGGGGAACAGCAGAAGGGACACAGCCCACGTGTCCCCTGCCCCTTTCAGGTTTTCTGCCAGGACTCGAGGTGTCCACATAAGCGAGTCCGCAGCGGGCGTGGAGGTGACCCGCCCTCGGTGATGGAGCCAGTGGGGCTCCCCTGCGGCTCCCAGTGTTACAGCGCAGAGTGGCCTAGCAGCTCCTCTCACAGTCCTTCCAGGCCTCCCTCATGGGGGCCGCGTTTAGGACACTCCATCCGGCAGGGTGAAGCGCTTACGTGCTGCAGACCGTAAAAATCAGGTGTGTGCAGGTGTGTCATCTTCGTGTGCAGTGCGGTGCCAGGAGAACGTCAGAGAGCGTCTTCACTTCCCACGGGCGCATTGCATGTCTGAACTCAGACACACTTTCTGTTTCACAGGAAATTTTGGCTGTTCTCAGGAAATTCTCAGCATTGCAGCCATGATGCAGATCCAGAACGTCTTCGTGGTCCCCTCGAACCAGAAGTCTCAGGCAGTAAGTCCCCGTCCCGCGGAGCCGTTCCCGCCAGGCCCTTCACCCCGGGCCTTCTCGCCAGAGCGACTGGGAGGTGCCCAGTGGCGCAAACACCTGCCTGCACGTGAGGCTCGCTGTGCGCCCGGCGTCGTCCCGTGCGCTTCCCGTGCTTCTCGTGCTTCCTGGCCACCGTGAACCGGGAGGCAGATCTGTGTTAGAGGTGGGGGCACAGGACAGTTAGGTGACTCGCCCACCCCTGGCTGCGCAGCCGTGGTGGAGTTGCCTTTCACAGTCCGGAGTTCTAAGTCCTAACCACTGTCCCGCTGACTTTCCTGTAGGGACGCGTCCTTGAGGCATCTTGGGGGGCAGCAGAGTGGGCACGTTAGTGACTAAGGAGTCGGGGCCCGGGTCCACCAGGCTGATCCTGGCTGTGTTGGCATCGAGCCAGGGGGTGACCAGGCCCTGCCGGAGCCCAGGCGTCCGTGACGACAGGAGGAGTGAATGCTGGAAAGACGGTGAAGGAAAAGTTAGGGTGCTGACGGGCACCACGAGGGAGGTCTCCTGACGGGGCAGGTCATGGACAGGTTCCCGGGCGGGTCTGGGAGTCCGAGCGCAGCCTCGCGCACTGAGGGGCGGACTGCAGGTGTGCGGTCGGGAGGAGAGAGCCTCGCCTGTGGACCCTCGTCCTCTCCCGACAGCTGTGCGACCGGGCGCTTCCCTGCCTCCGCGCCCGGCCGTGACGTCTGTCTTCTCTGTTTCCTGTTTGCTTGTTTGGTTGCTTCTCTGTTGGCCTCTTTCGCAGTCCCACCCGAGGGCAGGCAAACTCCCTTTCGGGGCGAAGACACAGAAGCTCTCAGTGTGTCTGGAATTGCACCCTGTCCCTTCTCCCCTTCCCACCCTCATCCCCTGCTTCATTTTTTTCTTCTAGCACTTCTTGCAACCTAGTATACTAAATAATTTGCTTATTTATCTTGTCTATTGCATTCTTCCCACCACTGTTGTTACTGTTACATTCCCAGTCCGTAGAACAGTGGCTGGCCTATAGTAGGTGCTCAGTAATACCTGTTACTGAGCGAATGGAAGGAAGAAGGAAGATTAATTCTGTGGGATCGGATGCAAGGAGAAAGTTCTGAAGTTAAGAAGTGTATGTGTGTGCTTGTGTTTGTGTTGTAGGGGCTGCTCCTTAAATCCATGGGAACAGAAGGCATTGTGCAGGGTGAGGGTGAGGTCCGAGTGGGAGCCCGGGGACAGAGAACGTTCCCCAGGCACCAGACGGGCTGTCTCCCCGAGCTTCCGTTCTGGGGGCGCGGGGAGGAGTTCCTGACTGGAGGGGGAGGACAGGCCAGAACACCAGCCCGTATCTAACAGCCGTGCCGGTCAGGCACTGTGTCCTGGGGCACCCGAACCCCACAGTGATCCCGACAGTCAGCCCAACACCCAGTTTTACACATAAGGACGTGGAGGCCGAGCAGGAGGAAGTGACCAGTCCCAGGTCTCTCAGGAAGCAGTGGAGCTGGAACGATGCACCCGGTCGCCCCGGCTCCACGAGCCGTTCCTTGTGCCACGTACCCCCCGGGACGAGAGGCTCGCCGGGGTCGGCTCCCGCACGTTGCTTGTTTCTCTCCAGATTCGAGTGCACCGAAAGTTTGCCGTGGAGGAAGGCGATCATCTCACTATGCTCAACGTGTATGAAGCGTTTATCAAGGTAAGGGCAGCCGTCGCCCGAAAGGTCCCCTCTACACACCGGTCCACCCTGGGCGCCAGGCTTCCAGAAGTTCAGTCCATAGAGGAACGGCCGAGACAGCTCTTTCAGGTGTCTGTTAGATTATTGCCAACATTTCTTCTTATTTTTCCAAAGGTCTTATTTATTTAATTTTAAAGAATGGGGAAGGGAGGGAGAAAGAGAAGGAGGGAAACAGTCATCGGTTGCCTCTCACACACCCCCAGCCGGGGTCCTGGCCCACAGCCCAGGCATGTGTCCTGACTGGGAATTGAACCAGTGACCTTTTGGTTTGTGGGATGATGCCCACCCCACTGAGCCACACCAGTCAGGGCTACTGCCAGTATTTCTAGTCCGTGGGTTGGCTCCTGTCTGAAGCTGTGGTGCAGATGTGCCTGGAGGAACGAACACAGGAGTTGTTTCTGGCTCCTTCCTGCCCGGAGACGTGGTACTTACAGCGGCTGCTGGCTCGGCCCCCGGCCCCGCCCCTCCCTCTGTCTCACCCACCCAGTGTTGCTGGGCAGTTCTGTCCAGCATTTGAGTAGGAGGTTCTGTTACATTTTCTGCAAATGCATGAGGCCATGCCTGCAGTTAGCCTCAGGCGATGTTAATTTGCAGTGTTCTTAGTACTCGGTAAAACTAAGAGCGAATAAGACAGCTTCAAGTTCTCACTAAATCAGAAGACGATGCAGAACAATGAAAATAGAAATCTCTGTAAGGAGAGGCCATGAGAGGGGGAAATGAGAGACTTTGGATTTTCAGTATCTTGTATTCATTTTTTAAGTACTTTTTTAGAAGAGGAGAAAGACTAACTTTTTGTTTTATCAGAGATGTGAGTGGGTCTGTTTCAGTCAGTGAACAGTCTTCAGGAAAACTCCACCTCCTACTGGGAGTATTAATTAAGGATGAGGCCGGTGGGAATTTGCTCGTGTGTGCAGGGTATCATCTCCGGCCCAGAGCCCCCCCCCCCCCCCCCCAGTGGACTGCAGGTGCGGCCTCCACTGCTCGTTCTGCGGTTGCCTTCTGAGAAAGGCCTCTGCCACTTACGTTTTCTCATTGAAGACGCTGGCCTGCCTGGCTTAGACTGGTTTCCGAGGTACCTTCCCACAGCAGTACGTAACCCAAGGCATAATGATCGTACTTAAGAATCTAGAACAAAATGAAGAAGTGTTGACAGAATCATAGTCTGGGGCTAAATAATAGTAATTTGGAAATTGTTTCTAAATTGTCCAGTGTCATATTGTTGCCTGTAGTCGAATGAAGTGATGAACTCAAGCCAAGGAAGGAAAGTTTGTTTACAAAGCAGCACAGGGGAGTGATTCTGTTTGGGACTGTGCCAGTCACTAGGAAGGCACTTGATTGTCGTCAAGATTGACAGCTCTGCTTGTCGTTGAACTCTCACTTGCCCCTAAGGCAGAGGCTGAGGTCAAAGAGCAGCCAGAGGGCGAGCACTTGGCACCTCTCTCAACACGTTAGAGAGACAGACGGGCCAGAAAGGGCCGCTCGCCCTCTGGAGATCTCGCCTCCCAGTCGGCAAGCGCAGGGACTTAGGCACCTCTCACGCTTTTCTCACGCTCCTGCCCGGTTCCCCCCCGCAGCACAGCAAGAACTCGCAGTGGTGTCAGGAGCACTTCCTCAATTACAAGGGGCTGGTCAGAGCTGCCACGGTACGAGAGCAACTGAAGAAGCTCCTCGTCAAGTTCCAGGTGCCCAAGAAATCGAGTGAAGGTGAGAGTCAGCTGCCGCTGCTGGTGGCGTCCTCGTCTGCTCTGTGCGGTTGCAGGTTAGAGTTCTCCTGCTGGTGCTCGATGTGAGGCCGAGAGTGGGTGTCCTTTGTACCCATGTCAACGAAAGCTGCGTGTAAAAAGCGTATTTTTTCCATCGGGGTTCATTTTCATCTCCAAGGGCAGTTCTTGTTAAATACACTTCCATAAGCCCTGACCACTCGTAAGAGTCCTGACCCTTCAGACTGTTGAACATCACGTGGTTCAGTCTCCCACGTAGGCCTTATAAGGAAAGTCACTTTTGAGTGGATAGCACTCACGGCTGTGCATATAGATCACACTTCACGTTCAGATACAGGCATTATTACAGCAAGTGCTGTGGGCTTCAGCTGGGCCGGCAGCAGGGCCAGACCGATGTGCCCTGTGAGGCACGTGTCTGCCTCCAGCCGTGACAGTGACGACCGTGAACTGAGGACACGCTGGGTCCCACCGAGGCGGGGCCTCTACAGTTACCGTCTCTGCCTGCCACTCTGTGAGGTGGAGGGAGTGTTCCCGTGTTTGACAGATGAGTTGTCAGAGCCCCAGGGAGGGGTCAGCTCAGGACAAGACAGCGGGTCACAGCAGAGCACGGTCCGTGCGTGCGGCTCAGGACCTGCGCTTTTCCGGAGGTGGCTCCTTTGCTGGTTCGTTCAGCAGTCGTCTTCTGAACACCCACTGTGTGCTAGGCATTCAGGTGTGCCCCCAGTTCCCCAGTACTCGCGTGCAGTAGGCCAGCAGTGTTCTAGTGTGAGCATTAAATTCCTTTAATTCTTTTAATGCTCACAGCAGTCTGGTGAAATATGTAGCTGTTGCCCCATTTATAGGTGAAAATAATGAGGCCCAGCGGTGATGAGAGCCGTGCTGACGGTCACACAGTGAGTGTGGTGGAATCAGAGCTTGAACCCAGGCAGTTGGATTTCAGTCTTGTTTTGCCTTTACAACTAAGAACAAGTGCTTACAGGGAGACAAAGACGTGGTTCCCACCCCAGGAAATGGTGCAGGTGCAGGGAGAGTCACACAGGTACCCAGACTCCTGCCGTATCTGACTGCCAGCCCTCTGAGCAGTTACAAGAGTGGACGCCTGTGTGACTGTGGCAGACAACAGGGGCAGCGGGTGAGGCGGGGTGGGGATGCAGGGAAGAAGGCGTCCGGGGTGGGAGCTGGCCTGGGAGGTCTCGCAGCAGGCCTGGGTGGTGGCAGAAGTCCAGCTGAGGGACCTGATTGAATCAGAAAATGGTAGCAAGGGGCACGCCAGGCAGGGAGGCCTGTGGAGACCGGTGGTTGGAGTGAGGGGCACATTAGATGCTCAGAGAATATCGATGGCTGAATACCAGGGAGGCGAGAGTTGCAACCTGGGGGACCAGGCAAAGCTGGTGTCACTGCTGGAACAGGAGCCTCAGGAGGGCAGCGGTTTGGGGAGTGGCTGAGTGCCTGTCACCTCGCGGAGACACGGCAGTCTTCTAGACCAGCCTTTCTTAGCCCGTTTTCACTATCAACCCCTTGCCCCGGAGAAAACTCACATCAAATTCTTCCTAATGAGAGACATTAAATACTAGGAAATAAGGTTTTGTAAGGTAGGGTTGAATTTTGGGGGGGCCTCAACTACTGTAATACCTAAGATTCCTTCCCACCTCGCCCCCCAAGAACCATTTCTCACCCCTTTTGTTCTATGTGGAAATTTCTCATGAGCAGTTGGAAAGAAGGGACTGGATCTTGGATCGGACTGTGGTTAGAGGTGGAGATTTGAGAGCCATCAATTCCGTGCCAAAAGGAAGCGCAGGGGTAACTGTGCAGTAAAGAAGGGTGGTGCCTTTTTGCCAAAACATTGCTGGTAAGGATGCAGCGAAACTCACAACCTCATACGTTCATGGTTTTGTAGATTTTACCTTTGGAAACTGACTTATCAACAAACTATATTTCATGGAATCTAAAACACCATTATGAATAAGCCAGGCCATTATTTTATGTACCGACTAAGAAAAAAAGAAACTGCTGCCAATTATAATTATAAAATGCTGTTCTGGGTTCAGTGAGGGAGAGTGTAGAAAAGAGTGAGTCTCAGATTTGATGAAATATGGGGTGTCATAAGCCGTATAAATGACACTGTCTGTTTGCACACTAATTTGGAGTGTGTCCTGTGGGAATCATCTAATCGGGAGCCTTTCCCCTTGGAAGATGTTTACTCTAGCAATACAGACACCAATTAAAATGGGACATTTGAAATTTTTAAAGAATTGCACAGTGTAGCTGTAGCCACAGAAATAGTGTAGCATCAGTGTCCCAGGTTGTGTCTTAGGGAAGGAACGTCATTCCCACAGTTGCTGTCCCAGGAAGGAGTTCCTGAGGTCACAGGCCAGCCAGCAGAGTGTTCTCCTAGGTTCTGGTGCCCAGCGTTGGCCTGGGCATCTGTGGCCCAGGGGGATTGGGGCTCCAAGTTGAAGGACAGTCCAGCACATTTCCCTCAGCAGCCTTTGCAGGAGGGCAGGGACACCTGCTTGGGTGGGGCCGGGGAGACGGTGCGAGGGGGCTCGAAGCAGCCAGGGGTGCGACCTCGCAGCACGGGCCTGGGCACACACAGCATACGGCCGGCGAGGGCCTCACCCAGCGTTCTGTTGGCTGCCTTGCAGGCGATCCAGATCCGGTTCTGAGGTGCATCGTTTCGGGATTCTTTGCAAATGCGGCGAGGTTTCATTCTACCGGAGCTTACAGGTAACGTGGTGCTTGGTGAAGTCATTTGTTAAAGGACAAATCTTAAAAATGATCCAAACCTCATAGAAAGCTGATGTGCAGGAGAAGGAAATTAAATTGAAGAGTTTTCCCTTGTCCATGTGGTGCCTCTGTCTGAAGCTGAGTTTGGCTATGTAGTTTTAAGCGAAGTATCTTAACTCTGTGGAAGTGACTCTCAGGTACTCAGCCCGCCCACGTGCTGCAGGAGACAAAATGTACATGTCAGGAGGCTGGCAGTATCTCCATTCTAGCAATAGGATCGCTGGACTAGAAGGAGCCCTTAAAGGTGCTCTTCCCTGGACTAGTCGCTTTTGTCCCTGGGTAGCTCACGCGTTTTTGGAGAACTGCAGGATTGAAGCCACCGCCTACCCTGTACGTTGTGGCCACATTGGGTGGCGTTGGGTGTTGGCCAGTGTTTCTTTGTGCGCGCAACCTGCCTCCCACTGCAGATTGCAGCCTCTTTCATTTTCCGCACAGAGGAGATCGCTGCTGGTGGGTGCCCTCCTAATACCGTTTGGTATATTAAAGTATATACAAGCCGACACATGGCTTAGCTTTCTTTACTCCATCCTAAATCACTCCAGTTCTTTGAATCGTTCCTGTTAGTCTGTCTTTTCTCGCAGCCCAGTCCAGTCTCATGGCTTCCTGCAGCCTGGGAAGTGCAGTGACCCTGTGATCTGCCTAGTGAGGGAGCAGCCCGGCGGCTTTCCCCCAGCCCTTCTCTGGATGTCCTTCACAGGGTGTTTTGTCACTAGCCTTTTCTGCTCAGAAGATACTACAGTCCTGTCCCCGTGCGGTCAGCCGTGTTGTCCCAGACACGGGGCTTTGTTAACGAGGCCAGGGTCGGCTTCAGGTTTTTTGTTTGGTTTCTTTGGCAGCCAGGTGTCTCAGTAGACGGGACCGTCAAGCCGACTGAGCCTCGGTATAGCCTGTGCACTTATCTCCAGGACTCCCGTGTGTCACTCCGGGCCGAGTGCTCCGGCCTTCGGTGTCGGGTCTGCTGCCCGTCACACCAGCTCGCCTCCCAGCCCCGTGCTGCCCGTGACTGAGGCGGCGGCTCCGGGGGCCTGGCGTCCTCTCCAGGGAGTGCCGTTACCGTGTTGTCCCTTTGGTGGCCCCACTGTCCTCAACAGTACGAATTCACAGTTTCTACTGGCCTTTGGAAAAGTTCTTTCTCCAGGGCCCACGACAAAAATGTGGGCCATATACACAAGAGGCCTCGCAGTCGGGGAGCCCCTTTAGGATGGAGCTCACTGTCGGTCAGCCCAGGGCCCCCGGGTGCTGTCTGCACTGCAGACACGCACGTCCCTGGCACCCGCAGAAGCTGTAATTGTGGTTTGGGCAGTCTACTTCAGACAAATTATTTTGTTTTACAAGGACTGTCCGTGACGACCATGAGCTGCACATCCACCCGGCCTCAGTCCTCTATGCGGAGAAGCCGCCTCGCTGGTAAGCCACGCCCCTGCTCCTTAGCCTTGTAGCTGCGCGGAAGGAAAGGCCTAGTTCTTGTTTGTGTCAAGGTCCCTGTTGCCTGGCACAGGTGCCCAGCATGTGTTTGTTGACTGTAATGTTGGGCTGTTCATAGAAATTCTGCTGTATCAGAGCTCTCCTTGGGCACATGGTGCTCACTCAGCCATTCAGCAAACGTTCAGTTTTGCCCTTGGACCAGATACTTAACCCTGCACAGCTGTGTGGAGATGAATTCAGGTCCCAGAGAATTCATCGTGTGGATGGAGAGACAGGCACCAACAGATGCGAGCACTTTAGGAGAAAGCGAGCACGCTTTCATGGGGTGCTGTATAAAGGGCCACGTTGGGACCTCAAGGCCAAGGGGAGTCAGGGATGGCTGAGATGTTCTGGAAGGCACGTAGGCCTTAGCACCTCCCCGTGGATGGACACACTCTTACCCACCACTGAGGCCACGAGGCCTAAGTGAGCAGCATCCGTGTGTTTAGCGCAGTGCCTGGCACATAGAATAGATGCCTGTTGAAGGTGAAGGGGAAAAACGCATCATTTCTGATTGTTGTGATTCTTGTTTCTCATCACAAGGAAATGACCTCGTGCTTCCTCTTGTTCCAGGGTTATCTACAATGAAGTCATACAAACCTCCAAGTATTACATGAGAGACGTGACCGCTATCGAGTCCGCCTGGCTGCTGGAGCTGGCTCCGCACTTCTACCAACAAGGAACGGTAGGCGTGAGCAGTCTGCCCCCAAAACTTCCTGTTAACCCGCCTTTCTAGGTACACACTTATTCTCCGGGTCAGTGCCTGCAGTTGTCCCCCAGTAGCTCATAGGGGACATGGCCACTACCACGTCCCCAGACCATTCTGGGTAAACGCTCTCTACCACTTGCTCATAGTGAAGTGCATTTAAAAATAACACATGAAACAAAAAAGAGAATGCATCTTCAGCTCTTCGTTTCATCCTCCGCTCTTCTACGTTATCGCCAAAAGAAAATCCTGTCACACTGTGGATCGCGCTCACAAGGCGTGGCACAAGTGTTCTCTGACGAGGGTCGCCTCGAGGGACCGTAAGGAGGTGTGCCAGTTACACCCCGGGGATCAGCCTGGTGCTGGCTGACGCTGAGCACGGGCACTGCTGTGGGTTTATCCTCTTCCTCCAGGCAGGCTTCCTGGGACTCTGAGGGTGTGAGGCTTCTAGAACAGGTCATAGTTTCCTGTTCTTCATTTCTACAAGAAAATGGCTCGTTCACTGCCCACACACACAAAAGTCACAGCTTTTTCTAGGAAGATTTCTAATCGAGAGGTAATTATATTGGAAGGCTGGCGTGAAAACAGGTAAATGAGAGTTCACAAACTGTCTGGCTAAAGAGAGCCCAGAGACTTGTTCTGTCCCGCACTATGTTTTTAACTGACCTGTTAGTCCCGTCACGTTCAGTGAGTCACTGCTGCGGTTAGGTTGAAGTCTGCCGTTTTGCTGTTTGTTTCCTATTTGTCCAGTTTACTCTGTTCCTTGTTTAGTGCCTGCTTTTGAGTTAGTCAGATTATTTAGTGTTCCGTATTGTCTATTCTAATGGCCATTTATGCTCCTTGGTTTTTTGGTGGCTTAGGGGTTATATATGCATCCTCCCTGCATCACAGTCGACCTCGAACTAGTATCACACTGTTTAGCTGACAGTGTAAGAAGCTTAGATATTTGACTTCCCCAGCTTGTTCTTTGTGTTCTTGTTGTCGGATATTTTATTTCTACGATGTTATTGTGTGTTATTTCTCCATATGGCTTGTTTCTGTGTATTGTCATATACGTTAGCTTTTTCTACATATTTTATTTTTAAATGTTGTGTTTTATTTCTACATATATTTTAGTTCTAGATATATTTTATCCTTTGTGTTTTAAACAGTTGCCTTTTAAATGAAGAAACAAGAAAAAGAAAGTATTTTGTGTCCCCCACATGTTCACCATCTTGGTCACCCCCACGCTATTGCACAGATCGGGTGTCTCCAGTCTCGTCCCTAAAGAGCTCCCTCTAGTGCACGTTTTGTTTGGTGCACGCCCGCTGGTGAGACGCTTTCCGCATTCGTGTGTCTGAGCATTTTTGTTTTATCTTTACTTTTGAAAGATATTTTTCTGGATACAGATTTGTAGGGTGCATGTCTGTTTAGTTTTTTTCACTCAGCGCTTTAATGACGACACAGCTTGTTTAAGTCATTGCTGTCTGTCTGAGTTGTGTCTGTGAGAAGCCAGTCATTTTCATCATTGCTCCTCTGTGTGTCTTTGTTCTCTTGTCACTGCTTTCAAGTGTTTCCTTCACCTTCATGTTTTCAGCAGGTTGACCTGTTCTGTGCTTTTCTTTGTGTTTTTCCTGTGCGGGGTTCATTGAGCTAATTGGATCTGTGGGCTGATGTTTCATTTTTATCGAATTTGGGAAATTTGATATTATTATGCCTTAAAATATCTTTTCTGCCTCATTAACTGTGTGCCAGGGTTCTGGAACTCCAGTCACGTACATTCCAGAGCACTTGTCACTGTCCTGCGTGTTTGGAGGCTCTGATGTTTTTTTTAATCCTTCAGTTTGGAGAGTTTTTCTTCCCTGTACTCAGGGAGGTTCACTGGCCAGTTCTTCTACAGTGTCCGGCCTGCTGTTAAGCCCATCCAAAGAATATTTCATTTTGTATTTTCTGTTTGCACACTTTCATTTGGTTCTTCTTTAATTTTTTATTTCTATGTTTAGAGTCTCTCTGTATTCACTCATTATGTCCGTCTTTTTCTTTAAATCGTCTAGCGTATTTTACAGGGGTAGCCAGAAGGAGGTCTACAGCTGTGGTTACATTAGACACAGAGTTTATTATTCCTGTTACTTGTATTATTTATCAATTATTATATTGATCCTTATATTATTATTAATTTCCACATGAACTACTGTGAACCTACTTTTGCCCATCCCTGCTTTAAAGGGCTTGTCTACTAATTGAACCTATTGTGCAATTTCTGGTTTACTTTATGTTTTAATGTTTTTTTCCTCCATGTTATGGGTCTCATTTTCCTGCCTCTTTAATATTGTTGTTTATGCCGGACAGTATAAATGCTGTGTCCTGGAGAGTCTGGATTTGATTGTCTTTTTTTTTTTTTTAAGAACGTTGAGCTTTTTCCCAGTAGAAAGTTACTAACGGCAGATTAGTTTCATTTCACTGAGGACTGATTTTAGTCTCTGATGGGGCCAGTCTGAAGTAGCCGCGCTCCTAGGACATGACGACCTGTCTGATGTCTCAGCTGAATGCCCAGCCTGCCCAGCGAGGCCTTTGCACTCTGGGCAGAACCCCGGCGTCTCCAGCACGGCACAGGCCTGCAGACCCCGGACCAGCCCGCAACTCCCTGGGCACTTTTGTCTGCCAGCTGCATCGACCCTGGGCTTGCTCATGGGCAGCTTCGCATTCACCCCACATCGATTTCTGGGTCTGTCCTGCGAGTTCCAGCTGTCTCCGGCCTGCCTCCTCTGCCCAGCAGCACTGTTCTCTGTTCAGGATTTACGTCTGGGTGCCAAGGTCTGGAGAGCCAGGCAGAAACCTGGGACGCATACAGAGCTCACTTGGAGTATTTCCTTTTTCCGAGGGATTTCAGCCCTGTGCTGTCTGTTGCCGGTGCCTGAAAACATTTGCATCAGTATTTCGCCCAGTTTCACAGTCAGTTTCCACAGAAGGGAAAGTCTGAAACCCATAACTTCATCAAGGTTATAACCTCACTGCAGTGTTTTCATCCCCAAATTTGGACGGACTGGTGCATTTAAAAATTGGGAGATTTCACATTAAATGTGGACTTCAGGCTCCTCTTGAAAGAAGTATGAAATCTGCTCGCACCGGGCTGGGGTTCCAGCCCGGCAGCAGCCGGCAGGGACACCAAACGGGCTCCTGCCGGGAACGGCAGCCCAGGCGCCACAGCCTGTCTCCTCACTTCCTCCACCTGTTCAGCTGCTGGGGACGCTGGAGCTGTGACCCTGTGCACAGGGGGGTCTTCTCACCCATCCCCCTCTTGCAGTGGAAAGGGCAGTTGTCTTTTAAACGTCTTGTTATAATATTTAAATCTTATCCAACCAAACAAAGTACATTCACACAGATCCTCATCAGCTGTTGCAGCCGGACATGAGATCAGCGGCAGGGACTGGTAACAGTGCAGAGTGTGTGGTCTCTGCTGTGTCGGCCTGGTGGGAACAACCCTGAGTGGAAGGAAATCTTTTCCTTCAGAACGTCTCAGCTGGAAAGCGCGAGAGAAGCAATCAGAAATGCAAGGTGGCGGTTGAGAAGCATGGCCCAGCTGTGAGGGTGCTCGTTAAAGGGACGAGGGGCAAGCGGCTGGGGAAGGAGGCTCCGAAAGTTGTCTTAGGCTCTTGGAGGAACAGAATGAACCTAAAAGTTGAGTTCTTTTCCCTTCTCAGCTCAGAGTTACAGTGTCTTTCGGTCAAGCCCACAGAGTTACAAGTGAATACATTCCCGCATTTGTCTTTTCTCTCCAAATGTTTGTTTTTCAGCTCATCAGCTCTACTCTGGTTGCTGTGATCAGTTATTTTTAGAGGCCAGGGCCTTGAGGAATCACCTGGTACCCCAACTTCATTGTACAGGCGAGGGCCCTGAAACTCCCTAAGAACCTCAGCCTCCCCTTAACTAAACGGTGCAGAGGTACTTCTGCTACTGACTTGTTAGTCCAAAGCCAACTGATTCCTCCAAGGGCCCTGCAGACCCCGGGGGCCACCCACGTGGGGTGGATGTTCATTTGTTGGACGCAGCGTAGCGCCTCATGAGCACCCAGGGCTCACCGGCCATCCCTGGCTCTCTTTCTGGCACCTCTGGTGACTCCATTACCGTTGTTTTTCAGTGACACTCACGCTGTAAAGAGGCCTGAAATGGTCCAGAGTCAGCTCTGTTTATACTCAACATTCTTCCCAGAAACGAGCACCAAAAATGGTCCCATGGGCATGATGATGTCATCTCCTGTTCCCAAGCGAAGGCTGCAGGGCGTCTAATGTTAGTTCTAAGGGTCACAGCAGGTGAAGTGAGAGGATTCAGAGAGTTCAGCAAGACCACTAGTCGGGGAGGAAAACAGGGTGACCGGTTCAGAGATTTGCCTTTCAGTCCTTAAAGTTTTTTTCCTGATTCTCAGAGGTATCTTTGGAATCTGGGGAAAATCCTCTGAGCTAGAACCTATACCAGTCCTTTCTTGGACATACGCAGTTAGAAAGGGACCTCTTTCAGCTCGTTGACACGCGTGTCCGGTCCACTGGGCCATCTCTCGTCATGCCTGGCGGTGTGTCATCTTCCTTTGCATCCTGCGTTCTCCCAGGGCCTGCAGTTCTCTGCCGGCTGTGGGGGCCACTGCCCCGTGGCCGGGTGGACGTGGGCACTCCGCAGCGGGCGAGTGGCAGGCCCGCCCTGCTGGCCACCGGGGTGGGAACTCCTCGGGTGGAGATCTCGCTGTGTGCCAGGGTGACGCACCTTAGATGTCGGTTGGTTCGTTGTTTATGACCATTAAGGGGGTCCAGGGCCACCTCAGTGAACAGAAGTCATTTGTTAAAAACTCACATTTGTACCCTCTGCCGTGTCACTAGGGGGTATCCTTTTCCTGTGTGTCTTCCCTGCCTGGCACAGGTGCCTGCGTCCGAGACGCCCACTAAAATGATGGACCTCCTCATTTCCACTCCTCAGTCATCCTTAAGGGATTCATGGAAATTTGACATGATGTCCGGCCCGAGCCCTGTCCCTTGAGCTCAGGAGTTCAGCTGTAGTGCCGTGTGCACGGCCCGTGGGCCTGGGCTGAGCCATGGCGGGCTGGGCCTCGGGCTATTGTAGCTTAACCGCAGGCCCATTTCATCTATTGGCCCCTGGCGCCGGTTCCCTGCAGACTCCTTCCCGGGGGGCCCAGCATTTACCCAGAGGGCGTAAACCAGATAGAAACTTGGATCTGGTCATGTGTGTGGAGATTGTGGTGAAGCCTGGTTTCTTTGTCTGACCACCCTCAATTATGATGTTTTCTCTTCTCTTTCAGCACCTGTCCCTAAAAGCCAAACGGGCCAAGGTCCAGGACCAGTGAGCAGAGCTGGGCTGCGGCCACGGGGGCTGCGTGGGACCCTCTTCTCTGTGCTGCTGCTCTAGCTCTGAGTGAGGGACGGCGAGCTGTCCTCGGCTCCCGTGGAACCTTTAGCTGTTTTGACCGGGGCTGCCTCCTGTGTGTTAGCCCCTTCTTCCCACTCCCCTCCGCGTCTGCACTCCTTGCTGGGATTGCGGAGGAGTGTGTGCGGGCAGGCGCCCTGCCACACGGCACCCAGCAGAGCGGGAGTTGGCAGGGCTTTGCTCATTGGTCAGTCGGCAGGCTCACTGGGCCAGCATGCCTCTTCCAACGGGCAGTCTGTCCTGGCCTAGCTTAACGGGGAACGAGGGGGAAAGTTAGCCAGTCCGCCTGCAGCAGCTTGCTGCCCCGAGAGTTTGCTGGGCTGGCCTTGCTTTCCCCGGAGGGGCCACGGCTGTGCGGACCAGCGAGGCCAGCTGGTAGGTGGGAGTAAGTGTGTGTCCACAGAGGGGCGCAACCCGGGAAATACTGTGGATTTCTGCCAGAGTCACCACGGGGCCTGTCTGGCAGCACAGGGTCTCCCCAAACCAAGGGGCTTCTTCTGGTTTCCCTTTTGCCCGAGTCTGTCTGCGGGCAGAAGACTCGCAAGGACGGCTGAGCGACAGAGAGGACTGGTGCGCCGTCGTCTGTTAGCACAGGTTTCCCTGTTTTGCAGGGGCCCAGCCTTCTCTGCCCACAGCATCACCAGCTGACAGCTCCGCCCGTCGGGCCCCCGAGCAGGAACGCACATCAGCGTAGAGGCGCAGAGCCTCTGTAGCTCAGGAACACGCCCTGTACCTCTGTGTTTGACCGTTGCCACATCCGTGGAGAACCGGCGGCCCCCTCAGCGGGCGCTGGTCACGTCGCTGGTCACGTCGCTGCCCGGCTCCTTCGCTCCGGTGTTCGCTCTTCAGCTGTGACCAGTCAGACTTTGTCCCCGTCCTGTTCAGTGACATTTATTTCAAAACCACGTAGCTCGAAATTTATTTTTGTACCGGTCTTAGTTTGTACGTGCCACTTTGGCACCAAATGCATATGTCATTTTTATTTCCATTTTATAAATGTGTTAATAGCAGTGATAACTTGTTAACAATAGCAGACCTTTATACCTAAAGTAAATGTACTCCCTCCCATCCTGGTTCCCAGGGAGGAAGGTGACCCAGCGGGAGGAGCATCAGATTTGAGTGACGGGTGGTAACATGGGTTTCTGCACAGTTGGCACTCTAACACGTGCCTAGATGGCACCCCAGGCCCACTCCGTGCCCCCAAAGCACTGTGATCAGAGTGTTTGGAATTGGACTCCCAGCAGGTTCTGGCGGGGCCACCAATGTCGGTCGGCGGCCCGCTGACAGTTATCCAGACCCCTCCCAAAATGAAGAACATGCAGTAACGGGCACTCCATGGCGCTCACAATTACTCCACATAAAAGACCATCCTCTAGCCTGTTTTTGGTGTGAAAACGTTCCTTCTTTTAATGATGGTAGTTTTAAAAAATGTTTTCCTTGGGAAAATAAAATACTGACAATCTTGCGTCAGTCTCCTTATTAAAAACCAATTCAGCCCTGGCTGGTGTAGCTCAGTGGATTGAGCGCGGGCCTGTGAACCACACGATCACGGTTCGGTTCCCAGTCGGGGCACATGCCTGGGTTGCGGGCCGGTTTCCAGCGGGGGACTCATGAGAGGCAGCCATACATTGATGTTTCTCTCCTTCTCTCCTTCTCTTCCTCTCTAAAGATGAATAAATAAAATATTTTAATAAAAAAAAACCAATTCAAAGCAAAAGCAGTTGTTGGTTGATGAGATCCCCGTGTCTGCGCACCAGTGGGCGGGCGGCTGGGCGGGCTCTGGGCCGGCAGGCAGCACTGGTGCGGAGCATCACCGCCCTGGGAGGGTGCCTCTGCCTCGCCGAGCTCCGGGGTTGCGGGTGGACTTGGGGCAGCAGTGGGACGACCTGTCTGGCAGAACTGGAAGGATTCAGGTTAGCGGATTCAGCCCCGCCTGTCACTGCACCTTCAGAGAAGGCCAGGTATGGCCACTCTCCACCGACTCATCTGGATTCTTCCTTGGCCTCCCAGTTTGTGCTGGAATGGGATGATGGAACTCTGGGATTTCTGTCATTGCAGCTGATAACAGTCGATTAAATTCCCTCAGACTCAGCTGGCCACGCTGGGTGAGTAGCTGGGGTCTGCGTGGCAGGTCTCCTGGGTCCTCACGGTCCTCGCTCCCTCTGTCAAGGTCACATTCTGCTGTCTCCGGTGGATCATGGAGGTGTGACCTGGTGTGGACCTGGGTGATACTGAATTTGTCCAAAGAGGCTGTCCCCTTGCCTGCCCAGGAGACTCCTGAGGCAGCATTCTCCCTGGCCCTGTGGCCTCAGCCCCGCTGGTGGGTTCTGCTGAAGGCAGTGAGTAAGCTGGGCCAGCTGGGAGGTCCAGCAGGGAGTGGGTGTGGTGGTGAGGGGCCCAGGGTGACACCAGACTCATAGCCAGAGGAAAGGCCAGCATGGCTGCTGCCCCAGGCTGATGGGGTGAAACCTTACATCAGGGTCCCCCACCCCCGGGGCTGCAGACTGGTACCTGTCTGTGGCCTGGTAGCAACCCAGCCGCACACACAGCAGGAGGCGAGCAGCCTGCATGTCAGGGAAGGAAGCAGCTTCCATTGTTTTACAAGACTGAGCTCTGTGCCCCCTGCCTCCTGTCTCCCGGGGTGACCGGTGCCACAAAGGTCAGGATCATTGCCTTACTTGATGCAAAGATAGGCTCCTTCCTCCCTCTGGTCTATGGCACCTGGACCCTCCTGCCTTCGGGCTGCGTCACTGGGTTTCTTTTCTCTGCGTTCCCACCTGCTTCGTTTTTAAGGGCAGTTGGGTGTGTGCGGTAGCTGCTGTTACTGCGTTTACTCTTACCTCCTCCTTTTGTGGTTGGTTTTCACCTGTGAGTGTCCTTTAGCTCTTCATTTTCCTCTCTTTGACTTCTGCGTAATTCTCCCCCCCTTTTAAATCATAAAGTTTCTTCCTTTTCATATGCTTTTAAAAAAGTACTTTCACCTTAACATTTATTTTTAACTGCTTGGTCTTTTTTTTACACTCTATTTGTTTTTAACTTTTTTTTTTTGTACTTCTGGTACAAAGAAAAAGCTCTTTTTGTTGCTGTTCTGTAAATATCTGCTTTAATTATTTTCATTTCCTCATTTAATACATTAGTTGTAGACTCACCGTAACATTTACTTTCCACTTCAGTTCTGTTACTCCCTCCTTTCACAGGTTAGCAGGGTTAATTCGGTTTCCGTGGTTGGCAAAAGGCCCAACTGCAGGTGTGGGAGCTGAGAGAAGGTATTTGTGATGGTTGAAACCAGGAAAGGATGAACCGTCCAGAATATACAAATCAACAATGAAAAGACACCCCCCAAAGAAACAAGTGGGCGCAGGGAGTGAACACTGTCTAGAAGCAGACCCCATAGTTCACAGGGTCTGTGCAGAGATGCTGAAAATCACCAGAAGAACACAAAGGAACACAACAGCAGTTCCACATCACCAGGTTGGCAAAAATGGCAAAGGTGGATGACGCCAAACGTCGGCAGAGTGCGGGGACCTCCGTGCACTGCTGGGGCGGCCGCCCTGGATGGCCGCCTGGCACCGCCCCTCGAGCGAGGTGTGTGCCTGACCCACTCTCCAGAAATCCCCTGTGTGGGTGAGCGTTCCCAACGAAAGTCCCACCTTGGTCCCCAAGGGGACGTGTGTGAGGGGGCTCACCCAGCGCGACTGTGGAGGGTGGGACCACGTGCAGGGAAATTCTGTGGATGACACCGTGGAGTCCCCCAGAGCAGTTTCGAGCCACAGACAACCTTGACTGTGGGCCTTAAAAGCAGCTGAGTGAAAAAAGTAAGTTCCAGGGAGCTGCAACAGTATCATTTACAGACGACAGAAGGACACGCACACAAGAAACTACAACGTTGGCAAAAAACGTGTACAGACCGAAAGATGCATGTTAGTCGGGTTGCCTGCAGGACTCGGGGGGAGGGCGGGGGGAGGGCAGGCGGTAAAAGAAAATGAAAAACGATGTAAAACAAAATGGGGTGGAAGAAGGTCCTTCGGGTGTTCACCTCCAGGAGGCCTGGATTATAGGACACGCATCCTTTCTCAGTCAGGGTGTCAGACAGGCTGAGCAGTCACCCCAGGTCGGGCGGCGTCTGGGGGGCTGGCCACGCTCCTGTGTGTGGATCTCGGGGGGCCCGCTGCTGGACCCCCAGCTCATCTCCCTGCAGGAGCCACTGTTACCCGTCTCACTGGACGCAGTGCTCTGGCGAACACGATGAAGTGTCTTAACCCTTACCTTCCCCACCACAGTGCACCTCCGCTCGGACGTGGGTTCTTGTTGTGGCCTCTCGTGAACAGCGCAGTCCTTGGTGGGGTCAGTTTCCACCAGCAACAGCTGCCGGCCTCGTGTGGCCACTGAGGGGTGAAAGGCACTCGGAGGCAGTGAGGGCACTGGAAAAGCCCTCCCCCAGTCCTCAACTGGACAGACTGCTCACGTGGACGGGAGCCCGTGGGACGTATGTGGGCACAGAGCATCCGTATTTCCGAGACAGGAGCTGGGAGGGCGGACGATGTCGTGGAGAGCCCTTCCTGCTGATCAGCATCCTTGAGATGGGACTTGTGCTCTCAACCCACAGGGACTGTTGTCCCTTTACTTTGGCTCATGGCCCTGTGCTTCCGGAACCTTCTTGCCCTCGGCACTGGCCTGGATTAACAGGAGGCTGAAAAGAACAGGTTATGGCAAAGCTTTGAAAATCCCGTGGTAACCTTTGATCATCCAAGGACCCTATGAACTTCAGCTGTGACTGCTGCCCCCTTGTGGCTTCTCCTTACTCTGTCATTGGGCGGTTGGTCACTTAGAACCCTCTTAATGAGCCCCAGGGTCTGGTTTTCCAAGAGTTGCCTCGTAGCAGGGAGAAATCTGGGCCAGGTTAATGAGGCAACATGCAAATTGGAAGAGACCACCAGGGAACTTGTTAAATTTAAGTCTTACTCTAAATTTTTCATTGCTTGGAGAAAGGGTGTTATAAATCAGCCTGGCTTGGGCTGTGGACTCAGAAGGAGGGCGGATTCCGGAGCAGTTCCCTGCCCCTGGGGTGAGTGGAGTCATGGAAACTCACGTCTGGGGAAACAGGGCAGGTTTCTTGTTCCCAGGTTTGTAGACGGAGGGCAGTTCCCCTGGGCCCAGTTCTGAGAGCCCAGGCGGAGTGAGATTTTTACAATTGATTTATGCCACCTGATTCATCCATCTTTCCGGCCAGAATTAGGATCAGGGGTCCCCGCAGTCCCATAGCCTCTCCAGGCTACTCTCCTGGTTTGTGACCAGACGGAACCCTAACACCCACTGGGGGCCGAGAATAACTCTTGCCGGCCATGGGGACGCACACCAGTGACGGCAGGCTGGGTGCGTCCTGAGTGGCAGGGGCAAGAGCATGAGACCGAAGCAGGAGACCCGGATTTAAAGACCAAAGACGAAATAACCGTCATTGCAATGTAATTTACATATAATAAGTGTATTCATCTTAATTGGATAGTTCAGTGAATTTTGATAAGTCCATATACCACAAATGACCACCAAAATCAATTTAAAAAATTAAAAAGAACCCACTAAAATCAAGTACAGAACATTTCCACCCCCAAACTCGCCTAATTATCTACTCTAGTCACCCCCTCGACCCCCCCTCGCCCCCCCGCACCAGCCTCGGGCACCACTATTTCACTACGAACTGGTTCTGTGTGTTCTAGAATTTCATGTAAATGGAATCATTCAGAATACCCTCCTCTGTGTCCGGAGAAGACCTGGGTTTAAGCCCCAGGTCCGAGATTAGATAACTGTGACCCCTGGCAGGATGCAGCTCCGTCTTCATCTCCGTTTTCCTGTTTGTAAAATGAAGATAATAATCACGACAGCCACTCATTCGCCTGTGTCCTGGAGCTCCCCAAAGGTTCGGGGCCAGGAAGTGCTCAGTGACCAGGGACGGCTCCTCTCAGCGACCTGTCACCGAGGGCCCCCTGCTGCCCCTCCCTCCACCCCTATCCTAGCTCCCAGGCACCGTGATTGACGCCACACCTCCTTCAAAGAGGACTCCTTTTAGGGAGATACGAAGACACCCTGGGAAAGAACCGGATGAGGTTCCCCCAGAGGGACAGAGGTAACGGGCCTGAGCAGAAGGGGAGGGATATGTCTGGGAGGCAGCCACAGAGCCCTGGACTGGGGCCTCCGTGGCCTTGGGGATGGGGACGCTGAGGTGTCCTGGGGGAGTGAGTGTGAGCAGAAGGTGCACAGGGCTGCTGGACACTCCAGGGGAGGGGTGACATCGGGGCCGACCCTCGCTTGGACACCCACTCTGCCTCACCCAGGAACAAACCCGATGGACACCTCCAGCCCCTGCACAGCCAGGCGCAGGCTCAGTGACACATTCACAAGCACTTCCAGACCCGAGCACTGCACACCCACACGGTCACACTCACCCCAACCTTCAACTCTGAATCGATC